GATTGATCTAAAGTTTCATTCCTTTTAAATATGTAATCGTTTAACCATAATGTTGTTGGTAACATTTGCTTTATTCAAAGAGAAGAAGAAGGAAAAAAAAGTTTTTCCAGGTTCACTAAGTTAAAGGTAACTGCAATTTGTCTAAATGTCAGCAAATTTTTAGAGAAAAAACAAATTCATTCAAATCATGCAATATTGTCTATTCCTATTTACATTCAATTGGAAAGTTTTGTTCAACAAATGAGCAAATAATTTCAACAACAACCAGCAAAGAATGGCAAAACTTGTAAATTGATGATTCAATTGTGAAGATAACATATTGAATCAAGATCAATTAGAGATTGGAAAAGATCTGAACTCATGAATACTTTATGAGCCGAATTTCACTATTTCCAGAACGTGCTGAACTTTTATGTCTTTTTTAAATCTTTTAATGTTCATCTTTAAGTTGTAATCTTGATGAGTTAACATTCAATTATGAAATGATTTAAGTCTTTAATTGAGAATCAAAAGTTGAAAGAAATGATTTGAAAAAAGTAAATGAAAAATATTTTAAAATGTTGATCAACTTTGAGTTTAAATCACTTGATAATCAGATGTAAAAGGGTTGAAATTAATGAACATTTTTATTAGCACAAATTATCAATTTAAATTTGACTCAATTTCAAGGGCAATTAACTTGAAAGGATAAACTTTTGATCAACAGAATTGAAAATTTCAGAAGCTTCAACAGTTACATTGAAATGTAGGAATAAACGTAAATTTGCTTTTCTCTTCATGAGTCGGATGTTTCAAGGAAACCTAATTATTTGGAAAGAGAAATGGTGAATTAACAAGTTCCACAGTCTTGAGTCTTTATCATTATCATCTTGAACTTTTTTTTGTTGTTCCTTTTTTTGTCTTTAAACTTTCCATTGTAACAAAGGACAAGAGAAATGATGGAAAAAAAGATTCTCAAGAAAAACTGATGACAACAATATACAGAGTTATTCTGAGAAAATTTGTGTTAATACATGATAAAAGGATAAGTTTAAAGCTCAAGGATCAATAACTTTTGCTATTCAACTTTGTATTGTTTACAATTCATGTACAGGGTAACCCTTATTCATGATTAATTTCATTTCTGTTTCTCTAGGAAAACCACAAAAACTGAACAAAAGCAACAATCTTTTTGTAACAGATAATGTTTAATTTGCTTGAAATGACTTGCAACACTGGCAAGTGTAAATTGTGTTTCATCAAAAACACAAGTGAAAACTAACAATTGCTTGAAACAGAGTTGACCTAATTTTGGACATTAATCATGAGAACAACATTTAGTTTACACAGAATTAACCCTTTATCCATTGTGTTTACTCAGGAATCAACAGAAATCATGTAAATGAATAAACTTTCAAAATAATTTAAAGCTGATTCGAGTTGAAAAGTTGAATTTTGTTAACCAATAACAACTTCAGATAATCCGTTGACTCTCAATATCTTTGAAAAGCTCAATGATGCGATCATAAAAAAAGTTTCATTTTCAAAGTTAATCAATTCGATTAGTTGATGAAAGAATTTCCAACAAATCCTTAAAATTCATGATTCATTGAATTAACGAAAAAATTGATAATTTTCTAGACTTTCCACAGTTTGGATTGAGTCGCCTTCTTAAAGAGCTCAATTTTTCATCAAATTTTCATTCACAAAACAGTCGATCAAACAGATTCTTAGAAATAAAATAATCAAAGATAATTCCATATATAATTTTCCTGATTTTTCTAATTTCCAATAAACTTGTTTCACTAATTTCAAGCAAAATAATGATCGCAATAAATATTGAGCATAAAAAAAGCACATGAAAGGAGAAACTGGAAATGCTTTGCAACAGTTGATTAACATTCATCATTAATTTTACAATTAATGTACTCAAGTCACTGTATTCACAATTATGCATATTGATTTAGATTAGATAATGTTAAAGTAGTAAAAAAAGACAAAAAAAACAAAGTTAATTGCCGTTGATGTTGATGTTGAATGGATGAGTGAACTTTAAAGCGTATGTTGAACCGTCAAAATGGATGCAAAATGTTGTTTTTGTTTGATAAGTAAAATGGTAAAAAAAAGAAAGACTCAAGTATCATGAAGGTAAAGATATTGGTCAATTGGAATGGTCAGAAGTAGATGAAAGTAGACAAATTGTAATGATTAAAAGGTTGACTTGACTTCCTCTGATTACAATGCAATGGAACCCGGAGAAAGAGCAAAATGACAAAATTAAAAGCGGATGTTGATGATAATTTCCGTTTTACTAACTAGGTAAGTAACTTTCAACCTTTTCTGGTAACTTGTTGTGAACCAAAGTCTCTTTACCTTTACAACTTGTTCAAAGTTTTCATCGTTCAAGAAGAAGAAGAAGAAGAAGAAGAAAGTTTCTGGATAATCTTTTTATCTGTCAATCTGAATGAGAATATTGTAAAAAGGTTGGAAAAGTTGGAAACTTTGAAAAATTACCTTTTCATAATTATTCATTTTGACTCAAGAAACAATTGAACATGAAGCAAATTCTGGTAAAGAAGGAGAAGAAAAAGTTCTAGTGAAAAGTTCGTGACAAGTTATTGTAAAAATATTAATATCACTGTTGAGACAACAAAGTGAACAATTTATCAATGTTGCTCTTGTCAGCGAATTAAAAGCAGATTAATTAACTTAACCTAACCTTAAATTTGAACAATCAAGATTGGGAAGAAATGTTCAATGTTTATCTTCATCATGTTAATGATTCCATTTTCACCTTAATCTTAATCATCTTCTCAACATTACCTTTTCTCATCTTCCTTTGTCATCTAACGTTATCACAACTCAACTGGTCTCATTTGAAAGTCAACATTGGCAAATTAATTAACTTGATAATCGCCTTTTTACATAATAATAATCACACCCAAAAACTCGGTGAAAACCAATCCTGTTAGTTGATTGTTTATCTTGTATTTTCTTGACAGATTCAGTGTGTGTTTCCTATTCCTATCAACACCGCCCATGTTATCCAGTTAAACTGAGGACAGCAATCAATCTCATCTTCCAATGTAATCAATAGTTAAATTGTTGCCCATCATATTTACACCTTTACTTGCTGTACAATTGATCATCAGATAAATGTAACATTTTTCACTATATTGTTCATTAATTATGAATGTTTTTCATCCAACAAAGTTGATTGATAAGGTTGCCTTTTTCATTACATTTATGATTAACAATTTCATTCTCATTTACTTTGGTAATTAAATTTTTACTTAAATCTGTTTTAATATTCATTAATAGCATTTCCATCCAATTCTGAACATTCATCAAAAAAGCTGATAAAGTTCAAGATTAACTTGAAGATGAAGGTAAAGTGTAACTAAATATTAAATTGATAACTAATGAATGAAAGATGCGGGTAACTTTTGTTTTTTTTGCACTGTTTCGTTTGTTATGGTTAACCCAATATTTGACAATCAATTTAATCATTTATACATTCTTATTTCATGATGAAATCAGTAACTCTATTCCTTATTCGCTCTCAAGATTTTCATCTCTTCACACAACTTGCTTTCTCATCATCTTATCCTTCATCACTCTGTGTCCACTTTTCCGAGTTTCAAGCTTTTCTTTGTTTTCCCTTTAAATGCAATCTCAGGGTAAAATTGTTCATCTTTTTAATCAATCAATGATTATCTTTGTTCAAAGTGTAAAGTGAATTAAAATTTTCCAGAAATTAAGGCAAATCTCATTAAGGTCCACAAGGGCCGCTTGATACTTATCATGTCATCTTTTTCATCTTTTGCTTTCCTTTCTTTGCACCATCATCTTTTCATCCTTTTCACACTGAAACAACTGTGAATGGAGAATCAAGGTTTCTCTCCTTCAGAAGGTAAGATAATTAATTTGAAAGCATCTCTGGAAACGATTATTTACGCTCTTCAAGTTGATTCACATTTATATTAACCGTGTTTGTCCCTCTCACACAATGATCATCAAAAGCCAGTCTGTGACCCTTCATAATCAAGTTAATAACTTGCTCTCACCCGGGCGGGGTTTCAGTGGTAATAGTAACTTCGCTTGGCCAGTTACTCTGTATAATCAGGAAAGGACAAAAAAACAATATCAAAAGTCTTTCATCAATTTCAATGAGAAATTAATCCAACTTGAAATTGTCTTTGCTTATTCAAGGTTAATTCATGTTCACAATCAACAGACTAATGAAAAGATATTTTTTCATCAACTGAACATGTAAACCGAATCAACAAGTTTTCTTGTCTCTCTCTCTCTGTAACTTAATTGTTGCATTTGGCTAAATTGACTTCTTTTTTTTCCTTCCTTCAACTTACCAAGTTTATTGAAATATTAATACAACAATTTACCTTTGAAATGATCAACTCAAGTATATGATTGAAACGGAAAATTGTTTCAATGAGATGACTGAAAATGTTTAATGGAACTTTTAAAGATTCTTGATTCACTGTGATTATCTTGATGATGATGTTTGTTTTTGATCACGATGATTGAGGGTTAAATTGAGTCAAGTCCGGCTTAAATACACAAACTAACGTTAAATGCTATTCTTTTGTCAAATTTTTGGATAATTTTCTTTGGATCAAAAGGTTTATTGTTTTTTATGTTTCTTGTTGTTCTTGTAAATCATGATCAGGATAAGTGAAGCATGGAAAACAATTGAGCAAATAACAAATCAAGTAGCAGGTTATGCAAGTAATCAGTTTGAAAATGGTTATCCATTTTGCTACCATGTTTAAAGTGTAATTGTATTTACCATTGAACCGGCCTTTGAACATGTTTTTGTTTTACCAGTCAATTTCATGTGACGACTTTAGATTCATTAGATGATTGACTTTAAATCACAATTTAATCAGCTTTGAAATTATCTGTAAAACTTTTCACTCAATTTTCGCCTTTCAATGAACACTGTTAATTTATCCATTCACTTTTAGCTGTCAAATGAAAGTGAGAAAGTTGATACTTACATAATTGAAAAATAGATATCATGAATGAATAAAAGAATGAAATGATGAATAAATCCATTTTGAAAAGTGATTGACGGATGGTGATTGATAACATTAAATTAGTTGATTACACTTGATATTCGCTGTCAGTTTAGATCAGTACATAAAACACTAGAAACGTGAAAAAAAGGTCCTCATTAAAGATGAAACTTTTCTTGTTGATGTTGTTCACCGTTAAAAGTTACTCTTGACACTAAGCAACTTGATTTGTAACTAAAATCATTTTACCTCAAAAAATTGAGTTTTCATCTTTGCTTATGTGTGTGTGCTGTTATCTTGTGGTGAAAATGTTTACTAACAAGTAGTTGTAAGTAGTCTTTTTTGGTTAATTTATAAATGCAAAATTTTAATTAATCAACATTTAAATATGACAAATTTGATAGAAAGTTAATGAAAATATAAAAATAAACAAGACATGGCCATGAAAATCATACAAATGAAAGAAAATGAAATTAATATGAATATAACAAAAGTTTTGCAAAAATTGTTTTGTTTTGCAGTTTTGCATGAAATATTTGGACATTCATGAATGGGTGTTGGATAAATTCACAAAATTGATTGGCCACTGTTCAATAGGGCTTGAGATTTGAGTAAAGCATTTCTGAGTCGATTGCTGGGTTTATTTTCAGGGCAATATCTTATAGTGTGCGCCTGAGGCCCTCCTCCATTGTGGCAAATTGGACAGTCATAGGCGAACAAAATGGGGCAAACAACACGGCCTAATGTATCTTTTAGGACATGACTCTGATAGAAACTAACAGGTTGACCATTGTTTTTACAGAAAACGCATTCAACACAAGATCCACGGCGAGATTTTCTTCTACTGGTATTATGATTGGACACAGGTGTCGGTGGAACGTTCATTGGAATTGATTGAATAGCAGTCTCTTGACGAGCCTTTAATTTCCTGGTAAATTCTGGACTTGATTTGCTGAATGGGGTACCAATAGGGTCAATTGATCCATTTGAGCCAAAAGATGAAGAAGATGAAAGATAATTTAGTTTAAGATAAGACGTAGATTGCTGATTATCCAAATAGAGTCTCAGAAATTGAGCCAGTAATGTATCTTGTGGAATAAGTAAATTTGATTCAACACGATTTACAGGTGAATTCTCGAGCTTAGCACTTGGTTTATTTTCAGGACAATATCGTACAGTGTGAGCCTGAGGGCCACCTCCATTATGGCAAATTGGACAGTCATAGGCAAACAAAATGGGACAAACAACACGGCCTAATGTATCTTTAAGGGTATGGCTTTGATAGAAATTAACAGGTTGGCCATTGTTTTTACAGAAAACGCATTCAACACAAGATCCACGGCGAGATTTCCTTTTACTGGTATTATGATTGGACACTAATGTTGGTGGAACGTTCATTGGAATTGATTGAATAGCAGGATCCGGGTGAGATTTTAATTTCCTGGTTAATTCTGAGCTTGATTTGCTCAATGGGGTACCAATAGGGCCAAAAGATGATGAAGATGAAAAGGGATTGAAAAACGCCATCAAAAAAAAGCTTAAAACAAACAGGTAACAAAATAGAAAAACTTTAATAATGATGAAGAAGCAGGTTGTAACACGGTCATTGGGTGATTATTTTCTATTCGACAAAACACATGATTGCACAGTTCAAAATAAAGTCAGTTTAAGGCTACAGTGGAAATAAAGATAAGTCGAGGAACACTGGAGCATTGAAATTCAATGTTGATTAACAATTTATTCAGTTAAAATTGCAATTATATTGAGCTAATAAACTGTTTCGAATCTTTGGCGTCAAGTAAACATCAACAATGATTAACAGGTTTCATCTTTCAAATCTTTTACATGTAAATTCTCACGAGATCAATCATAAGATTTTACTCAAGTTCAATCTACAATCAGACTTTATTGTTTGCAAATATTGTTTGCATTTAGCCTAATTGTATAAAAAATTATCTTGAATCATGTAAATACGAGCGAAATTTGATTTAAATTTGAAATAAATTACTTTGCTAACAATTGTTGAGTTTTTATAATTAAAATTTTGATTTTAATCAATTATTTGAGCACAATTTAAAAACCCAACACAAAACTCTAGGAAGAGCAAGTTGCAAAGGGTTTTAAAAGGTAAACATAGATGGCGCAGATGTTCACCGTAAGCATTGACCAATCAGAGAGCGAGCAGATTTCAGTTCAAATCAGAATAAAGCGTTTTTTAAAACAGCAAACCTCGTAATTACTATTTTTCACCTTTTCGGCATCTTTTAATCCGACAACTTTTCTGATAAAGAATGATGAGGACAATTGTTAATAATTTTTCTGGGTAAGTCAATTTTCATTAAATTTACTTGAACATTTTATGGTTTCATTTTCATGACATTTTCTTCTTTTTTTTCTTGTTTATCTTTCAGATTTATCACTTTTTTATTGCATTTTTGCACCATTGCAAAGTCAATTTACCTGTGTATAATGTCCCTGATATGTGATATGATGGTACGTAAAAAAATTGTGATGGAACATGATAAGACTGTGATGGAGCATGAAAAAACTGTGATGGAACCTTCGCAAGTGTCTCAAAAATATTGGTACTTGGAAAATGTTCTCAAACTTGAAGAAGAAATTAATCGAAATATTGAAATAATCAGCAAAGTTGCCGAAGCAGCTGAAGAAGATGATGATATTCGCATGGTTACAAGTATTGAATTGAGTAAGTCAAAAATGTTGAAAAAGGGCAAACTCAAGATGTTTCGTGATCTTTGTCTGGTCGCTCTTAAAGAGATCCCTCCAATTGAAGGAGACAAAGAAGTAACGATTGATGACCTTGATGGTTTCTGGTGTTTGCTCAGCATCGAATCAGAAAAACACCGGCAATCGGTCACGGAGATATTGAAACCAAGATCCATTAGTGACAAAGAAAAAGTGAACATAGTGAACCAAAGTGAACAAAGCCAGAACAAAGTGAACAAAGCTCAATGTGAACCATCCATACTAGCAGAAAAGCAAGCAGCTAGGCAAGCAGCCATCAAAGTTAAAAAGACAAATATCGATGAACGAAATCGAAAATACATGGAAAGAATGAAAAAATTAAAAGAAAAGAAAGCCAAGCCTGTGCTAGACAAAGAAAATTTTAATCCAAACCAAATCAGCTAGTGATTTTCAACTAATATTCATATTTCAATTGTACAATAAATACATCATAAACATTGCACTATTCAAGTGTTAAATATTTCTCATAAATATCTTCGAATAATTCTTTACAATTAATTACGGCCTTTAACTTAGTGCACAATAAGAATACACCCGATGTTTTCCGATGTAAAGAGTAAGTTTCTTCAGGCGGTGGGGTGAGTCTATGTTGTAGCATAACGGGTATAAGTTCATTTATACGACGAGTTGTGTCCTGAGCACCAAAATCATAATCACCTTCAGTAGCAAAAGCTTGTCCTAAAATCATTACTGCATCAACATGAGCTTTCTCCATAATTTTTGATTCATATCCAGTCAGGAAACCTAAATTAATTGAAGAGCGCAAAACACCTTCACGGTCCTGTAAAGCAGCAGCATGAATAATTTTCATGTAATTATCAACAAACTCTTTAGAGAACTCTCGAGTTGCTCCAAAATCAAGCAAATTTATAGTATCGGTAGAAGGATCATAAAAAAAGTTTGACCAATTGGGATCCGTTTGCATGTACCGGAAGATGAACACCTCTCTAAGACACAGTCGAAGAAGTCGTCGAGCAACCGAATTGCGTACTTCTTGAGTAATCTCAGGCATATCAGCCAATTTATCGACAGGAATACCTAATAGAAATTCAAAAACAAACAATAAATGAGTTGCCAATTGAACATAAGTAAATAAATTGATGCATTAAAACATACCATGAATCAATTCAGAAGTAAAAACTTTTTTGGTTGATAGTTCGTCGATTACTTTAGGAACATAAAATCCTTCCTCTTCAAAGTAAGGTTCCATTAATTCGCGAAACTTTTTTGTACATATAGCTTCTCTCTCGTAGTCAACTTCCCACATTAACTCTTTCCGTCCAACTTTTACGATAGTGTCGATAAAAAGTCCATCAGGTAAAACATTCCAAAGGTTTAAAATTGAGACTAAATTTTTAATATCACTATCAATGCTTTCAGCTACTCCAGGATATTGAATTTTCATTGCAGCTACAGTTCCGTCTTTGAGAGTAACTCTATGAACTTGACCAATAGATGCAGCTGCAAATGGCTTAGTGTCCATATGTTGCAATTTTTCTTTCCAACTGTCACCAAACTCAGTATATAAAACTTGCTCCATTTGTTTAGAAGGCATAAAATCAGCAGCTTGGCGAACCCTTTCAAAGATTGCTTGCAATTGAGGATCGATCATAGAACTGTCTTGTAAGCTCAACATCTGTCCGATCTTGAGACCAGCCCCACGAGTTTTACACAAAGTATCAACAATTTTCTGGGCCATCTCTTCAGAAATTAAATTGCCAGGTTTTGAGCTTAGAGTTTCATCCTCGAATCTTAATTTTTTCTTAGTTATTTGCTTGAGAGCACCATAGCCTAAACTTGCAGCAAGTCCTATGCAAATAGATTAAATTAGAATGAGATTGAGATAGAATTAGATACAAAACAGTTATTTAATGAAAAATGAGTTAATCAAAGATAAAATCAAAGTGTCAAGTTACCTCCAAAAGAAACCAAACGTGATATTCTAGATGAAGGAACTTTACTTTCCTTGGATTTGTTACTTAGAGATTGAGTCTCTGGTAATTTTATGTTCAATCTCTTATCTGCTGGAAGTTTAAGTGGTTTGAGTTTAGATCTCTGAACATTTATTTCGACGGTTTTGTCGCCTTTTATATCAGCTGAAGATTCATTAGAATTATTTACAGTGCTATTTGATTCATTTAAATCAGGCAAATGGTTGCTTGTTGTTTTGTTGGTCAATTCTAGAACGGGATTTCCATTAACATTCAAACCGATTTTAGCAAATTTTTCAATTCCTTTGACTACACTTGTTCCTTTACCAATGAGTTCACTCAACTTCGGCGGTTTGGGTAGATTATTTGATTGAGGCAAGACTTCATTTAACTTTGAACTTGCCTCAAAGGCATTGTTAGTAACACGATTTTGAAGTACCCAAAGAAGGTGACGAGGAACATCTTCATTCCCTCGTAAGCCAAGAATTATTTTCAGTGATTGATTACTATTTTTAAGAAAATATAGAAACACTTGATTATTCTTATTAAAAGACATTAGATAATTGATGAACAACACAAATACAAAAAAAACATAAACATTGAAACAAAATGTAAACAAAAGACCAAATCAATCGATATATCGATATCTTCTCATGAGCAGATATACAGATTTAAGCTGTTTATTTTTGCTAAACTTCTTTAAATTAGTTTAAATTTTCATGCACATGTTGTACTTACTCATTCTGAGATCGTTTCTTGAGTTATCAACTAGTAAACTATTGATTCAACAATTTCGGAAACAAAAATGAATTTTGAAAGCTCATTACTATCAAAGTAAGTTTATGTTCGTTTTGCTTGTTATGTCTGTTCAATTTCCATTAGTTCCTAACATGTCTTGTTTTGTTTTCATTTTACCCAGATTGGACTTGAATTCCGAGACAGAAATTGTCCGACATCCTTACTCAACCAAACATTGGCTTCGATATATTAATGCTAAGAAAGATGAAAAGGCTCCTGTTGAAGTTGTCAACTTATTATACGAGCGAGCTTTGAAAGAAATACCTGGAAGTTATAAGTTATGGTATGGATACCTGCTTTGGAGGAAAAGAAATTTGGGTGGCAAAATAATCAATGGACCTGAATACAAACAATTAAACAATTGTTTTGAGAGAAGTTTGGTTTTCATGCATAAGATGCCTCGTATCTGGATTCTATACATCGATTCTTTGATGCACCAACATCTTATTACCCAATCAAGACGTACATTTGACCGTGCTCTACAAGCCTTGCCCATTACTCAACACAATCGGATTTGGCCTCTTTATTTGAAGTTTGTGAAATCCCATCGGATTCCTGAGACAGCGATTAGACTTTACAAGAGATATCTAAAACTGGCTCCAGAAGATGGTGAAGAGTTCATCGATTATTTGAGAGGAATCGGAAGACTCGATGATGCAGCCCTTAAATTATATGATATTGTCAATGATGACAACTTTATTTCCAAGGAAGGAAAATCAAAGCATCAACTTTGGAACGACTTATGTGAATTAATCTCCAAAAATCCTGATAAAGTTCAATCATTGAATGTCGAAAACATTATAAGAGAAGGAATCAAACAATATAGAGATGAGCAAGGTAAACTTTGGAATGCATATGCCCAATACTTTACACGAAGCGGATTATTTGAAAGAGCTAGAGATATTTACGAAGAAGCGATCTCATCTGTAATGACCATCAAAGATTTTTCACTTGTTTTTGATGCATATTGTCAAAGTGAGGAAAATCTCCTTAAAGCTCAGATGGAGGCTCAAGATTCAACCGACGATGAGGAGATTGTATTGGAGCTTCAACTCGCAAAATACGAGTATTTGATTGAGAGGAGGCCGTTGTTACTGAACAGTGTTGCACTTAAGCAAAATCCTCATAATGTTGACGAATGGCATAAAAGAGTAAAACTATTGGAAGAAAATCCTTTGAAAGTCGTTCGAACTTACATGAATGCTGTTCAAACCGTTGATCCCAAGCAAGCAATTGGAAAAGTACATTCTTTATGGATCGAGTTTGCCAAATTTTATGAAAAAAATGGACAACTAGAAGATGCACGAGAAGTATTCGAGCAAGCTGTCAAAGCATCGTATGCCAGAGTCAATGATTTAGCAACTGTTTGGTGTGAATATGCCGAAATGGAATTAAGAAGTGATAATTTTGAGCAAGCACTGAAGCTCATGCAAAGAGCCACTACAGCTTCCAAAAAGGCTAACTTTTTCGATGAAAATGAACCTGTTCAAAATCGTGTTCACCGTTCTCTCAAACTTTGGTTGATGTATGCTGATCTAGAGGAGAGTTTTGGAACTTTCAAAACAACGAAAGCTACGTATGATGCGATGATAGATTTGAGAATTATCACTCCACAAATTATAATGAATTATGGAGTGTTTCTTGAAGAAAACAATTATTATGAAGAAGCTTTCAAAGCTTATGAAAAAGGAATTGATTTATTCAAATGGCCGATCGTTTACGATCTCTGGAACACATATTTAACCAAATTTTTGCATCGTTACAAAGGCGAAAAGATAGAAAGAACACGTGATTTGTTTGAGCAGTGCTTGCGAGGATGTCCACCAAGCCTATGCAAGAATTTCTACCTCCTTTTTGCCCGATTTGAATTGGATTATGGACTGGCTAAGAATTCGATGACAATTCTTGAAAGAGCTACTCAAGCTGTTGATGCAGACAGTCGTTTTGATTTATATAATATTTATATAAAGAAAGCAGCTGAAATGTTCGACCTAACATATACAAGACAAATATATGAGAGAGCTATCGAAAATCTCAGGGATAACGAAGCACGAGAGATGTGTCTTAGATTCGCTGATCTCGAACAAAAATTAGGAGAAATTGATCGAGCACGAGCTATTTACGCTCACTGTAGTCAAATATCCGATCCTAGAACACAACCAGAATTTTGGGATATTTGGAAGTTATTCGAAACTAAACATGGTAACGAGGATACATTAAGAGAAATGTTACGAATCAAGAGAAGTTTCCAAGCATCTGCAAACACATCAGTCAATTTCGTGGCTGCACAAATGAGTAATGTGCCTGCGACAATATCTTACCCTGTCATCGACAATAGTCAATTTCAAAATTCAAATTTCAACAAAGATGAAATTGATATCGAAACAGATATAACTGATGTAGATATGAAGTAAATATAGCACTTAATCGACAGAATCCAAGCATTTTCTGTGATATTTTGAAAAAATAAAGAAAATTTTATTTAACTAAAACCATTTACGTTTTATTGAAATGCATTATATTTATATTTCTTTACATATTGAAACTATTTCATCTATTTCAATAAATCTGCATATTCACCAATGGTCCACATTGCGACTTGAATCAATGGTTGTCTGGATGGCAGATCATCAGCTATATGTTTCCAACATTGTTGCACAGCATAGGCATGAAGAGATGTTGTTTCTGAAATGAGTTGAATTAAATTACCTACAACATCATCACGAACATAATTACCAGCCTAATTAAAATAGAAGAAAAAATAAGATTAAATAAAAATTAAGATTTCAAAAATATATTAACGTACCGTTTGTAAAACTCTTAACATAGTATCAATATGCCATTTTGAACAAGTGCATATTTATCGGCACAAATGAACAAATTGGATGACCACAGATTTAAATTCAGGATCGGCCTTTTCAAGGAAAGATATCAACTCTGTTGTCATGGATCGCATATTATTTCCATTAATAAGAGCAAAACACAATTCCATGGATTTTTTGTCTTATAGAAACATCAGGATCTTTTAAACATTCAACAATTGTGGTACGGTGTCTTTGAACAGCATTGTAATCAGCTTGAACAGTTTCAAGTAACGTAGTTAATGCCACATATCGAATATTCTTATCGGTGTTTAACAGAAATCGGCCAAGAATATTGATACCTAATACACGTAGACCACTTTCTGACTACACTTGATGCTTTCAATCAAATTAGGCGACTTGGGTAGATTTTTGATCGAGGCAAGGCTTCATTTAGTTTTGAACTTTCCTTAAAGGCATTGTTAGTAAGACGATTTTGAAGTAACCAAAGAAGGTGAAGAGGAACATCTTGATTTCCTAATTACAGTGATTGATTACTATTTTTAAGAAAATATAGAAACACTTGATTATTCTTACTAAAAGACATTAGATAATTGATGAACAACACAAATACAAAAAAACATAAACATTAAAAAATGTTTGATAAATCTGCATATTCATCAATGGCTCACATGAGATGTATAAACACAATTAAGAGATCTAGAATGACTTAAAAATAAAAATAGAGATGCGACAATTGCATTCACAGCTCAGTTGAAATTATGCTGCTTTTAGATATTGTGGTGTTTGACCGTCTCGGAAGATTTTTCCGTCCCTCTTTATCCACTTCATCAATTAATTTAGATGATGGGCGATAATGTTTGATTGGCGATGGTTGAGGTGATATTATAGATGTTTTGGGTAACGAAATTGACATGGTAATGGGAATTATTGTTGCAAATGAAGTCTCAGTTAAAAGTGATTCATCTTCTTCGTTCATTGTATCATTATTATCATTCTCCTGGTCATGATCAATATGTATTGAAGACGTTCGATGATTGTTTAACTTTTCTGAATTGGAAGATTGAGTCTCTACACCCAAAATCGGTTTATCAGTATCTAATTCAATTTTATCATTTTCAAGGAACTCTTCACTTTCCTCATTAGTAACTTGCAATTTTTTAAAGGCTGGTTCATTTTTTAAAATCACTTTTGCTGAATCCGCAAGTTCCACAGGACAGTTCGGTTCAATATCATTGGTTAAAAATGGATTAGTACCCTTGGGGACTTCAAGTTTTATTTCTTCCTCCTCATCATCAAAATCCTCATCATCGACTAGTGGAATAGTAAGACAACCCTTAGAAGAGGAAATTTCAGCTTCAGGTGTTATGATTGGGCCATGTTCGGTCACAGATTTTATTAATTTATCTAATCTACTTTCGGGTGTTTCTGGTTTTTCCTTTGCAACATCTGGTTCGCTTGTTTTGGTCATATCAAAGGTTGCCAAGATATTGGTTCTTTCTGGTTTCTTTTTATTTTTGCTTTCAACATCAGAATTCAAATTCTTTGTTTCTAAATATTTTTTACTTTTCAGTTCAGAATATTGCTTCTTTTTTGGTTCACCATCCGATGAATTATTGGTAATCTTGGAACTATTTAATGACAATTTAGCTGCATTACTTCTTTCGTTGTTTTTAATGTTTGCGTCTATTGTATTAATCCTTTTACAGCTGGTATACCTTTGTGAAGGTTTCCTTACAAATTTTCTTTCTGGCTCTTTGACTTTTTCTTGGTGAAGAGTTGCTTGGAACTCAGTTCTACCAGAGAACCTGAAACGAGATCCCATTCTCATTAAATTTCTTTTCTGGTAAACTGGTTGATTAATTTGTGTAGATTTAAGACGGAAGAAGGCATGATGTTCAACAGCGCACTTCCATAAATGTTTAGATGACTTTACTGTTGGCATTCTGAAAACAAATGTGTGCTCTTGTTCGCGACCACTGTCATCATCCTCAACAACAACTAATATTAACTTTTTTGCTTTAAATTCTAATTTGATGATTTTTGGCCAGAAAAATAGCCCAATTTTTGATGTTCCTTCAAATACAAGAATACCAGTTGGTGTTAAACCTAAGGAATATTCATTTCCATCTTTTCCAAGAACAGTATGTATGTCCACACCATACATTTCAAGCCATTTTGCTTTGTTTAGAAAGGCTTTTTCAGCATTGGCTGGGTTCATTGATGTTGTCGACGTAATGGAAACTTTGTCAGTCATTTTATTATCCAGAACCTAGAAAAGGCAACAAAGATAGATGGTTAAAATAGTTGAAAAAAATGAAAACAAACAAAATCTCACCTGTTTAGGCTTCAATCGGTCCCATTCCTCAATTATTTTTCTTTCTATACTTTCATTTTGATTGGGAATAAATTTAAAAGATGAAACAAAGTTGATATCATGTTGATCTTCATCAAAGTCACCAAACTCTGATTGAAGACTTAGTGCACAAAGTTTTGCTGCATTTTCTGGAGCACAGGGCAGTTTGCCTGTTAATAAATCATTTTTCAACTGTAAAAAGAAGAGGTAACGCACATATTCATCTTTCAAATTATTAGGGTCAGATGAATAAAATTTAACTCGCAGGTGAAAAGTATAAGGTGGCCCAATTTTCACTTGTTTCTTGATGGATTTGGTGGTGTCAAGCCAGTGTTGAATGGATGCATGGTCAGTAAATTGTAATCCGAAATAGTCACATTCCTGTTTCAAGTCAATTTGTTCACATAATATCTCAAATAAAACACTTCCTTTGGCTTTTTTACAAACATAAATAGTTATTAAATTTCCATCTAAAAGCTGTATTTTACACTCAAGGAAATTTTTCAAATTGGATTTATTTGATGGATAGACAACAATATTATTGGCATCTGATTCAATTAGAGGTTTCGTTGAATGGTTCTGATGTCGACCAAATCGTTTAGATAAATATCTGAACATGGCTAAACACTAGATGAAATAAAAAAAGGGATAAAAAGAGTTTGAATACAAGTTAAACTGACACCAACAAAAAGTAATGAGTAAAAGGTTGGAATAAAAAGAAAGAGGAAAAGAAAGGAGAAGAAAAAAGGAGTTTCATTTGAGAAGAAAGAAAGGGAGAGAAGAAGAGAAGCAGAGCAGGCAAGACGGAGGAAAAGGAGATGAAGAGAGATAGAGAGAGAGAGAGAATGGCTATATGTTAGCTAATTTACAAGAGAGTGACTGAGAGGTCATTTTGACGGCGTTTGAATAAAGAAACGGCCATAGTTGTTTCTCTCTCTCTCTCTCGCTCTCTACTTGCTTCTCAGCTTTACCCTTACCAAAAACCGGTCTATCTGAATCCTAATACTCCTAATGCTCATACATCTTGCAACTTGAAGTAGTCGTTTGTTGGTTCTGTAGCTTCATCACCAGATCTTAAAATCTTTACCTGGAAAAGCAATGGTCAAACAAAAGTTCTCGCCTCACTTTAATCATCTCAAATTAGCGCTCAGGTTCAAGAAATCTTGAGAACCAATTGCATTTCTAATAAACAGATTGTTTTGCTATAAAGATGTAGACTCGGGTTAGATTTTGGTTAATTTTACATTTTACAAAACATGAAATACTGAGCTTCAATAGGAAATGTTGAAAATAAAATTTAAGAGAAATATAAACATGAACTTTCAGCAGCAAGTGAACTGAATATGGCTTTAATCCTTGACAGATTATCTCAAAGCCAGCTTTAGTGGAAAAATTAGAGTATACCTTTAACTTTTCCCTTAACTTTCACTTTGAAATCAATTTCAAGCCTAATTTTCAATGCTAATCTCGCCACTTGAAGTGTACTGTAATACAAGATTATTTAACTGTTCAAAAGGATCAAAATTCAATGTTAAACCGTTCAAAAAGAAACAATTTATCGAGCAAAAAATGAAATTAAATAGTTCAATGTAATAGTGTGAAAGAATGAGTTAATTTTGAAATATATTTTGCCTTTCAACATTAACCAAGATACTGATTGAATAGTTAATTGCAGTTAATAATGAAACAAAACTGAATAACAATATTGATTGACATTGATTAGATGAATCAAAAATGTAAATGTTGTTGCCATAATGATTAAATTTTTAATGTAAAAAAGTGTAAAATTAAAAGGATTGAATGGATTTTACAAATTTGGTTATTTGTTACGAGCATAAGTCAATTTTTTATTCATGTTGAAATGATTTACATTGAATATCATTGAACAGTTTTGTCTAGTTATTGTTTTATTCATTACTTAGTGTTAATTATAGATGAGATTATTCACCTAACCAACAATTAAGTTCACCGAACCCAAAAGAAATGTTGACTGTTCTTCATGAGCAAGGATTCTCAACCTGATTCCGAGAGACTTGAAAGTAGCCCTGTTCATCTCATCACTCTTAACTCTTTTTCTTATCATCATTTTGATGATTTTAGCCTGTTACTAAATAGCGACTTGAGGTGTGCTAATTTTCATAATACATAAGCCTTGCCTTAATTTTGTTGTTGCTAATTTACAAGCAAACTGGAAAAGGATCGCCTACTGACTAAATGCACCTAAAGATCAATTTTGTTCATTACCAAACGATTGACCCAAATCGTCTAGAGTTACAGTCAATCAATTGATATACTATGCTAACAACAGCAAACCAACGATAAAACAACAAGCTAATGAGCGATTGATTGTTAATAATGTATTAGCTAGTTAATGATACAATGCAAAATGAAAGCGGAAAGTTGATTGTTGAAGGAAAGAGGCCAGAATGGTATTGTTGATCAACTTACAATGATTAATATGAGATGATGAGACATGAATCAGAGCTGAGAATAACAAATGACATGAATCAACAGATTGCCAGCCATTGTATATTTAACGATACAAATAACGCCCAAAATGATTGGAATGATTGTAAACATTGAACACTCTGGCCACCATCAACCCACTCAATCAACTCAAACAAAAGGCAGTTAAAGGTTAATCTGATCAATGTTTTAATGGTTCACTTATGGTCAAAGTTTAGTCGACAATCAAGTCCATTTTATAATTAATTCATTTTTTGATAAGAAACCTTGAAAGACTAGAAAAAGGTAAAACCAGAAATATTGAAGGTAAACCTTAGGAGTTGATGTTTTGAAGGTGATCTTGTCCCATAATTACATAGTTTTAATTTTTGGCCTCAAAAAAAGATGATTATCATGGAAATGCATTTTCATTGTGAACTTGAGTGACTTTCAAATTACAATGTGTAATGTCCTTAAACTGCAAGTGAAAAGATGATCACAAAATCAACGCCAACATCAATTGACAAACTTCATTGGCCTCACCCTCATGACCTTTTAGACTTGATTGTTGGGTTAAATAATGGTTTTCAAGGGAATAATCAAAAACCCAGATAATGATATAACAATTGATAAAGATTCACTTCTTTTTCCAATTTTGTTCGTCTTTTGTTTTCCTCTTGTTCACCGATCATGTTTCCTTTTTCTGAGGCAAATTGTATGTTAATTATTACGAATGGTGAATCCGGTTAGATGTAACCCACAGGTAACCGGAAGGGAGGACCTTCGCTATTAAGTAACATGTTCAATGATCATTGGAATATTCATTGGCCAAAGGAAAAAGAAGCCAAAATTACAGGAAAAAGATGAGGTTGGAAGGAAAGAAATGCAGATTTGGGTAAAATTAGGTAAAAATTGAAAAACAAGTGAAAATGGTTTGCGCTTTGAATGTAAAGTGAAATAAATCAAGTTAAACTATTTTACGCTTCTCAAATTCAATCAATATGGTTGAGTAAGTAAAAGTTGACCGAGAAAAAAAGTAAAGCGGAAAAATGTTGTTCATAGAAACAGATGAATCTCTAGACAAGGAGTAACCTGATGAACCAATTTTTGGGTCTTTATCTTGCTTGATTAGAGAAGTAGATTAAATGTTTCACAGAAATTACTTTAAAAAATCTATTTCCATTATTTCTTATAAGATTAGTTACTCAGCAATTGAAATCCACCGAATCCAGATTAGCTTAGGCAATATGTATTGGCAAGGTGATGAAGTGATCAACTTACATGATGTAATGGCAACTCGTAACCAACCAGTCAACCATGATGTTCAATTGGTAAAGTTGAGCAAATTATTTGGTAAAATATTGCCACTTCTTCTCAAGATTATCCGGTAAAGTAATGAAATTTTTGATGCAAAGATCAAGATGATCTTAATAAAGGTTGAAATTTTGATTCCTTTAACTTGACAATACTTTGCTTCGGTGACCTTTTGATTACATGATTGCGTGATGATGATACTGGGAAAAGGTTTCAATTGTTGCATCTGTGAGTTGTTTTTTTGGTGAAGACTTGCAAGTCACAAAATTATGTAATCATCCAGCTGAATCGAATCAAACTTAATTCTTGTCAACATCTTCCTAATTCATAATCATTATTGAATCTCTTTTTCCTTCTTGTGAACATTTCATTCTCTTAAGAATTTTCTTTTATCGACTTGGATTCACTCAATAAAAGAGTCACATTTCTCTCTGGTTTCATCAACTGTACAGATCATATGTCAATGAATGGCTAAAGAATCCATATAATTTAATAATATTGTAGAATCAAATTGATGAAAATTGAAGGAGAAAAGGAAATTAAAACATGTGTTTTAGTAGATTCTTGACATGAAATCTCAAGTTTCATCAGGTTGATATTCAACTGATAGAAAGAGAGAGTTAATCGATTATCATTTTTTCTTAAAAAAAATTACAATTTACTGCAACAAATTAAGGTTGTCTCAAGCTGAAAGGTGTGTTGTCCCTTTACCATGGGTCTTGACAAGAATCATTGGTCATTGGCAATTGAAGCAATTTAATCATCAAAGTCAGGTTGAACCTTGTAAGAACAAATCAATTCATTAATCTTCAGTTTCAAGGTTGCTACAGAAAATGGAAGAACCAAAAGGAGAGAAAAATGTATTGAGTGAAGACCATTGCTCTTCATCTTCTTCTTCTTCTTCTTCTTCTGGTTTTCTCAGTTTTCACTTGATTTTCCAACCAGTACATCGCCCTTTATCAAGTTTTCAACTTTACATCGTGTAACCATTAAAATGGACAACAACTTTTGATGGTATTGATCAACATCTCATATTGTTACATTCAAGTTTAGTTAATAAATTTACCTAAAAGATAAATGTAAAGGGAATGAAGATTGAGAAGTTGTTTACATCGGATAAGCAACATCAGCTGTAAAAGTGACCAGTAATTTAATAAGCTTAAAATAGTCATAACAATAGTCCATCATCAAGGTCAAAGTAATTAAGGTTCTGTTATTCGTGAGAAATGAACAAGTCATTAATCAAAAAAACAGAAAGATAAACAAGAGTTCCTTCAAGATGGTCATCTTAACCCAAGTGTCTTGCCTCCTTCCGGGTTTCAATATGACTGGACTTAACTCCTTTGTTATTTTCAAAAAAAGGAGCACAATTAACCCAATTTATTCATCACTTGAACCGGCGCAAGTGAATCAAGTCTTGTAAATGTTAACAAAAAATTTGCTGTAAAACAATTGCCTGGTTGGAGATGGGTTTCATTAATTGGTTCATTGAAAATGATTATCCATGTCATATAGCAAAAAAAAAACACTTTCACTCAACAAGCCAATAATGATGGTTAATTAGCAATTATTTTTGACAGCTTTCAGCTTTTATTGTGCATTGGCTTCATCCATCAATGAAATTGACATTTAATCGTCTTGCAATTCTTTGGTGCTTGTTGAACTTGGAATGACCATCAATTATAACAAGAGCAATTTTCTCACAGCAGATTAGATTAGATTTGTTGTTTTAATAGAAACGATTAAAAATAATTTTACTCCATTCATAGTTAAGGGATGAATGTTGCTGGTAATAACTCGAAACATAAGCTTACCATATGATTAAACACGAAATCACGCAAAAATATAAACAGGTAAACATCATTGTTCATTTTTATCATCTGATAAAACAAAGTGATAAACCTTTACTTGAAAAACCGGAACATGAAATGAAATTAAAGCGGTAGACAATTGTTTCTGTTGATTAATGATAAAAATTAATTACAATTTATCTCAGGAAATGTTTCTACGAGCAAAAATGATCCACTTAAATCTGCACTCTTCACAATTAAATAAATTTTTCAAAATTAACAAGCAGACATTAAAACAAATCATTAGCCACTCAAAATGAGCTCATAAAGTGTCCTCTCTTGGTTTCAATTTAAACTAAAGTCAATTTGAAAATGTTGATTCTTAACCTAAAGATGAGTTTAAAATAACGAGATTCTAGTTTTCTGGATAAAAAGATTTCATTAAACTCTTATTATATTTTTCATCTGATTCATTAATCTCAAAGTACCATAAATTAATCTTTAATTACGAGTGTTTCAAGATTAACTGGTTTCATTTGGTAAAATGACCAAAGCCAAAAAATCCATGTTTGCTGTTCAACATTGACTGGAAGCAAATGAGTAGTCTTTAAATTTTGGTATTAAAATGGCAATTAATATCTGGCTGAATAATTAACCGATAGTAGATCAATGATCAAAATGTAATTAGACCATCAAACCCGGAAAGAAAATCTATGTAAACAAGTCTAATTTGTCTAATTGGATGAACTGATAAAATGAATTGTGGAAAATAAATGCAAAGAATTCATTGGTAAAGAGATTCAATCAGATTGCAACAATTGAAATAGCTATCACATGTTAATATCTGTTGGTGATTATTATTTGCCACTTTGTGTGTCATTTTGCGATTCATTTACTGAAACTATTCTTGAAGCAATCAGTTGAACAAACCAATGTGACTGGTAAACTGTGATTAGTAAACTTAAGCAGTTAATTTGTGAAAAGTGATCCCAAGGAAACAATACAATTACAATGGATAAATCAAATCTCAATGAATCAATGTTAATTGGAGACTCGGTTGGTGCAGTAAATGAACCAGTAATTAACTTTGAAGTGGCCACAAGCAATATCCGTAATTATACACCTGATGAAGAAAACATCAAAGAATGTGATCGAATTGCTTCATTGGAGAATCGACTTCGAATTGTTTGTCGCCGTCGTTATCAAGGAATTAGGGATTCAATGAAACCAAATGAATATGATCAAGTGACAATTGAACATGATAACCATTCTTGCATTAACCAGGCTCAACAATCATCCAATCCAGTGTCCAATTGTCAACTGTAAATACCAGTTTCACCATCAAGTCTAACCATTTTAATCACCTTCATTAGTTTATTAATTTTTCAATCAATAAATGTTGTTACATTTTTCAACCTGTAACAGTCCAATAATTGTATTCAATTGTTCATTTTAAACATTTGATTAAAAAGTTATCTCATCTATCAACTGTTTTTCATGTTTAATTACTCATGATTAAAGCTAATCAAATTGATTTCAATAAGATTTCCCTTTAATTTACCAATTCAACACCCAATAGTGAATATGATTAAAGGACCGTAGGACACATGATTAAAGCTTCAATTGAGTCAATGATTATCCACATGCGGAAGCTTAATCAAATTGTAGATTTCATTGCGTGATTCAAGTTATTATTGATAAAGGCAGAACATGAAAAAAGAGCATTTCATGAATGAGAAGTTCCATTCAATTAAGATTTAACAATGTTTTACATCAATTAGATGAAAGCCATTGAGGGATTCTCAGCAATTTAACCGATTGGTTAAATATAATGGAAAGGAAAACATGAAAAATTAAATAAAATCAATTGTTTCTCATTTGATTGCATTATAATTTAATGGAATCAAAATTTCTCTTGCATCTTGTAATGGAATCGTTGATTTGAATCAATATTGAACAACCATTCTTCATAAGCCTGAACAAGGGTGCAGTAAAAGGCAAGAATAGATAAACTTTCACTTTGTTTAATTAGTTGATTATTCCGTGTGGTTTAATTAACATTATGAATTATTTTTGACACAATAAGTAAGAATGATGTTTACTCAGTTTCAGGTCAACATCAGTGAACCATTTCTAGAGTTTGATACTAATGAATATGATGAGAGGAGTAATTATGTTTAATTTCAATTATAGCAATATAAATTTAACGGAATCGGAAAAAGGCCAAATTGATTACTCCTTTTCATCTCACTAAAATTGTTGACAGAAAAAAATGTTTATAAGACGATTTATCTGCCAGTCAATCGTCAATTCAGTAAACAATCTCATCGAGTAAACATCTGTTTCAATTCATATCTCTTTTTTGCGATTATTTGTGCCTTCAGTACTTTAAATTTCATACGAAAATGATGTCCACAAGTTCAAAAACCATTGTCTTGATTGCTTTGATTGTTATCATTGGAAGTGTTTTGGTTGCCGCTCGGGGTAAAGGAGGTGAAGACATCATCATCTTAGGTGGAGGTTTTGGTGGTTATGGTGGTGGATTGATCCAAGGTGGAGGACACGACAAGAAGGGCGGTGAAAACATCATTATTCTTGGTGGTCATGGTGGCTATTGGGGACGTCGATGAGTCTAATTATTGGTCCATTGATGATCCATTGATGATCCATTGATGAGTGCAAGTTCACACTAAGGAATGGATAAAAAATCAATTTTTCAACTCTCATTATATCTCTATACTTCTGTTTTGTTTTCTAACTTAAAATGGATTTGATTTAAACATTAAATTATATTTTTATCATTAATATCTGTCATCTTTAAATAATTTTATCGCGATCATGATGGTGAGTCGATTTTTAAGTGTTTTATCTATCAGATCATTCAGTTTTTACAGATTTCAGCATTCGCTCTGGAAAAATTGATAATATAATAATTATGCAATGTTTCTCAATTATGATACTTTCATTTCATTGCTTGTAATTTCAGTAATAGTTGAAAGATTAAGTCAGCTCAGAAAGTGAATTTAGTTAGACAATTACTTGATGTAATTATAACAGTAATCATTGTTACAACGTATATCATATTCACTATTCAAATCATTCTTGGATTACATTACTATTAGAATATATACCTTTTTGATTTTTATAGTCATCCTCATATATTTTATTTCAATCCTCATCTTGTTTTAAAGATGATCTAAACAAGAGTCTAAAAAATTATTAGGTCTTGAGACAACGTTCTCGAATTTACAATTGCTTTGAGTGAAAAGAGGAAGAGATTTAGGGACATAACACAATAAAGAGTTCTTATGATTATGGAGTAAAAATTGGAAAAAATGAGCAGAAAATAATCTAATTGATTGAAGAAATTTCAAAATATGAAAGCTAAAATTATGGTCTTTATAAGATTTCCAATCTATTAGTTCCAACAGATTCCAAAAACATTTGATTAAATTGATTTAGCTTAGATTTCTCCTATTGGTTGCTGTAATTGCCAGACCATTTGAATCCTTATCAAGAGTCCCATGTTTCAGCTGGGAAATTATTGACATCCTTTTGCTCTAAAATTTTTTGACCATCATAAACATACGATAAACGTATTCTCATTCTTAATTGAAGCTATAAAAAAAGATGAAAATATATTAATATAATGATAATATTTTGTGGCTGTCTAACTTACTTTATTAGGATTTGTCACCTTCAAGATTTGTTCAACATAACCTGAATTATTGGCTGGAATTGTGGTGCTTGTCGGAGGTAACAGCTGTAGTTGGAATGTCTGAAAAGATAAAGAAGATATTTTAGTTTTAATTCACGTTGTTGATCAAAATTATAAGTTGGTATAAAAGTTACCTTTGGAACAGCAGCTTGAAACAGGAAATCTGACATTGGTTTGTCATAACTATTTGAAGCTTTCATTCTGATAATAAGGGTTTTTGGCTCAGTACCATTTTTTTCAAATTCATAAATTAATTTTAATCCATTTTCATCATAAGCTTCTAGACTTGGAATCGATGGTGTTATTTGTGGAATTGGTGAATCCAAAGAATTTAATCCGTCAAATAGATTTGATTCAATCAGAGATTTGTATTTTAAGCTACTAGAATCATTATCTTCTGTAATTGCCAGAGAATTATTGGCGACTGAAGTTCCATTATTACTGTTTGTTTCAGGCTCAATATTTATCAGTCCAAGGAGATCATCGATCGCGCTATTATTATTTGTTGAATTTTGCACAGGGTTTAACGGTGGGATCGGAGATGAACTTGTTTCAACAGTACTAAGGAGATCCAATAGTGCTGCACTTGATGCTTGATTATCACTTTTAACCTCACCAGTTGAATTTAAATCAGGCTTAGATAATGATTCCATAAAGTCATCTTCCACTAACTGACCATTTTGTAAATTGTCTCTTTTTTCATCTCTTGATTTCATTGGAGGCATCTTTTCAAGCAAACTAAGTCGAAGTTGATTATATTTAGTAAATATGGTTGAGAACTCTACTGATCTTTGTTGCAATTCAACATTCATATGACATCCAAATGCGTCAACGATTGACTTTATCTTAGGGGCACAATTAGGATACCTTGCACTTAGTTTTATCAATGTATTAATTGTATACTCTTTAGTTACAATGGACATTAAACTTGAAGAAGTTATTTCTTCACATATTGAAACTATTTCATCCGATTGAACATTCAATGGTTCAGTTGAATCATCGCCAGATTCTAGACAAACTTCATTCAATAAATCTGCATATTCACCAATGGTCCACATTGCGACTTGAATCAATGGTTGTTTGGATGGCAGATCATCAGCTATATGTTTCCAACATTGCTGCACAGCATAGGCATGAAGAGATGTTGTTTCTGAAATGAGTTGAATTAAATTACCTACAACATCATCACGAACATAATTACCAGCCTAATTAAAATAGAAGAAAAAATAAGATTAAATAAAAATTAAGATTGCAGAAAAATATTAACGTACCGTTTGTAAAACTCTTAACATAGTATCAATATGCCATTTTGAACACGGAGCATATTTATCGGCACAAATGCACAAATTGGATGAACACACAGATTTAAATTCAGGATCGGCTTTTTCAAGGAAAGATATCAGCTCTGTTGTCATAGATCGTATATTATTTCCATTAATAAGAGCGAAACACAATTCCATGGCTTTTTTTCTTATAGAAACATCAGGATCTTTTAAACATTCAACAATTGTGGTACGGTGTCTTTGAACGGCATTGTAATCAGCTTGAACAGTTTTAAGTAACGTAGTTAATGCCACATATCGAATATTCTTGTCGGTGTTTAACAGAAATCGGCCAAGAATATTGATTCCTAATACACGTAGACCACTTTCTGACTTGATATCCATGATAGAGATGACTGTTTCATATAATATTGCATTTCCTACGTTTTTAGTACTTTCAGTATTGGTTGCAACCTGAATTTACAAAGATAAAATGAATCATTAGAAGGTTTCTTTGCAGGCTACATTTTGAAACTTTACCTGAGCAAGAATGTCGTTCATAGCTTCACTTGCTTCCGGATCATTATGTCCAAGAAGTCTGAGCAAGCGAAGAATCTTGACTTGAAGAAAAGGGTCACTAACACCACATACATCATGTTCTGGAGAGTAACCGGCCATGATTAAGTTTTTCAATATACGAACCAAATTCGGTACCATCTAAATATAATGAAGGAAGCAGAGTGATTAGTGAGATGACAAATCATTTTTGAAATGACATGCGAAGCAAATGCAACAAGGTTACCTCATGATACTTTTTTCCGAAAAGTAAAGATTAGTGAAAGAGAGCAAGAAGTGAGATTAATAGAGTGTGGAGAATAAGCAAGCAGTGTTTTTAGTTTGGAAATTCATAGAGTATAATAGTTCTTAAATTATTACCTTTTTGAAATAACAGAGAGTCTCTTGACTTCGTTCACACATTTCGATAATGAGAGTGATACCGGTAATTAAGACAGCTTTAAAGGAAAAAAAAGTTACGTTGAATGTTTCGCATTGCAAATAGTTGGGGAGAGGAATAAATATCGCTAACCATGATTTTTTTCTGTCAAAAGAGTCCGTGATGCTGGAAGAAACATTTCCATAAAGTCTGGAATCTTGCGAATTATACGGGCTGCACATAGGGCTGCCTTTTTCTTGATGTATGCATTAGAAGATTTCATAAGGCGTTCAACTTCACCAGCAAGATCTCTGCTCATTTCTGGAGAGCATATTGTCCCTAAAGCACACAATGCAAGTCCTACCACATATTGAATTTGACTGTTGAGGTCACTGTGAAGGAAAAAAATGAGATTAATAGGCATGAATAGGAAAATAGCACTTGAAAACAACACTAGATTAGTGAGGTTTTCGGGCAAGCATCAACCTTACGTTATTTTTCTTACTTTTTTAGGGAGTTGGTTATTAAAAGGTGAACATCTTGTCTTTCATCCAACAGAAGCATGGCTCCCAAATAACCAATTCGTTTATCAGTGAATCTTGGTGAAGCTATCAATTTCAAACATTCCAGCTAAAATAAAAATAGTAATGCGTTAGATGTTTACAGGCCTTTTGCTGGAACTGCGAAACTAACCTGACCGAAATGAGCTGGATACCCTAACATATGAATATATAACAATTTAGCCACATTTCTGCAACGCCAAACACTGTCTTCTTCACGGAAAGTTGATCGGATATAAGCGCACTCTTTTTGAATGACAGCTCTTTCCTCTGCTGCTGTTCTAGCTGCTCTTATTTGCCGAATAAGATCTCGAAGGCGCATAGGAGAAGGCATTCCAGAGGTTAACCTGTGAGTGAGAACGAAAAAAACATAAACAATAATATCAATAACAAATAGAAATTAAATTTGACTTTGCAAGAAAAAAGATGACATGGCTATAGTTTCTGGTTAACTAAGTAGACTGAGGAAAGGTAAATATGATCAAAGAGAACCCTTTCATAAAGTAACATTTTATCTCATTCAAGATATAAACTACTCATAATACCTAAATTGATCAATTAAGGAAGGACTGTTAAAGTGAAGAGCTAAAAATGATATCAAGATGATTGATTAATAATAAATCTACTTACTTGGATAATATTGTATTTTGTAGATCCATGGTTGATGTGAAGAGGGTTCCTTATTGATGAACCTGATTGTGTATTTACCTGAGAATAGAAAGAAGCAGGCAACAAACTCACCCACACCTGAAGTTAAAAACGTAGTTGGGATGAGCTACAGGCAAGACCAGGTAAAATTTAGAGCACTAGATAGTGACCAAGATATCCATAAGTCAAATAATTATCATAAGATGAAAGAATAAGGTGGCTAAACTAATAAATTAAGATTTTTTATCAAAAAACAGTTAAAGAAACAACCTCACAAGCAAGAATGAAGGCAAGGACTCAGAGAGGCTCACTCAAGTCTCTCTTTTTCTCTCCATGTTGATGTTTCTCAGCTAAGAGATTTTTTTCTGATAATTTTTTTAATTTGCCTATTCTTAAATTATTTTTCATGCAAAATCGATTGCTATATTTAACAATAGGGTAAATTTCAACTTGAGAGCTGCCAATTATTTTCATATCTTAAAAATTATTAATAAATTTGAGGTAATCAACACCGCAGGTGATTAATTCAACTCTTGTGGCATAAATTTAATTTTTCTGATCGCTTTAGACAATTTATTAAATGAATACTAAATACTTAATTTTTTTGAAATGCATTGGAATGCTTTTAATAATCAATTTTAGTATTGAGAGCATTTGCTTTTTACAATTACAGACTTAGCCGATAGATCAATGGTAAAAATTGATTGCATAATTATTCGACTATTTGCATGATTATTGTACCTAATGCATACAATTAATTTATTGCATGCATTATTGCTTCAACCCAAAAAGAGGGTTGATATTGACAAATGGGATACACTCATTAATGGATGGCCACCTCCAAGGACCCGTTGGCATCGGTTGCATGGCTTGTACTGGATTTGAGATAACTGCGCTTGGATTCCCAGAAGTGAGATAAACTGGACCGTTAGTTGCACTAACTGGCTGAGGAAAAGGTGATGGATATGAAGATGAAGGTAGATTGGCTTGAAGATGGTGATGATGATGGTAAAGATGAGGAGGAATAGGAACTTGGGTCTGTGATTGGTGTTGCTGCTGATGTTGGCCAGTTTGAAATGCATCTACAAGAAGGTAAAAATTTATAATTATCAATTTTGTTTAATTTTGTAGCAATTATTAATCAAATTCCGAATAACTAACCGATTTTCGGATAAGCGCATGGATGAGGTGATTGTTGAGCAACAAGAGTGGGCTGAGAATAAATAATTGGATGAGCTAATCCAAATGAATTAGGAGGTGCAACAGTCATTGGATATAATCCTTCACCAGCAAATCCATAATTAGGCCCATCATTAACAAAAGTAGTAAACGGCACTGAATTCGGAGGATATAATAAAGGTCCATTGGCTAGTCTTGCTGGAGATTTTCGTATTGCAATAGCAACATTGAGCTTCCTTCCTCGTAATTGAAGATTATCAGCCTCCTTCAGAACTCTGCGAGCTTCATCTTCAGTTTCAAAAGTAACAAAGCCGTACCTGTAAAGACTAGAACCAAAAATATCGCAATTAAAAGACTGTGTTATGAAAATCCGCTGTGACTGACTGTGAAATGACTATGAAAATTATTAACTTAAGTGATACTGAAATACGAGAATAGACCCTTCGATTTTTGATCACCATCAGTTTAACCTTTAAACATTATTATATTTACCCTTTAGGAACACCAGATTTTTCACTAATAATTTTGACTGCAATAATATTACCATAGTTGGCGAAAAGAGACTGGAGCTCAGCTTCAGTTGTCTAGAATAGAAGATAAAAATATTAGAACATGGCAGACCAAACAGCAAACACTAATTATTATAATTATTGGATTAATTCTTACATCAGATGATAATCCACCGACAAAAATACGATTAGGTATTGCTGTTCCAAATCTCGACTGGTCATTAGAATGGTAAGCATTTGATGACGAAGGTGAAGCTGGTGATGAGTTCACATCATATCCATTGATATTGCAAGATTTTCCCATGTAATAGGGACAACCGAGATGAAGGACACGAGGGTAATCCATAATCTTGATGTTCTTGTGATGATAATGAAAACTTGTAGGTATAAAACAAGAGAGACAAAACAGAGATGATTAGGTTAACATTTAACAACAACCAACAAAATACAAGAAGAGCTAGCAGACAACTACAACACCAGAAGCAGCAGCAGCAGCAGCAGCAGCAGCATCAACAAAATTGCAAAATTAACCGCGTGAAGCCTAATTAACCCAATTGCCTATCTTAAATTAATTTTAGATTAATTTATCGACTAATAATTTAAATTTGAATAAAGAAAAATGTAGAAAAATGACTTATCACAATTAACATTAGCGAACACTATTACAAATATTCATTGTTATGGATTCAAACCGAATGTTTCTCAGGTAACTCAACAGAACAAAGATAGCACAACACAGGCTCACTTTCACTTTTCTTATTTACTCTCATTTTCTTACTTTGGACTTACCTGCAATATTTTTTAATAGACTCCGTCAAATACACATCGATGGTCTAATCTTTTCAACATTTTCACGGACTATTTAACTTAATTAGAAACAAAGATCATTGACAACTGTTGGGTTAGCAACATTAGACGACTGACTGTTGGATTGTTTTTCTGCAGAACAAAGAGGGTAGAGGAGAAAAGATGAAGACAAAGAGAAGGAAAAAGGAAAAGGAAAAGAAAATTAAGACTTTTTAAGCTTTCAATATTCTGGAAGAGATTAACTTTCAAAAGATTAATCATTTTAAGGCCTTCAAAATGATTTCAGGTCGGACAAAAGGTAAACATTTTTCAATTTCATGGGTTATTATTAATGTTTAGCATTCGTAAATGGAATGAGCAATATATTAAACAATTGTTTTTTCATTAATATAATTATTGGTGACAATCAAAGAAAACCTGATAAAAAATACCGATGTACAAAAATTGAGAGTATAGCGAAGCTTAAGCGGTCAACATTGTTAATATCATTCTTTCTCTTGAATAACTCGATCCAATGATAGAAATGAAGTTTTTTCATTGTTGTTCATGCAACCAACAGGGCCATATTCACATTCAGCACAAACTAAGTATTTAACACCTTCAACCGTATTACTGAATCCCATATTTTCATAGGTGTAGATGCTTTCAACCAAAAGATGATTGTTTAACACTTCTTTGACACAATCTTCGTCTTTTCGAGTCGCTACAACAGGTAGTTCAATCTGAAATGGAAAGACACACAGATTAATAACGAGAATGAACAAATTTTTATCATTTTGAGCAATGATAAACTATAGCAAGAAATACCTTCTTCTCGATAAATTTGGCTTGCTTTGGTCTCAGAATTAAACAAGAACACTTTTTACAAATGATTTTTGATTCATTAAACTGAACAACGTCACTTTGAGCGGCTTGTTCCATTTTTGTGGCTTCAATATTGGATACCTCTGAACTCATAGTATTTTGCTTTGTCTGTAATAAATGAAATAAACATTAGAAAACACTTATTGGAAACAATTAGACTTACCTGTTGATGTTTGTGATTGATAAATTATGATGATAATAATAAATTAAATTTAAATCAATACAAATTTACTTGTTTGTACAAAAAATAAAGATGATTGTTGATGTTATTGATGGTTGTTGGGCTAACAAGAATCTTGTTACAAGATGTTACCAGTCACCTGTAGATACAAGAGCTAAATTCAAATACAGTAAGTGCATTTATACTAATTTTTTCATTATTTCCATGTATTTTGGACACTAAGAGAAACTTTTTCTTAAGTTTGAATGAACTTGTTATTGAAGATTACAATTTTCATGGGACATCGAATGGAACAAAGTAGTCAAACCAATATTTAGTTGAAAAAATATGTGATATGTTTTATGATATAAATTTGTATTTTACTTTAAATCATCTAAAATGATTACAATGATTACTTCAAACTGCTTGTTCATTAATAAGAGATTGGAATTTCGGCGAACATGTCATTGATGATCAACAACATTCTTTGTTTCCTGAAACCAAGAATCATCAAGCATTTTCACATAAAGATAAAATATCAATAAAAGTTAGCCTCGAGTTCGTGAATAGGGAGACCCAAGTCGGACATTGAATCTCGATCTACTAATACACGGCTGCCCCCAAAAGAACACCTTAACGTCCAACTCTCTCCAGATTCTCCTTCTTTGCAAATAATTTTCCTCGAATAAAGCATTGTCACCAATATCAGGTAATTCTGCATACCTTGCTCGTAATATATTGTGTAACTCAGTGTTTGTAGCAACTGATAATTTTCTATCGATAAAAGCTCTCGTATTTGAATAATGACAATAGTTCTCAGTACAATTATTTTCATTGTAAAGCTCACAGTCAAGGCTATACAACCATATGGACATATCGAAACAATTGCCCTCCGGCTCCAAATAAGAACTCAAGACAAAACGATCACCATCATTCAACCTTCCCAAACAGTTCTCTCTGGTGAAGAGATATGGCATTATATCAAGGTCATCCTCATCAGGCTCAACAGGCTCAAAAAAACGGGGATTGAATGATTTATTTTCAATATTTCGTAAATGAAAATGATTATTAGGCGCATAAACTAACCAAGTCAGCCTGATCAATTCGACTGGAATTCCGATTATCGTCGAAAGCTGTCAAGATAAAATTGAATGTCAAATTTAATCTGAGCAAAATTGAAATGAAACATAAGAAAATGGCTTACCTGGTTAATAACTTGCTGATCTTTGTATGGAAACCTTTCATCCGACCAATCTATTACTATATCATGATATCCCTCATTTTCAACCTTAACCTTTATGGTAACTAAATAATATATCGAAAAGTTATAATAACATCACTGTATTATCATGATTTATTAAATAAATAGACTCACCTTTATTTAAGTTATCCTTTTTTTCAATATTTTTCAGTGAATTATCCATTGGCAGGAATAAAAATTATCTTTTGTGAAAGAAATGGTTTTGAAGCATTAACTGTGAAAAGACTTGACTGGCAAAAATGAACTTGAAGCAAAGAAGAAAACAAAAGATTCCCAAAGAGATGTTGACCACAACTGAAACTTGAATTCAAAACTTCACCCTAAAAAACAAAAACCGGAACCAGAAACAAGTGTCCAGTTTAAACTAGCTCAGTGGGAACAAAAGAATTCGAAGCAATATTCAGTTGAAAAGATTTCATTTCAAGAGTCTTGTTTTTAGGTAGTTCGGAAGCAATATTAAGTTGAAAAAATAAGTCTTATATTTTATTTTATATATTTTAAATAAAATATCTTCATACAATTGAATGGAAAAAGTTTATTGTATCAATAGGTAAGTCGAGTAGAGCAAGTGAATCACAATTAAACATATCTAAAATGATTTCAAAGGCGGTGATAAAGCGCTTTTCCCAAGCATAACTCCAGCAAGAACGTCAATCATAAACTCGACCACGGTTTTGATCAGTTTAAGAAGTAATGATCCCCAGTTGAGTTGATCCATAGCTGTAAGTATTCTTTCACCAATTTTAGGCGATGAAACTGTTTCTCGGACCTTTCGTGATTTTATTCCTTCAAGAATGGACTTTGAAAAGATGTTACGCCATGATTGATCCACATTTGAGTTTAACTTTCCAGCAAACTCTAGAATCGTGTTAAGAACTAGCTTACCATATTCATTAGTTTTAATTGCTAATCCATCAGCATTAAAATTCGTCAAGCTTGATTCACGGTTCAATAACGATGTGTTCAACGCGGTCACTTTATTACTCTGAATGTGATGAGCTCGAGAGGCACAAAATTGAAAAATAAAGATGATCAAGAAAACAGAGAAACATTTGTTGGCCATTACAGCTTTAAAAAAATTGATTCAAACAAACACACAAAATGACCAATGCAAATAATAAGACGTTTCAAAAAATCCTGAGACGAAGTTAACCAGTTTTGCCTAATCTCAGGTTTTTTAAACAGATTACCAGATCTTTAAATGACCCTAACTTTAGATTTTCAGAGTCATCCAAGTTTTACCTGAAGTTTAAATTGTTTATCGTCATTTTGGACTTTCTTTTGAATATTCAGTTCACTTTGGTCTAGATAATATCTATGGACAGTCAGGCAAATTTTAAGCAAAGTAAGGTCAATTTTTCGGGTTGAGAGTTGAGTGAATGTCATCATAATGCAAAAACTATTGGCTTATCACAGATTTTCAACTTGATTTCAACTAATTTACTTTTCACTCATTTTAGTAGGACATTTGTTTGCCCCAATTTTGATTTATGTGACAACTGAAGTAATCATTGAATCTTGGCACAAATAATGGTTGAACAGATTGCTAATATTTTAGTTCATTGGTTATTTACTTGATAGAAATGGTCTGTGAGTTGACAGGTGAATTTAAATGTTGCTATTCAGATACTTGTCTCGACTAGTTGATATCAAAGTAATTGTCAGAGTCAATTTAAGTGATTATTCTGAGAAACTGCCACTATTTCGGATATTTCCAATGTAAATAATATTGATTCTCTGATCATTTTCAATTCATCTTCAGTCCATGTTTTACGTTTATCTTTGTTTTAACAGATAGTTACTAATAGAAAGAAACAATGCTTCAAAAATTGTTGCCTCAACCTCAAACTGATTGGAAAAATATGCTTGCAAATCTGTTATCATCTAGAAATGATATATCCTACAAGATATCCTAATTGTAACCCTAAGATAAAGTCAATTGTTGACAGATTTGGATGTCACATGAATGTTGAATTGCAACAAAGGTCAGTAGAGTTCTCAACCATATTTACCGAATATAATCAGCTTCAACTTATACATAAATAAAATATGAATGGGTGCTTTTTGAATCAAATTTACTTTTAATGATTGGGAAAATTTACAAAAAATCGTCTTATTTTGAGAGAAATATTTACTTTATACCGATACTAAAGATCATCGATATCAATTTCATCAGGATTGAAAATTGTGTCTGGAGCTTGATTCTCATCAATAATAGTATTAGTTGTAGCACGAACAAACGAAATATCTTTTTTGGAAGGTACGACTTTAGCCCGTTTTTCGGTTTCTTCCACAGCTTGAGAAACATCGGAATCTGCAATCTGCATTTCCATCGCTTCCATACTTGAAGCTGGTGTCTTTTCTTTAATTGTACTCATCATTTGTGCAGCCATGAAATTTACTGATGTATTGAAAGTTGCTTGGACACTTCTCTTGATTCGTAACATTTCTCTTAATGTATCCTCGTTACCATGTTTAGTTTCGAATAACTTCCAAATATCCCAAAATTCTGGTTGTGTTCTAGGATCGGACATTTGACTACAGTGAGCGTAAATAGCTCGTGCTCGATCAATTTCTCCTAATTTTTGTTCGAGATCAGCAAATCTAAGACACATCTCTCTTGCTTCGTTATCACTGAGATTTTCAATGGCTTTCTCATATATTTGTCTTGTGTAAGTTACCCCGAACATTTCAGCTGCTTTCTTTATATAAATATTATACATTTCAAATCGACTTTTGGAATCGACTTCTCGAGTTGCTCTCTCATAAATGGACATCGAATGTTTCGCCAATCCGTAATCTTCTTCTAGCTTTGCATAAAGAAGGTAAAATGTTTTAGCTAAGTTTTTGCTTTGCTTTGATTGGATAAAATCACTTTTGCTTAAAAAAATGAAGTTGCAAGATTTTGCAATAATTGTAACAATGCTTGACATTGTCTATTTGAAATTAATCTTTGCATAATTCACTTGTGCTTATAGTACGTTAGTCTAAAATGGTTAATATAGTTGATTTTTTTTATGTTCAAAGTAATGGATCTCGAAACAACCGCCAATATGATGTACACAATTGTTCCAAGGAGGACTTCGATGCCATGCTACAAGAACTCACTGGAACAAGTGGCAGAGGCTATCGTGTTGATAACATCACAACCTATTGGCCTACAATACTTGGCTATTTTCAAAGACGCAGACCCTATGAAGTCACCATATATCCTAGTAAAACCCCAAGTTTTAATTTCCTCGTCGATCCAACAAAAAAAGTAAATCCACCAACATAAATGGACATCGACTGTAAAAAATAAAGGCTTCTTCATAATAATTGTTTGCTCAAAATTATCACTCCTTAATTCCATTTCGGCATATTCACACCAAACAGTTGCTAAATCATTGACTCTGGCATACGATGCTTTGACAGCTTGCTCGAATACTTCTCGTGCATCTTCTGGTTGGTCATTTTTTTCATAAAATTAGGCAAACTCGATCCATAAAGAATGTACTTTTCCAATTGCTTGCTTGGGATCAACAGTTTGAACAGCATTCATGTAAGTTCGAATGACTTCCAAAGGATTTTCTTCTAATAATTTAACCTTTTTATGCCATTCTTCAACATTATGAGGATTTTGCTTAAGTGCAACACTGTTCAGCAACAACGGCCTCCTCTCAATCAAATACTCGTATTTTGCCAGCCGCAGTTCTAATTCAACCTCCTCATCATCAGTTAAGTCTTGATTCTCCATCTGAGCTTTAATAAGATTTTCCTCACTTTGGGAATATGCATCAAAAACAAGTGAAAAATCTTTGATGGTCATTACAGATGAGATCGCTTCTTCGTAAATATCTCTAGCTCTTTCAAATAATCCGCTTCGTGTAAAGTATTGGGCATATGCATTCCAAAGTTTACCTTGCTCATCTCTATATTGTTTGATTCCTTCTCTTATAATGTTTTCGACATTCAATGATTGAACTTTATCAGGATTTTTGGAGATCAATTCACATAAGTCGTTCCAAAGTTGATGCTTTGATTTTCCTTCCTTGGAAATAAAGTTGTCATCATTGACAATATCATATAATTTAAGGGCTGCATCATCGAGTCTTCCGATTCCTCTCAAATAATCGATGAACTCTTCACCATCTTCTGGAGCCAGTTTCAGATATCTTTTGTACACTCTAATAGCTGTCTCAGGAATGTGATAAGATTTTACAAACTCCAAGTAAAGTGGCCAAATCCGATTGTGTTGAGTAATAGGTAATGCTTGTAGAGCTCGGTCAAATGTACGACGAGTTTTGGTTATAAGATGCTGGTGCATTAATAATTTCAGGTATTCAATCCATATACGAGGCATTTTGTGCATGAAAACTAAACTCCTCTCGAAACAATTGTTTACTTGCTTGTATTCAATGTCAACGATTGATTTTCCATCCAAATTTCTTTTCCTCCAAAGCAGGTATCCTTACCATAACTTATAACTTCCCGGTAATTCTTTCAAAGCTCGTTCGTATAATAAGTTGACAACTTCCAATGGAGCCTTTTCATCTTTCTTAGCACTAATATATCGAAGCCAATGTTTGATTGAATAAGGATATCGGCAAACTTCCTCTTCGAATGGCAAATTTTCCGGTTTACCAAAGTTTAATCTGAGAAAGAAAATAAGAAAAAAAATTAGGTGAATATGAGGGAAAAGATGAAATAAACATGATTCAACTTACGTGGATAACAAAATATTCTGAGAGTCCATTGATTGGTTGATGGTCAATTTATTGACATTCAATAAGTTTTAAGACAATTTGCAGTAAAATGAGTAACAATCATAAAAATAAGATATAAAACAATGTTTACATTTGGTTATCTGATATCTGCTCATATCGAGAAAATGTCGATATATCGATTGATTCGGTCTTTTGTTTACATTTTATTTCAATGTTTATGTTTTTTTGTATCTGTGTTGTTTCTCAATTATCTAATGTCTTTTAATAAGAATAATCAAGTGTTTCTATATTTTCTTAAAAATAGTAATCATTCACTAAAATAGTTCTTGGCTTACGAGGGAATGAAGATGTTCCTCGTCACCTTCTTTGGGTACTTCAAAATCGTGTTACTAACAATGCCTTTGAGGCAAGTTCAAGTTAAATGAAGTCTTGCCTCAATCAAAAAAGCTGCCCAAACCGCCCAAGTTGAGTGAACTCATCGGTAAAGGAACAAGTGTAGTCAAAGGAATTGAAAAAATTGCTAAAATCGGTTTGAATGTTAGTGGAAATTCCGTTCTAGAATTAGAATCCAACAAAACAACAAGCAACCATTTGCCTGATTTAACTGAATCAAATAGCACTGTAAATAATTCTAATGAGTCCTCAGCTGATATAAAAGGCGAAAAAACCGTCGAAATAAATGTTCAGAGATCTAAACTCAAACCACTTAAACTTCCAGAAGATAAGAGATTGAACATAAAATTACCAGAGACTCAATCTCTAAGTAACAGATCCAAGGAAAGTAAAGTTCCTTCATCTAGAATATCACTACTAGAACTACTTACTATAAATTTGCTTGATTTTGGAGCAACACGAGAGTTCTCGTAAGAGTTTGTTGATAATTACATGAAAATTATTCATGCTGCTGCTTTACAGGACCGTGAAGGTGTTTTGCGCTCTTCAATTAATTTAGGTTTCCTGACTGGATATGAATCAAAAATTATGGAGAAAGCTCATGTTGATGCAGTAATGATTTTAGGACAAGCTTTTGCTACTGAAGGTGATTATGATTTTGGTGCTCAGGACACAACTCGTCGTATAAATGAACTTATACCCGTTATGCTACAACATAGACTCACCCCTCCGCCTGAAGAAACTTACTCTTTACACCGAAAAACATCGGGTGTGTTCTTATTGTGTACTGAGTTAAAGGCTGTAATTAATTGTAAAGAATTATTCCAAGATATTTATGAGAAATATTTAACACTTGAATAGTGCAATGTTTATGATGTATTTATAGTACAATTGAAATATGAATATTAGTTGAAAATTACTAGCTGATTTGTTTTGATTAAAATTTTCTTTGTCTAGCACAGGCTTGGCTTGGCTTTCCTTTCTTTTATTTTTTTCATTCTTTCCATGTATTTTTGACACCAAGAGACACTTTTTCTAAGTTTGAATGAACTTGTTATTGAAGATTACAATTTTCATGGGACATCGAATAGAACAAAATAGTCAAACCAAGATTTAGTTGAAAAAATTGTGATATGTTACATGATGTAAATTGTTATTTTACTTTAAATCATCTGAAATGATTACAATGATTACTTCAATCTGCTTTTACATTAATAAGAGATTGGAATTGTGGCGAACAAGTCATTGATGATAAGTAACATGCTTTGTTTCCTGGAGCCAAGAATAATCCTTCATTTTCACATAAAGATAAAATATCAATAAAATTTAACCACGAGTTCGTGAATAGGGAGAGCCCCATTGTGATTCATTGTTTGAGCTACACCAGCGTACCCAAATGAACATGTTGATGTGTAACTCTCTCATTATTCTCATGCTTTGCGAACGATTTTCAATGTATGAAGCATCGTCTACAATATGAGGTAATTCTGCATACCTTGCTCGTAATATCATTTGTAACTCAGTATTTGTAGCAACTGATACTTTTCTATCGATAAAAGTTCTCGTACTTGAATAATGACAATAGTGATGAGTACAATTGTTTTCATTGTATAACTCACAGTCAAGGCTATACAACCATAAGTGTAGACTGAAACAGCCATCCGACCCCAAATACAAATCAGTACTCATAACAAAACGATCACCATCATTTAACCTTCCCAAACATTTCTCTCTAGTGAAGTGACATGGCATTAAAGCATTGTCGTCCTCATCAAACACTTCAGGGTCATCCGCATCAATATCCCAAAGCCGAGGATCGAATGATCTATGTTCAATATTTCGTAGATCAAAATGATTATGAGGCGCATAAATCAATAAAGCCATAAAGATGTATTCGACTGGAATTCCGATTATCGACGCAAGCTGTTTAAAATAAAATTTAATGTCAAGTTTAATCTAAAGCAAAATTGAAATGAACCAGAAAAATGGCTTACCTGGTTAATAACTTGCTGATCTTTGTATGGAAAACTTCCATCCGACCAATCTATTACGATATCATGATATCCCTCATCTTCAACCTTAACCTTTATGGTAACTAAATAATATATCGAAAAGTTATAATAACATCACTGTATTATCATGATTTATTAAATAAATAGACTCACCTTTATCTGAGCTACCCTCTTTTTCAATATTTTTCAGTGAACTATCCATAGGCAGGAATAAAAATTATTTTCGGTGAAAGAAATGGTTTTTTAGCATTCACTGTGAAAAAGGATTGTCTGGCAAAAATGAACTTAGAGCAAAGAAGAAAGCAAAAGATTGGCAAGGAAATGCTGTTCACAACTGAAACTTGTATTTTGAAAACTTTACCATAAAAGACAAAAACCGGAACCAGAAACAACCTGTGTCAAGTTTTAACTAGCTCAGTAGGAACAAAAGAAGTCGATATTTAGTTGAAAAGATTTCATTTCAAGAATCTTATTTTTAGGAAGTTCAGAGGCAATATTCAGTTGAAAAAATGCGTCTTATATTTTATTTTATATTTTGAATGAAAAATTTTATCAAAGATCATCTGTTTCGATATCAATTTCATCTGGATTGAAAATTGTGCCTGGAGCTTGATTCTCATCAATGATAGTATTCGTTGTAGCACGAACAAACGAAATATCTTTTTTGGAAGGTACGACTTTAGCCCGTTTTTCGGTTTCTTCCACAGCTTGAGAAACATCGGAATCTGCAATCTGCATTTCCATCGCTTCCATACTTGAAGCTGGTGTCTTTTCTTTAATTGTACTCATCATTTGTGCAGCCATGAAATTTACTGATGTATTGAAAGTTGCTTGGACACTTCTTTTGATTCGTAACATTTCTCTTAATGTATCCTCGTTACCATGTTTAGTTTCGAATAACTTCCAAATATCCCAAAATTCTGGTTGTGTTCTAGGATCGGACATTTGACTACAGTGAGCGTAAATAGCTCGTGCTCGATCAATTTCTCCTAATTTTTGTTCGAGATCAGCAAATCTAAGACACATCTCTCTTGCTTCGTTATCACTGAGATTTTCAATGGCTTTCTCATATATTTGTCTTGTGTAAGTTACCCCGAACATTTCAGCTGCTTTCTTTATATAAATATTATACATTTCAAATCGACTTTTGGAATCGACTTCTCGGGTAGCTCTCTCATAAATGGACATCGAGTGTTTTGCCAATCCGTAATCTTCTTCTAGCTTTGCATAAAGAAGGTAAAATGTTTTAGCTAAGTTTTTCGGGCATTCCTCTAGACATTGCTCGAATAAATCTCGTGCTCGTTCCAATTTCGATCCTTTGTAACGCTGTAAAAATTTGGTTAAATAGGTGTTCCACAGGTCGTAAACAATGGGCCACTTGAACAAGCTGATTCCTCTTTCATAAGCTTTAAAGGCTTCTTCGTAATAATTGTTTTCTTCCAAAAATAGACCGTAATTCATTATAATCTGTGGAGTGGTTATTCTTAGATCTATGATTCTATCATAGACAGCTTTGGTTGATTGAAAAGTTCCAAAACTCTCCTCAAGATCAGCATACATCGACCAAAGTTTGAGAGAACGGTGAACACGATTTTGAACAGGTTCATTTTCATCGAAAAAGTTAGCCTTTTTGGAAGCTGTAGTGGCTCTTTGCATGAGCTTCAGTGCTTGCTCAAAATTATCACTTCTTAATTCCATTTCGGCATATTCACACCAAACAGTTGCTAAATCATTGACTCTGGCATACGATGCTTTGACAGCTTGCTCGAATACTTCTCGTGCATCTTCCGGTTGGTCATTTTTTTCATAAAATTTGGCAAACTCGATCCATAAAGAATGTACTTTTCCAATTGCTTGCTTGGGATCAACAGTTTGAACAGCATTCATGTAAGTTCGAATGACTTCCAAAGGATTTTCTTCCAATAGTTTAACCCTTTTATGCCATTCTTCAACATTATGAGGATTTTGCTTAAGTGCAACACTGTTCAGCAACAACGGCCTCCTCTCAATCAAATACTCGTATTTTGCCAGCCGCAGTTCTAATTCAACCTCCTCATCATCGGTTAAGTCTTGATTCTCCATCTGAGCTTTAATAAGATTTTCCTCACTTTGGGAATATGCATCAAAAACAAGTGAAAAATCTTTGATGGTCATTACAGATGAGATCGCTTCTTCGTAAATATCTCTAGCTCTTTCAAATAATCCGCTTCGTGTAAAGTATTGGGCATATGCATTCCAAAGTTTACCTTGCTCATCTCTATATTGTTTGATTCCTTCTCTTATAATGTTTTCGACATTCAATGATTGAACTTTATCAGGATTTTTGGAGATCAATTCACATAAGTCGTTCCAAAGTTGATGCTTTGATTTTCCTTCCTTGGAAATAAAGTTATCATCATTGACAATATCATATAATTTAAGGGCTGCATCATCGAGTCTTCCGATTCCTCTCAAATAATCGATGAACTCTTCACCATCTTCTGGAGCCAGTTTTAGATATCTTTTGTACACTCTAATAGCTGTCTCAGGAATGTGATAAGATTTTACAAACTCCAAGTAAAGTGGCCAAATCCGATTGTGTTGAGTAATAGGTAATGCTTGTAGAGCTCGGTCAAATGTACGACGAGTTTTGGTTATAAGATGCTGGTGCATTAATAATTTCAGGTATTCAATCCATATACGAGGCATTTTGTGCATGAAAACTAAACTCCTCTCGAAACAATTGTTTACTTGCTTGTATTCAATGTCAACGATTGATTTTCCATCCAAATTTCTTTTCCTCCAAAGCAGGTATCCATACCATAACTTATAACTTCCCGGTAATTCTTTCAAAGCTCGCTCGTATAATAAGTTGACAACTTCCAATGGAGCCTTTTCATCTTTCTTAGCATTAATATATCGAAGCCAATGTTTGATTGAATAAGGATATCGGCAAACTTCCTCTTCGAATGGCAAATTTTCCGGTTTACCAAAGTTTAATCTGAGAAAGAAAATAAGAAAAAAAATTAGGTGAATATGAGGGAAAAGATAAAATAAACATGATTCAACTTACGTGGATATCAAAATATTCTGAGTGTCCATTGATTGGTTGATGGTCAATTTATTGACAATCAATAAATTTTAAGACAATTTGCAGTAAAATGAGTAACAATCATAAAAATAAAATATAAAAACAATGTTTACATTCGGTAAAAACAAATGGCAAGAAATGGGATCTGATCTTGGACTCGATACCTATCTACTAAATAAACAGATCTACAAAAATTGTTCGCATTCAATTGACGATTCAAATCAATGAAATTTATTTAATCAACAGATGAATGCTTATAAAAACAGAGTATAAATAGTTATGTGACTCTGATAATTGGACTTTCCAATTCGGATTCGGACAGAAAAATAGCTTGGAAATAAACATCCATGAAGAGATAGCCACTGACTACAATGTAAATTCCTGTTAGCTTTGAACTGGTGAATTTTTCAGCATTGGTGATTGTTTCAACGAAAAGTCCCAAAGTTTTCAGGTAATCAGACGACTCGTATTCAGTAAAAAAACCTGCAAATGGAACAGATACCGCAAGAAAAAGAGCGATAACGAATAGAAGTACAGAAATCCAAAAAAAAAGTAAAAGACAAAATTTTGTTTTTCTCATGATTGAAAGGACGTGGAAAATTTTTAGTAGCAAAATACCAATAATACCATAAGAAGCACGGAAATAAACGCAAATGTTGTATAAAAAGGCCAATAAATACAAGAAATGAATATAAAATACCATGCATCGACTGCCAGTCCACATATTAAATGAGATATCAATTGATTTTCGAATCTATTAACTGTTAAATGACTGGTCAATGGATAATAAACTTCGATAATAATAATCGAAAAATTCTCAGAGATTCTAAAGAATTGGCAATTATGCTTCAAAAATTGTTAACTCCACCTCAAACTGATTTGAAAATATGAATAAAAATCTGTTATCATCGAGAAATTAATTTTCATGGGACATTGAATGGAACAAAGTAGTCAAACCAATATTCAGTTGAAAAAATTATGTGATATGTTTTATATTTATATTATACTTAAAATCATAAAACATGATTACAATGCTTACAATCTGCTTTTTCATTAATAAGAGATTGGAATTTCGGCGAGCATGTTATTTATGATAAGCACCATGTTTCGTTTCCTGGAGCCAAGAGTAATCGTCCATTTTCACATGAAGATAAAATATCAATAAAAGTTAACCTCGAGTTCGTGAATAGGGAGACCCATGTCGGTCATGGAATCTCGATCTACTAATACAAAAATGCTGCCCCCAAAAGAACGCCTTGATGTCCAACTCTCTCAAGATTCTCCTTCTTTCCAAGGATGAGGCACCGTCTAAAATAGTAGGTAATTCTGCATACCTTGCTCGTAATATCATTTGTAACTCAGTGTTTGTAGCAACTGAAACTCTTCTATCGATAAAAGCTCTCGTATTTGAATAATGACAATAGTTGTCAGTACAATTGTTTTCATTGTAAAGCTCACAGTCAAGGCTATACAAATATATCCATAGATTCAAACAGGCATCTCGGTCCCAACCCAAAGCAGTTTGCAAGACAAAGCGATCACCATCATTCAACCTTCCTAAACAGTTCTCTCTGGTGAAGAAATATGGCATTAAATCAGGCTCATCTTCATCAGGTGCATCATGTTCATAAAACCGAGGATTGAATGATTTATGTTCAATATTATGTAAATCAAAATGATTATTAGGCGCATAAACTAACCAAGTCAGCCAGATTAATTCGACTGGAATTCCGATTATCGTCGAAAGCTGTCAAGATAAAATTGAATGTCAAGTTTAATCTGAAGTTAAGTTGAGATGAAACATGAGAAAATGGCTTACCTGGTTAATAACTTGCTGATCTTTGTATGGAGAACTGCCATCCGACCAATCTATTACGATATCATGATATCCATCATTTTCAACCTTAACCTTTATGGTAACTAAATAATTTATCGAAAAGTTATCATGACTGTATTATCATGGTTAATGAAATAAATAGACTCACCTTTATCTGAGCTATCATCTTTTTCAATATTTTTCAGTGAATTATCCATTGGCAAGAATAAAATTTATTTTCTGTGAAAGAAATGGTTTTGTAGCATTAACTGTGAAAAGACTTGACTGGCAAAAATGAACTTACTTAAAGAACTTGTTACAGCAAAGAAGAAAGCAAAAGATTGACAAAGAAATGTTGTTCACAACTGAAACTTGTATTCAAAACTTCACGCTAAAAAACAAAAACCGGAACCAGAAACAACCTGTGTCCAGTTTAAACTAGCTCAGTGGGAACAAAAAAAGTCGAACCAATATTTAGTTGAAAAGATTTCATTTCGAGAGTCTTATTTCTAGGCAGTTCGGAGGCAATGTTCAGTTGATAAAATAAGTCTTATATTTCATTTTATATATTTTAAATAAAATATCTTCATACAATTGAATGGAAAAAGTTTATTGTATCAATAGGTAAGTCGAGTAGATCAAGTGAGTCACAATTAAACAGATCTAAAATGATTTCAAATGCGGTGATAAAGCGCTTCTCCCAAGCATAACTCCAGCAAGGCAGCTTGGCTATTATGCTTCAAAAATTGTTAACTCCACCTCAAACTGATTTGAAAAATATGCTAAAAAATTTGTTATCATCGAGAAATTAATTTTCATGGAACATTGAATGAAACAAAGTAGTCAAACCAAATAGTATCAAATAATACTTGAAGTGATCAAATAGATTATGAAAAATAATTTATAAATTAATTCCTTTTATTTCATTTCGTTTTTGGTTTAAATCGATCCAAAACATTAGAAAAATCTATGTTAATTTCTTTAGGTTTACTTTTCTTAGCCTTTTTTAAACCCTTTTGCACAAAAAATTTATTAACAACTTTCAGCCCTTTAGATGATGTTCGAGATGACGTTGATCTATTGGTTGGTCTTTTCTTGATTGAATTAGCTTTAGCACCAATATTTTCATTTCGCATTCCCTTAATATGGTTTCGTTGGGCTTCATCGCGAAGTTGTTTCTTCAATTTGAATTTTTTGACTGACTTCATGCTCTTTTTTTCTTTAAATTGAATTTTAGGTACTTTTACATATCCTAGTTTCTTCTTTGAAGCAATTGTTTCTTTCAGTTGCTTGATGTTAACTTTTCCTAAAATTTCTGGATCCACATTTATCAATTCAGATGGTATTTTTGATAGCAACATTTTAACCTCCATTTCTCGTCTTTGTGAAGTCGTCATAAATGGATTGCTCTCTAGAGCGTCAAAATTAGGTTCCCCTGCTCCTGGAACCAAAATGCTTGAGAAACCATTTTCATGGCCGATGCCCAATACATCTTCAAAATTGCAAAATTTTATACTTTTTATCAATCCATTGGATTTGCTACGCAAATAAGGCTCCTTTAGTTCTGTATTCCAAGAATCTTTGAAAATCTGCACGATATTTCCAGTGCTAACGCCAATCAAATCTCGCTGACTTACATCAATACATGAACCTATGGATTTTAAACTATAACTTTTCAATGGTTTCAGCATCCTAATGTCCCATAATTTCATCTTTCTGTCTGTCCCCAATGACACCATTCTCGTACCATCAGATGTGATACCAATATCTGTTAATGATCCAGAATGACAGAGCATTTGAATAGCAGGGTCTTGGCTGTTTGGAGTCCACATGTTTACAACACCATTTGAATGGCCAGTCAAAATTACACCGTTTGTATAATTTTGAGCCATACTCATGATTTTTCTCACTTTTTTTGGTCTAAACTGAGCAATCAATTTTCCATATGATGTATCGGTCCAAGATAGGAATCCTTGATCTGAAGCTGTGACCAATAAAAAATGATGAGGCAAAAATTCCATTTGGTTAACTTTATAGAGTTTTTTTAAACAGTGAATTTCAGTTCCTTTGTCGTCATAAATATGAACCCAATCTCTCTGGGCACAAGCAAAAATATTGGGCATATGTAACCATTTTATGGCATGAACTGATTCCATCACATTAAATTCACAAATAAGTTTTTTTGTCACCCAATCCATGGCCGCAACATGACCCTTTTCACCGCCAGTCAGAACTTGGCGACCATTCCTAAAATAATCGATGACATATGGTCCATGTATTAATTTTAATTCAAAACATTTAGTAGCACTGGTTATGTCCACAGAGGAAACGATTTCTTTTTGATTTATTTGATAGGTTTTTTCGTTTTCATCTGGTTCAATGAAACCACCTGTTCCAGGTAATAACAAATCTATTTCATCTTCGAGTTCTACTTTCCGTCTTTCTTTAGTTTTTTTGATGAAGGCATCCTATGGAAAAGATTCAATATTGATATAATTATTATAAGTGTATGATTGAGATGAGGATTAGAAAAAAAACCAGACTTACCTTTCTTCTGATGCTTTTCGAGGAACGATTTTTCATGGTGACTGGTTTTGTGTTTTCAGATTCTTTCAAATTAACATAAATTAAACTTATATTTAAGTGACAACCAGAGTTTTTTGAAACAATGTTTACAAAAATAACATGTGCTGAGAAAAAGCATGTAAATTGTGACCAAGCGCCTCTGCTTGCGCCTACCTTTAAAGTGTAATTTAATGGCGCTAAACTTGAAAGAATACCACTGTTTTCTGAAAACTTGGAACATAGAGTAAGTTTTTCTTTTGAATGTTTTTCATTTTAAATTTTATAAATTTATACTCATTGAATTATTCTCTTTCAGAGCTGATGTGTTTTATGATAGATCACCTGATAGTTTTAAACCATTGGAATCAAGAAATAAGTATAATTTTGCAAGAAAAATGGCACAAATATTTCCTCCATTTAATTCAGGCGATGATTCGGGATCAAAGTTTTAAGACGAATGTGAAGATGGTGAAATCATTGAAAAGAAAAATCGACCTTTTTTGCTCATTTCCGGCACAAGCTGGACTGAAGATGAAGACTTTTCAATTTTACTCAATGCTTTGGATATTTACGATGAGGAAAGTTGTGCTAACACTTCATTACCAGATTTAATTTGTGTTATAACGGGTAAAGGTCCTCATAAAACTTATTATCAAGAAATCATTTCTGAACGATGTTGGACCAGAGTATCGGTGATCTTACCTTGGCTAACTACAGAAGATTACCGAAGAATGGTTAGTTCTGCTGATGTTGGTGTTTCATTGCATACATCGAGTAGTCAATTAGATTTACCAATGAAAATTATTGATTTATTCGGATGTTGTGTCCCTGTTCTTGCAGTTTCATTTAAATGGTAAGTTTTCCTATCATATAATCTGAATCATTGACTAAAAGATTTTTGTTATTTTTTTCTTTAGTTTGCCTGAACTTGTAATTGAAGATTTTATTAAGTAACAAGTTTATTATAATTCGCAATTATAAACATGCACGCGACCTCATTGCCATTTTCGGTGATCTTGAAATTACTGTACAATTTCTTACTGAAATTGATCAATTGGTACAATTAATAGAGTCTCCAATCTTTGCATGTAAGTTTTTCAATATTTTTTATTTTCACAATTCTAATTCTAATTCTAATGTATTGCCAATTGCTAATTTACAGATTTGAGGCTTGAACTATTGGATACTGGAAAAAACGAAGACCTGGTCAAGAGTCTTTATGGTTTATTGATGCTTCTCCTACAATCGGATGCTTTCCATCTCTTGAGGAAGAGACTTCAATGTGTACCAAACTTGAAAATATTTTCAGTCAATGGATCAATCAGGTATGAATAGATATTCAAAGTATTAAGTATAAGCTAACATAACATAACATTGATTAGCTTAACTAAAAGTACTGATCTAACGTAATGTTTATCTTTTTATCATTTCACTTTTTAGCTCTTCAGAGACTTCAACTCAACCTATCATGGATTTCAAGGATTTGCTAAAACATTTTCTGGATATTCAGGAGAAACACAAGACTTTGCGAAAAAGAGAAAGGATCTACCAAAACATGGTGAAGATAAAATTGCATCTATCGATGCCAGTCCAATTTAATGAGACACCAATTGATTTGAAAATCAATTAACTTTTAAATGACTGATCGATTGATATTAAACTTCTCAGTGAAGCGAAATGAATAAACCATTGACTTAAATTTATTGAATAGGAAATTCATGGATGTCGGTTCATGTCGTGAGAATTAACGAATTAAAGAAATTGGTGAAACGACATGCAAAAGATGATTGTTTAAAACTTCTTTGACACAATCTTCGTCTTTTCGAGTCGTTACCACTGGAAGTTCAATCTGAAATTGAATGCAGACACACAAATTAATAATGAGAATGAACAAATATTTTTTAGATTTTGAGCAATGATAAACAATATTAAAAAATACTTTCTCGATAAATTTGGCTTGCTTTGGCCTCAGAATTAAACAGGAACACTTTTTACAAATGATTTTTGATTTATTAAACTGAACAACGTCACTTTGAGCGACTTGTTCCATTTTTTTGGCTTCAATATTGGATTTCTCTGAACACATAGTATTTTGCTTTGTCTGTAATGAATAAAGTAAATATCAGGAAACGCTTATTGGAAACAATTAGACTCAACTGTTGCTGTTTGTGATTGATAAATTATGATGAAAATAATAAATTAAATTTAAATCAATACAACTTATACTTCTTTTACAAGACTAATAAATTGATTTACGCGCCTTATTTACGCGCCGCATCTTGCACCGTCTTGTTATGCCAACATATTTTTTAGAAATCGAATTGTTCGATTAGAGAATTTCAATTCTTTTCAGTCTCTTTATTGTTCATAATCATTTCAATATTGTTATTTGTTGCAGATTTCGATCATTTTTACGCTGACATTGCTATTGATAATCATGGTAAGTAACGTTTACGTGTAATGTTTTTATTCCATTGTTCGTCATTCACTTACAATATGATATTTTTTCACTTGAACAGGCTTCGTCTTACATGACATGTTTTGCTTGTGGAGGTAAAATAGAGGAAAAGGATGACTTGATACTATCAAATTACAATGAATTCCTGTGCAAGTCATGTGATGAAAATCGGCCCTCCGTGATATCGGTCCATATTTATCCATTTCATTTTTGTGCATTCAATGTAATGTGTAAAAAAAGAGCTATTTTCGGCTGCTCAAATTTCTCATTCTATACCTGCAAATCGTGCCATGAAAAGTTTTGTGAATCGGCGTCAAATGTTCCCAAATGCTCAATTAAACCCTTATTTCATGGTCCCTTGTGCTCCTCTTGTGGGAATCCAGCCTTTTTTTCAAATGAAGCTACGAAGCAGTTCTTATGTAATGATTGTGTTGGGATAAATCATGACATGGAATCGATGGTTGAAATTGAAGTCAAAAAATTACATGACAAGCTTGAGTCACTAGACAAGTGTTGTCAAGCTCGAAAGTATGAATTCTCATCTATAATCAGAAAAATGCAAGAAAATATGACTAAGATGAAGACAATAATGAAGGCCACCGGTGAAGTCGACAATGATTTGAATCTTGCTTTCATTTCTAATGATCAGCGGCTTAATATTAACATGAGAAAAAAAATTAAACTTGATGAAATCATCAAAACATTTGGCATTGAGGGTAATGTAACCAATGTTTTGATTCAAGCTCTAAAGATAAGGCGTGTTAATATTCATCATGTCATTGAATACTTATCAAAACTTGAGGAAATTATCAATAATGAATTGATTGTTGATAAAAAAATAAACAAACTCGAGCCTAAAGTTGAGGAAGAGGACTTGGTTGCTTCACAACCAAAAGACGAGACTTTTTCACATAGTGATGTGAGTATTTCATTTTTATTGTCATTTCATGTTATTTCCATGAATAATTTATGAAATCGTCTTCTCAAATATTAACATTTATTTGTACATTTACAGGTAATCTCAGCACTTCAAAATGTTTCATTAAACCAAACAGCGCCATTTTGAGCGTCTTGTTCCATTTTTTGGATTCAATATTGGATACCTCTGAACACATAGTATTTTTCTTTGTCTGTAATGAATATAGTTAACATTAGCAAACGCTCATTGGAAACAATTAGAAGCCTTAATGATGTTGAAAATTAATAAATCATGATTTATAATACCAATTGATGAAGAATACCAATTTATTTATAACACTTTGTATTTAGCGCTATAATCCATCAACTATTGTAGCAGCTGTGAATTTTTGGCAAGAATTGATTGTTTATAATTTAACGATAGTCAACAAAATATAAAAACAATATAAATGCATCTAAAAGATTATTATACGTTTTGTGAAAAATCATATCCAAAAGCAATGGGTCGATCTGCAGCTGTTGTCGTTTTAGGCGATTTTGAAAGAAGTGCGTATGAAATATCATTGTCTTTCATTAACTAAATCACATTGTAATGTCGATATTGTGGCATATTTCGGTAAGTATAATAATGATAACATTGTGAACAATTTTAATCAATTTCCTTGCTCTCTTTCAACAATTACTCCAGTATCTGAAGAAATCGCTAAAAATCCTTTGATTATGATCCATCCATTGAAAACAAACTCATCATTTAGTAGCTGTTATTGAATTATTTTCTTTCAGAGCTGATGTGTTTTATGATAGATCACCTGATAGTTTTAAACCATTGAAATCGAGAAATAAGTATAATTTTTTAAGAAAAATGGCACAAATGTTTCCTCCATTCGATTCAGGCGATGATTCGGGATCAAAGTTTTATGAAGAATGTGCAGATGGTGAAATCATTGAAAAGAAAAATCGACCTTTTTTGCTCATTTCTGGCACAAGCTGGACTGAAGATGAAGACTTTTCAATTTTACTCAATGCTTTGGATATTTATGATGAGAAGAGTTGTGCTGACACTTCATTGCCAGATTTAATTTGTGTTATAACTGGTAAAGGTCCTCTTAAAACTTATTATCAAGAAATCATTTCTGATCGATGTTGGACCAGAGTATCGGTGATCTTACCTTGGCTAACTACAGAAGATTACCGAAGAATGGTTAGTTCTGCTGATGTTGGTGTTTCATTACATACATCGAGTAGTCAATTAGACTTACCAATGAAAATTATTGATCTATTCGGATGCTGTGTTCCTGTTCTAGCAGTTTCATTTAAATGGTAAGTTTTCCCATCATGTAATCTGAATCGTCGACTAAAAGATTTTTTTATTTTTTTCTTTAGTTTGCCTGAACTTGTAATTGAAGATTTTAATGGAAAAATTTTCAAAGACTCCAAAGAATTGGCAATTATGCTTCAAAAATTGTTAACTCAACCTCAAACTGATTTGAAAAATATGCGTAAAAATCTGTTATCATCGAGAAATGAATTTTCATGGGACATTGAATGGAACAAAGTAGTCAAACCAATATTTTGTTAAAAAACTATGTGATATGTTTAACTTCAAATAGATTTTATTTCATTTTTTTTATAAATCTATCCAAAACATTGGAAAAATCGTTAATTTTTTTAAGTTTACTTTTTTTAGTATTTTCAAGACCCTTTTGCTGTAGTTGTTTGATAGCAAATTTTCCTATGATTCCGGGATCCACATTTATCAATTCGGATGGTATTTTAGAAAGCAACATTTTAACCTCCATTTCTCGTCTTTGCGAGCTTGTCATAAATGGATTGCTCTCTAGAGCGTCAAAATTAGGTTCCCCTGCTCCTGGAACCAAAATGCTTGAGAAACCATTTTCATGGCCGATGCCCAATACATCTTCAAAATTGCAAAATTTTATACTTTTTATCAATCCATTGGATTTACTACGCAAATAAGGCTCTTTAAGTTCTGTATTCCAACAATCTTTGAAAATCTGAACAATATTTCCAAAGCTAACTCCAATCAAATCTCGCTGACTTACATCAATACATGAACCTATGGATTTTAAACTATAACTTTTCAATGGTTTCAACATTCTTATGTCCCATAATTTCATCTTTCTGTCTGTCCCTAATGACACCATTCTTGTACCATCAGATGTGATACCGATATCAGTCAATGATCCAGAATGACAGAGCATTTGAATAGCAGGGTCTTGGCTGTTTGGAGTCCACATGTTTACAACACCATTCGAATGACCAGTCAAAATTACACCGTTTGTATAACTTTGAGCCATACTCATGATTTTTTTTACTTTTGCTGGTCTAAACTGAGCAATCAATTTTCCACACGTTGTATCGGTCCAAGATAAAAATCCTTGCTCAGAAGCTGTGACCAATAAAAAATGATGAGGCAAAAATTCCATTTGGTTAACTTTATAGAGTTTTTTTAAACAATGAATTTCGGTTCCTTTGTCGTCATAAATATGAACCCAATCTCTCTGGGCACAAGCAAAAATATTGGGCATATGTAACCATTTTATGGCATGAACTGATTCCATCACATTAAATTCACAAATTAGTTTTTTTGTCACCCAATCCATGGCCGCAACATGACCCTTTTCACCGCCAATCAACACTTGACGACCATTCCTAAAATAATTGACGACGTATGGTCCATAACCCAACTTTAAATCAAAACATTTAGTAGCACTGGTTAAATCGACGGAAGAAACGATTTCATTTTGATTTATTTGATAAGTTTTTTCGTTATGATCGGGTTCAATGAAACCACCTGTTCCAGGTAATAACACATCGAGTTCTTTCTTTTGGCTTTCTTCATTCTTTTTTATGAATGCATCCTAAGGAAAAGATTCAATATTGATTTAATTATTATAAGTTTCTGATTGAGATGAGGATTAGGAAAATAAAATTAGACCTACCTTTCGTCTGATGCTTTTCGAGGAACGATTTTTCATGGTAACTGGTTTTGTGTTTTCAGATTCTTTCAAATTAACATAAATTAAACTGATATTTTAGTGACAACCAGAGTTTTTTGAAACAATGTTTACAAAAATAACATGTGCTTGGAAAATTGTGTTCACGCGCCTCTCAGTGAGAGGGAGGCTCTCACCTACCTGTAAGGTTTAATTTGTAAGGCGCTAAATTTGAAAGAATACCAATTTATTTATAACTCTTTGTATTTAGCGCTATAATCTGGTCCGGGATAAAAGACAAAAAAGAGCAAAAACTGGGCAAAAAGGCAAAAGAGGGCAAAAGAGGGCAAAAGATGGCTAAACTCTCGTAATAAAGCGTCTTAGGTAGTCTAACATAAAAAATATTTAGAGTTTGATGAAAAAGTGATTTATATTTGATTATAATAACAACTGATTTTATTGAATATTTGCTATAAACCTAACCAACATCACTACCATTGAGCTTCCAGCTGATTTCAGTGGCTGACACCAAACAGAGCCTCAAGTTTAATATTCAATAATTTCATTAATTTATCCTTATTGTGATTATAATACAAATACGATATTATTCATTACTTAACTAAAAAGTGACTTTATTTTATATTTTTGTCTTCTTTTGTCTTCTTTTGCCTTCTTTTGCCCACTTTTGCCCTCTTTTGCCTTCGTTTTGCCTTTTTGTCTTTTATCCCGGACCCTATAATCTGTCTGCTATTGTGCCAGCTGTGATTTTTTGGCAAGAATTTATTGTTTACAATTAAGCTATACTCGATAAAATGTAAAAACAATATAAATCCATCAAAAAGTTTTATTTCAATCCGTGATTAATCATATCCAAAAAGCAATGGGTCCATCTGTAGCTGTTGTCGTTTTAGGCGATTTTGAAAGAAGTCCACGTATGAAATATCATTGTCTTTCCTTAACTAAATCACATTGTAATGTTGATATTGTGGCATATTTCGGTAAGTAAAATAATGATAACATTGAAAACAATTTTATTAATTTCCGTGCTCTCTCTCTCCACAGATACTCCAGTATCTGAAGAAATCGCTGCAAATCCTTTGATTAAGATCTATCCATTAAAAACAAACTCATCCTTTAGTAGCTGTCCGAGAATTATAAATTATTTCATGAAAACATTGGTTCAATCATTTTCTCTATTAATCACTTTGTTTACAATAACTAAACCAGATTTTGTGCTATTACAGGTATGATATTATACATATGTACATTCATTTTTCATTTTTTTGAGTTAATATTCTCTATTTTGTTACTTTTTCACCCGAAGAATCCACCAAGTGTTCCTACTATTCCCATTGTTTGGTTCTATTCAGTTATTAAAGGTGTTAATTTTGTAATTGATTGGCATAACTATGGACATACTATTTTAGCTCTTTCGTTGGGACCTAATCATTTATTGGTTAAAATATATCGTTGGTGTGAAGGATTTTTTGGCTCCAAATCTTATCACAACTTTTGCGTCAGTCAAGCTATGGCTGATGATTTACTGAAAACTTGGAACATAGAGTAAGTTTTTCTTTTAAATGTTTTCCATTTTAAATTTTATAAATTTATACTCATTGAATTATTTTCTTTCAGAGCTGATGTGTTTTATGATAGATCACCTGATAGTTTTAAACCATTGGAATCGAGAAATAAGTATAATTTTTTAAGAAAAATGGCACAAATGTTTCCTCCATTCGATTCAGGCGATGATTCGGGATCAAAGTTTTATGAAGAATGTGAAGATGGTGAAATCATTGAAAAGAAAAATCGACCTTTTTTGCTCATTTCTGGCACAAGCTGGACTGAAGATGAAGACTTTTCAATTTTACTCAATGCTTTGGATATTTACGATGAGAAAAGTTGTGCTGACACTTCGTTGCCAGATTTAATTTGTGTTATAACGGGTAAAGGTCCTCTTAAAACTTATTATCAAGAAATCATTTCTGATCGATGTTGGACCAGAGTATCGGTGATCTTACCTTGGCTAACTACAGAAGATTATCGAAGAATGGTTAGCTCTGCTGATGTTGGTGTTTCATTACATACATCGAGTAGTCAATTAGACTTACCAATGAAAATTATTGATTTATTTGGATGTTGTGTCCCTGTTCTTGCAGTTTCATTTAAATGGTAAGTTTTCCCATCATGTAATCTGAATCATTGACTAAAAGATTTTTGTTATTTTTTTCTTTAGTTTGCCTGAACTTGTGATAGAAGATTATAATGGAAAAATTTTCAAAGATTCCAAAGAATTGGCAATTATGCTTCAAAAATTGTTAACTCAACCTCAAACTGATTTGAAAAATATGCGTAAAAATCTGTTGTCATCGAGAAAAGAATTTTCATGGGACATTGAATGGAACAAAGTAGTCAAACCAATATTTAGTTGAAAAAACTATGTGATATGTTTTAAGATATAAATTTATGTTTTAATTCAAATCATCAAAAATGATTACAATGATTGCTTTAATCTGCTTGTTCATTAATAAGAGACTGGAATTGTGGCGAACATGTCATTGATGATAAGTAACATGCTTTGTTTCCTGGCGCCAAGAATAATCGTCCATTTTCACATATACAAACCTATTGGATGTAATATTTTCAATAGTTAATATTGTCTTTAGCAACCACAGAGTATAAATTGTATAATTACTTGATAGGCAATTGTTTGTTTGTGAATTGATAAGTCCTCATGACCATGTCGATGCTTCTCTTTAGGTAATGATGCCAACTTTATGTTAGATGAATGAATCTTCAGCTGGTCCTCTGAGGATAATATTATCTCTTTAAATGAATTGACATCAAATGGACCAGTTCGAGCTTTCATGTTCAAATCACCTGAAGATGCATGTATATTCAATCCTTTGGTACGAGCCTCTAATCTATTTAGAGAAGCATATTTAGTCAAAGTTTATACATTTTGATGATTTCCTGGAAACGTATTCAAATGTATACCTCAGATCATGATAGAAATCACTTTTGATTGATGGTGTATCCACCTTTTCATCTATATTAAATCCATAATCCGTGCTTTTTATCTCATCTAGTGAGTTAGTTATCAACTGGTCAGAGTTGATAGAAAAAAGTATTTGCTTTGATCCATTTATCAGGCTGTTAACGACAAAATTAGGTCCTTGATAACTGATGTTAGAGTTGGCTAATAAAAAATTAAAAATTAGTCTCAAATGAATTGCAACTTGTTTGGCACATGATTTACTCACTCATCAAGAAGGAAACAGATTCATCATTGTAATCATTCTCATTAGTTAATTGAATACTTTCATCTAAACCAACAATTGTTATAGACTGATCCTTGACTGGATTAATTTGCTCAGCGGTCAGGCGTCCATTGAATTTAGCTAATCCTTTAACAGTGATTCGTTTACGAGTTGCTGAAAGACTACCATCACCAAGTCCACCCTGTTGATTTAATCAAGTTAATTTCTTGAATCTATTGAAATGCACATGTTTTACTTACGTTTCCAACCTGAAGAGATTTGATAATCCAAAAACTCAAACACAAATTGAGTGAAATGATAAACACCAATGTAATCACTAACACAGTGAAAAAGCGTGATTGAAAGACATCATTTGAACCATAAAAAAAGGACAAATGTCCATCTCTATTGGCTTGCGGTTGAGATCCTAACTTTAATGAGTTTCGATTTATTCCATTTGTCCAGAAATAATTAAGTTTAAATCCATTTTTATCCATGTTTAGGTTTGAATCAACGATAAAGTAACAGTTGTACAAAAATCGATAAAAGGCGGATCATAGCAGCTGTAAACTTCGTGGATCTTTAACATGTCTTAAATTGTACAATAACTTTATCCATAACAACTAGTCAGTCTCATTCAGATAATTTGGCTAATTGTGGTAAAAAAATCTGTTGATTTATAAACCAAATTTTGCCAAGCATCTCAATGAGTCTATTAATAAACGTTTGCGATTCAATAGAAACATTTGAATATTTCTAAGTTTGATCAAGTTTCAATGCATTTCTTTAATAGACTTGAACAGTTAAACAGTTGAAATGAAATCGAAAGCTAAATAATGGATGATCATGAATTAACCACCGTGAATGATTTAGCATTTTGTTATCATTCTTTTGCACAAATCAGAACTGAATTATCAATTTTACAATGATTGTTAACATTTTCACTTGATCAAGTCAGTCAATTGCTTCAAAATCACGTTGAAGTAAATTTGGTTATTTAAAGATTGTCTGATCATTATCTGAATTTTAAGTTAATAATTTGAGTGAAAATATTGCCATTTTGAATGTAAAAACATTGAACGATTCCATTTTTGTTGGACTATTTCGATTTACTGTTTAAAGCTATTTTTTGGTCCAGTAGTGATCATTATAATTAACAATCAAAGTGTTTCATTGAAAAGAGCTACTAACTTGTAACTGGATCATCAATTTTACCAACATAAAAACCTATCAAGACAAAGAAAAGACAAATTAACCAGTTTGATGAACCATTAAACCGATGAACCCACAAACAAAAGTAAAACGTCTCCTGATTTACCATTAATGGCTCTGGATAAAGATTAATTAACCTTTTTTTTCTTAACGATATTCATTTAACCTTCTCATTCTTTATCAATCCGACTATTATCTGTGTCTTCCTCATCTTCTTGATCCCCTGGTAAAAGACATTTTTCTCATGTTTACACTCATACATGAAGTATATATGAGTAGCGATTATACACATTTGTAACATCAATTAACTTTACATGGAAAGAAAAAAATATTTCATCTTCCCTCTCCCTTCTCCCTTTTCCCAATCTGTCTCCCTTATTATATCTCACAAACTCTCCTCCAATCATCATCGTCATTTTGCATTTCTCTCTGTTCTTCTCTTACCCGGCCAATATCTTCAACAGCCTCAATGATCAACATTTAATTCAGTCAACTTTATTAATTGTTTTATAACCAAAATATAACTTTCTTTGTGCGTCTCACTGTATTGCCCTCATCACCTTCCCTTTTATAATTTGAGCTTCATCAACATTGATCTTCTCATCTTTCACCGAGGGTTTCAGGGCTTGTTCAACCACTTCAGCCTTGTTTAAATAGAGGGACCAGTTTGTTAACAATCCTCGCCAAACCTTTAAACTTCATTAACAAGATAACTTTACTCTTCTTTCTTTCACTTCTTTCTCTTTGTGGTGATGTGACTGGTCAGGTTCACCATTTTGAGATTCAATTTTCCAGCCGACATCTCTTTGATTTTTCATCTTTTATGGTATATTATTGACAATCTTTTATCAAGTATTAATTTTTAATCATCAACACATTCAATCCCTAAACTGAGACTATACTTATACATTTCATTTCTTCAAACTGGACTTGTAAATTTCATGGTAAGCTATTCCTTTTTATTGAAACTCTTTACTTTACCTATGTTTGAGAGTTTTGTATTATAAAATTTTTTTTACTTTGATACAATGCTAATTTTAACTTTATTTTGATTCTTTTGTTTGTTTCTGGATTCACTCATGGCTCATGGTTTGCTCTTCCAACCTCAAGTTTCGCATCAAAACAGTGAAAGCAAATGATTCAAATTTCATGTTGATATTTTGAATTTCCATCGGCATTGTTTTTATATCATTTCCTGGTGACTTTTTAGTTAATTTAAAACATTTCAGTTTAACAAGGACTCATTTTTATACCTCATGAAAATGGATACACAGAAAAAAAGTTCAAGATTCGCGGCCAACAGTGACACTACCATGTGGAATAATGATGGTCCTACAGTGCCCGGAATAATTCCATTTGTCTTCTTTCTGGTTTTAACAGTCACTGTATTGCTGTATCTCTACAAAGTATTGAAAAAATATTATGACAAGCAAGCCAAAAGTGATACTTATGTTTTTGTTGATCATGATTCAGATGATACAGCTCGTCTTAAGAAACTAGCCGATGACGATGATATTGCTAATAGCCCTAAACTCAATTCACTCAAACATACTTCGGACAATCGAGGAGACGGTGAATCAAATAGGCTTGGGGGCGATGAGGTGCGAGTTGAAGTAGCCAAGGCCCCCGAAGGAGATCTCATGCAAGTTGATGGAGCTTCTCCAAGTGCTCCAGAAGGCCCAGACTTTACTGATAACGTATCGGGTACCGAGACACTTCCATTAAATAAGAAAAAGTCTAAACCAACGGAATCCAATGTTTAAATTGCTAGACTATTTTTAAAGCATCTATTTATCTTAAGCGACCAAACCTGACTTTGCATATTGTATCATTGGTTTTGCCGGTATTACAAGAGATATTTTACTTCTATACAAGTTTTTTGCTGCTTTTGTCAAACAAAGCAATCCATCTTCTTCTAATTGATGGAGTTCTACATCAGTCAAATTTCTAATGATATTATTTACGGAAAAAAGGACTCTATAATCTATGCAATACTAAGCCGTTTTTCATCTAAGAATTATTACTCTTTTTGTGACAGCTAGACATCGTTTAATTTTCTAGGTCAATAGACAAGTTACATTGGTTTTTAAATGTATGATTGATCTTACAATTTATTAGGATTTCTTCCTTTTGAAACCTCCTGATAAGACTATTTGTGATAGTAAACAAAGTTGCAACAAAAATCATACCAAGATGTCAAATAGACTTTCATCAATTGAAAAAAAACATGTGAATTTCAGTTGCTGTTTGAATAAAGAACATCTTTCAAATCAAATATTACTGTTTTTACCGTTTTTCATTACTCATTACTAGCCTTACACCATAAATTATTGCAGATTATTGCATGTTTTCTTGTTTCTGCTATTTCCTTCTTTGCGACAGCTCAATGTTTTTTTTATAACAACTACGCTCTTGTTATAAAATGTTGTTTAATTAATCGATTTAATCAACATGCGAAACATCTCTGAGTGAAAATTTGATTAAAGTTCATAAAGTTTCTATTCAATTTTGAATGATTTCAATCTTTCTATAAAATTTATTAGGATATTTTGCGATCCATACTTATGGTAGTCTCTAAAATTATTTTATCTGACGTCTGAAATCTTATCTGACACAATTCATTCATCTATTTATATCAATTTGAACATACAACTTGTAGACAAGTCTTTAATGATACAATATGAATTAATAAACCGATATAATATCAATGTATCAAATTGATACTATCAATAATCGTAATAGATTTAATCAAGATGGAGTCAGGTGGCGGTTTATTTAAATAAAATTTTTATAATTTAAAGTACAATTTGGATAACCCTTGATAAAGATTATTGAAATTTTAAATCTTCAAAGTTCTCACTCCTAATTACTAAATTTATTTCGCTATTTTGTTAATCAATGCCTTAGTTTAGTAAAATTAATGATAAAGTGTTAGAAATAGCCAGACACACCTACCAGCTGATAAGCTCTGGACCTCTAACTCTTGTGTTTACATTTTGCCGTGTTGAATTGTCATCAACTTTTATAATACCATAAACGGTGAATGTGATAATAATTGGATCAATGTCAGACAAGGCCTATTTCCCGTTGAACAGTAATTGCATTCGTGCCTTGACTGATAAACTTCAAGACCGAAGAAAACAAGGTGCCATTGAAGTTGAAAAGTAAGTTCTTAATGCATTCCCTTTTATTCAAAATGATACAATCATTCTTTTTTTGCAGAATGTGTCGAGATTTCTCTAATCGTGGAGATCAAATGCTGATCGAAAAGATGATCAAAGTTCTTCGCGAACTTGCAGCTTCATCTAATCCAAATACTCGGAAAGGAGGTTTAATTGGATTGTCAGCCATGGCCATAGGCCTTTGTAAAGAATCAAAGATTTACACCAGTGATCTTCTTCGACCAATAATCGCATCTCTATTTGATCAAGACTCCAGAGTCAGATATTATGCCTGTGAAGCATGTCTGAATGTTATTAAGGCGCTACGCGAAGATTGTCTAGTGCTTTTCCATGAACTTTTTGATGGTCTTTCAAAAATTTCTGCTGATCCAGAGCTTACTGTAAAGTTGGGTGCAGAATCTTTGGATAAATTAGTTAAAGATATAGTTAATGAAAGTAGTTCATTCGATCTTGAATGTTTTATTCCGCTGCTTCGGGAGAGAATGTATTCAATAAATCCATTTGCTCGACAATTTGTTGTTTCTTGGATTGCGTTCCTTCAAAACTCCCCACACTTTGATATGACTCAGTATTTACCTGATTTGTTAGAAGGATTATTCAGAATTTTATCAGATCAAAATATCGAAATTAGATCTATGTGCTCTTCCGTTCTGCAAGAATTTCTCAATGACATTAGAGAATCTGACCGTACGAACTTCTCTGCTCTAGTCAACATTTTATTAGTGCACTCCCAATCATCGGAAGAAATAGCCCAATTCACTGCGTTAACCTGGTTAAAAGAGTTCGTCAATTTAGCTGGATCAACTTCCCTGCTTCCATATTCTGCGGGTCTTTTATCAGCTACCTTGCCCCGATTGGCTCACTCATCACCAAGCCAACTTAAAGATGAACATTTCAATGCCAGTCTATCCTCTTCAAGAACTTTCAATATAAATATTCGTGAAGTGGCCAAAACATTAAACTATTCTTTAATGCAATTGGTAACTATGGATGAAAACGAGAGATCTGAAAATTCCGTCGATTTGAGACCTTCTAGTGATGAAGAAACCGTCCATTCTAACTCATCTTCTTCATTCGACTATTCCGCAATAATCGAGGTCTTAACTTACGAATTGCAAGAAAACTCTTCTACAACCGTTAAACTCGCTGTTCTCGCATGGTTCCAACATTTGTTATCTAAATTTCCTGAGAAAATACTACCTCTGGTTGAAAGTGATATTCTTCCTGTTTTAGTAAAAACGTTGATGGACCCATGTGACTCTGTCGTTCTTAATGTTTTAGATGTGTTATCATCTATTTTTTCATGTAATGATCAATCATCAAGTGCTAAAACCTTCCAAGCTCCAGCTGATAAAAACAATCAAGAAGGATTTTTCGGCCAATTCATGGGCTCACTGTTGCAGTTATTTGCAAATAATATTTCATTTCTCGAAAGTCGAGGATCAGCCATCATTAGCAATCTTTGTCTTAAAATGAATGCAGAGGCTATCTATAGATCAATATCAGAAGCACTAATCAATCACGAAGATATTTTCTTTGCTAGTAAAATGGTCCAGTCTCTTAATTTGATATTATTAACATCTAGTGAACTGAATGAACTTCGAACCCAGTTAAGAGATTTACGCACTGATGAAAGTTGTTCTCTCTTTTGCTGCCTTTACCGAACCTGGTGCCATAATCCAGTAGCAACAATTGCATTGTGTTTATTGACTCGCAATTATAAACATGCACGCGACCTCATTGCCATTTTCGGTGATCTTGAAATTACTGTACAATTTCTTACTGAAATTGATCAATTGGTACAATTAATAGAGTCTCCAATCTTTGCATGTAAGTTTTTCAATATTTTTTATTTTCACAATTCTCATTCTAATGTATTGCCAATTGCTAATTTACAGATTTGAGGCTAGAACTATTGGACACTGGAAAAAACGAAGACCTGGTCAAGAGTCTTTATGGTTTATTGATGCTTCTCCCACAATCGGATGCTTTCCATCTTTTGAGGAAGAGACTTCAATGTGTACCAAACTTGAAAATATTTTCAGTCAATGGATCAATCAGGTATGAATAGATATTCAAAATATTAAGCATATGCTAACATAACATGAAATTGACAATTTTACATTGAATCTCAGCCAATTGATTTTCTTAGCTAAAAGTACTAACGTAATGTTTATCTTTTTATCATTTCACTTTTTAGCTCTACAGAGACTTCGACTCAACCTATCATGGATTTCAAGGATTTGCTAAAACATTTTCTGGATATTCAAGAGAAACATAAGACTTTGCGGAAAGAGAAAGCACTAGAAAGATTCAAAAATTAGGCTTATTATTTAAATGATATTTTTATTGCAAATGTGGACTAAATTATACATTTATTTGCCTTAATCATCCTATCAATTGTTAGTTGAGTTTGCTATATGGTTATTGAACACAAATTAATTTGGCTATTTTGTTATTTTGTATGAATTCTATAATTGATATTATTTATATTTAATTTTACTCGTCTAATTAAGACAGTTTTATAAATTGTATAATAATAAAAAAGCAAATCATGCTCAATACTAAATTAACGTGAAAATTTGTTCGCAATCAAAAAATGTTTATTCAACAATGCATTGAAAATATTACAAATTCATCGTGTTCGACATCAATGTGGCATCAATTATTCGGACTTGAGAAATTAAATTTACTTGTTTGGTCTTGATCAATCAATCACTTAATTTTTTCATAATGAAATTGATTATTTGGCAATAATTTATGGAAGTCTCGGGTTAAAGTGCTATTACAGTTATACAGTTGAAGAAGTATAGCAACCAAAAAAAAGGAAGATGAATGTTGCTGTACAATTTAAATAAAATTGACGAGATTGATAGTGAAATCAATTGATCTAAATGTGAACTCCAAATCAATTCCCATTTCAACTGACATTTCAGGATAGCTTTCATGATCCCTTTTAGATCAATCAAATATTTAAATAATGAGAGTTAATAATTGGTAGGCTTTGTTTGATCCAAAAAGTGTTCAAATGTGTGTTATCCAAATTTTACTAGAACTGGAAGGTGGCAAATGGTGGCGAGGCTCAAGTCACCGATAAACTGGTATCCCAACTGGTTAAGGAGTGAATTGATAAAACAGGTAAAACGGTGACAATGAAGATTCCAAGATGAACAAAGAACCTGAAGACAACTGGAGATAATGCCAGAATTGATAGACACATAATGCAAACCAGTAAAGAAACGGAGTAAATGCAACCCATGACTATAAATTGAAATCAAGGTTTATTTAGCAGTTGAAACGTAAAGCAATTGAGTTATGAAGCAAATTAGCTCAATCAATTAAATTAAATTACTGTATTTTTATAAACTGTACACAATTGATAACAAGATTTACTGGGAAGGATAAGAATGAAACATTTTGAGTTTGCGCATCCAAAGGAATGGATTGGACTATTCAAAATGGCCTATCATTCAATAAATTAATGCTTAAAAATAAATTAATTTACATCAAATTGAGTTGCAAATGATTGAAATTGAGCCAAAATGAAGGTAGCCAAAAATTTGAGTAAATGTTTCATAATGAATGTAAGCTTCAATTGAAATGAAACCAAATGATTGATCATGAGTTTACTGATTGTCAACCTTTCCAAGTAAACCTTTTCAAAGGTTTCATTAAATTGTGACCATTTTTTAGGTTAAAATCAAACCTAATTTCGTCATTACAATTGATAAGTTATAAAATAAATCATTTACACAAGCGATTATTGTGAGAATGATTTTGATTGATTAGTCGAAATGTTAAAAATTGATATAATCTGTTATTCAACCGACTCATCGAGTGATAATTCAACAAAATTAATTCACTCCCAATCTATACAATAAGCCAAAACATCAAAATTGTTGCCATACTGAGCGGGTTCTAATGAAAAATATACAAAATAGATCCACAAAAAATATTCAGAACTTTCTCGGAATTCCTGCAGAAAAATCCGAATCCGAATTCAAAGTATTGAATTTGATGGAAAAACTTATTAGATCATTCAAGATTATATTTAAAACTTTGTCTTTCAGGGAATGGGTAAAGATTTTGGTTAAACTCAACTGAACGAAAGGACTTCAACTTCGAACTCGATTTTCTCAAAGACTGTCGATTAGCGAAAATTTTTCAACTGTAAAAATTGACTCGATTTTAATGCTCGTACAACCAACAAAGAATTAACTCTTAACTCGAATGGAAAAGTTTACTGAAAGAAAAGTCTTTTTGATTTCGAAATGAATCTTATTGACAAAAATGAAAGATTTGGACTTCATTCGATGGTTTCTTCGTTAAGAATTCTGGTCTTTTCCATGTGAATTGATTGCATCCTACTCAGTATAAAGACCTTTACAATCATGATCGGAGATCCATTTGTAACTAGTGATATTGATTCTAAAAGAGGTTGACATTTAAAGTGAATCAATAAAATCTTTATTTAGATTGACATTGGTTATTTTGGTTCACCTTTTATTTTCTGGTTCAAGTCTACCAAGATTGAAACTAATGGTTAAGGATAAATTGAAACACTGCCATGAGTGAGGTTGGTTTAAACAATTTACACTTGGATAGTAAACCCGTCAAATGGGACGATTAAAATTAGTCCAGTTACGCTGGTCGACGACAATACAAAATGGTGAAATTGTTGGCAAAACTGTGAAAGTAACCTGTTCTGGTAACCAGTGCAGTGTAACAGTTTGGGTAACTGAGTAACAATGATTAAGCAAAGGAAAAGATTCAATTAATGAATTAAAAGCAATTGAAAAGAAAGCTAATCATTTGATTGTCTATTGATAGACACATATTAATTGTCCTTCATTTGTATGATTCAATGACTTCAATGATTCCACAATCAGTAACATATTGTCTCAGGCCTTTTGTGCTTGTTGCAGTTACATTCAGTTAAAGTGATCATTACAATCATCAGTTGATCATCTGATCATAACCTTGGAACATTTACAGAATTTGATAGGAAATTTCATGCTGATTCTGATGTTACATGTTTACCATAAAAGTACCAGAAATAGGAAGGCAAAGAATCAAGTTACTGAACATTAAATGGTAATCAATCTACAATTAGCTGATTATTGCGCTACAAGGTTCAAGTTAAATTTAATTAATGACAAAGACTGAAAGGAGAACAATTTTAATGAAAATAATTTATTTTCAATTTTACTTTCATTTTACAGTTACAATGAGTTATAATGATTAACAAACCAGTTAATCAACAGTTGTTCATTGTTCATTTAAGGTTTCATCAGTCTATTTATAAAGTATCGACTGATTGAAACAAAACCCTATTTTCAGATAATTTAATCCAACCAAGCTTAACACGATTTGATTAAATAAAACAAATTGGCTAATTGATGATTTTAATCAACCTTTTTTTTGACAACAGTTAAGGTAAACCGATATTGTTACCAATCAATTTGTCTCAACTAAAAATTTTTTACTATTGATTATTCGTTAAGGTTAATCTGATTTGAAGTTATTATTGAACAGATTCAAATTCGTGTTCGCTTGTTAACCAGAAAAGATTTAGCACTAGAATGAGGAAAAAAAGGGTTAAGATAATCACGAATTTTCACAATTGATGAGAAGCATTAAGAAGGTAATTTAAAGTAAAAAAAGGGAAAACAATTGAATTAATTGAGCGAGTTCATTGCTACTTGTAAAGATAAATGCAATTTATCACCTAATATGTTATGGTTACAGAGTAAATGATGAATAAATGTTGATGAACAAATGAGCAAACTAGATTATTGTTACTATTAAATCAACTTCCTCCATTTAGATTTTAATATAAGAGATTCTTCCTTCTTCCTTCTTAAAGCTAATGAACTGAAGTGACAAAAATGTAAATTAATTAGAAGTAAATTCAATAAATTAAAGTAAAATTTGCGATGATGTTGATGATGGAAAAGACAAATTCATTGTCAGCTTTTGTCTGCATTGTTTTACCATTGCTTTTGTTCACTGAGTTGGTGACAATTTAGGCTTTTGCTTCATCATTGGTCATTATCATGTTATCATGTCTGGTTCAGGTAAAAAGGGTTAACCATGTAACAAACTAAGAAATTATAATTGTGGTTAAGATGAGAAAGAAAGAAATGAAGAAAGAGAAGAAGAAGAAGAAGAAAAAAGGTAAACAAAAATACGCATTCTCTCTTTACTCTTGCAACTCACTCAACTCACTTTTACTCCTTTCTTTGCTTGCTCAAGGATCGATCTTGTTCCGTGTTCAGGTTTACTTCGAAGCTTGACTGTCAGATATAACTTCATCCTGATTCCTTCACCTGGTTCTATCTTTTGTTATCACATTTAATCATTACAATTATAAATGATAACAGCGTAATGAGTCAGTTATCATTTTAATTGCAATCTAAAGAAAGATTTTGTTTTTTCTCTCTTTTTTTTGGGTTCACTTTTATTTCAATAACAAACCAGTAAACATTTGACTTTGTGTTGTTACCCAAATTTTTCCTTGTGAACCCAATCAACGGATCCAACATTTGAATTGACCATTATCATCTTGTAGACTTGTTTACCTGTTTGTTAAAAGACATTGACTTGGAATGAAAGTGAGTCAACCTCTCATTGACTCTTCGTTTAACCCAAAGAAACCCAAAAGTCAACATTGTGATATTAATGATAAAAAGTGCTTCTGTTTGGGTTTTGTTTACACTCAACCAGGCAACCACAAAAAGCAGTGATATTTGAAATAAAAAGGTTGTTTTTTCCAATTATTATGATCCAGCTGTTTCTGGTACGATGAGTGTCAACACTGGTGATTCTGGTTTTTCTATTTTTTCCATTTAACCCATTCTGTGTTTCCAAGTCTCAGTTTGTTTACCATTCACTTTCACTTCCATTCAAAGTAAAATTTTGAATTATCATCTAATCTAATTGATGTGCATAGTGACCAGCACAAATTATAATCAAATAAAGGCAATAAAGAAAAATTGGGTGACCAGAAAATCTGGATTTCTTCCTTATTAAAAGAAAAGGCGAAAATTGAATTTTCTCTTCACCTCAATCGCTAACCAACATTCAACTAATATTCACTTATTATCACTTGAGAGTTGCTCAATGAACCAACCGTTGACCCATCTTATCATCTAAAGGATGAAACGAGTTAACTTAATTGTTCACCTAATCCAACTGACTTTAATCGCTTTCCTTGAGACAATTTCATGTGACTTTACCCACGGCTTGGAACCAGAAGATTTTAGCATGGCCATCATCAATGTATCCTACATTGACCCAATAACCGGTCGTCTTCACACCCAAAGAGAAGAGTTTGGCAAATATTTCAATATTGGCCGTATTGATCCAGTCAGTGGTTTAGTTGTTCACATCACTGGACCTGATGGTGGATCCCATGATGCATGTGATTCCATTGATCCAACAACATGGCCAAGTGAAAAGTGGATTGCTCTAGCTGTTTATGGAAATTGTTCAGAAGAAGAGAAACTCAGAAACATTGCTGCAACTAATGCTTCAGCAGCTGTAATTTATGACAACAAATTGGGAAACCGTTACATTCAACTTCACCCAAAAGGTCAGTCAATTTTCTCCATTAACTTGCTCAGTGTCTAGTCTTGGCCATTGACAACATGTGTGTAAATGGTCTTTAAAACATCAGTGGAAAAGCAGTTTCATCTTTTCATTTTTTCCCATCTTTTAACAAGTGATTCTTGAAGCCAAATTTGTTTCCAACCGTTTCTTTTGTTGAACCAGATTCCCACTTGAAACTATCTCATTCATGATTGAAAGAAGGCGAGCAAAAGAAAAAAAATTGATTCATTTTCTTCATTATTTTCGCTTTTATTTCCATTCTTAAATGGATAAACACTCGTTGTTTGTCCAATAATGTGAAATAACCTTAAAAACTTACCTGGTTTCGATGAGTTTCCAACTTACCTCGAAAGACACGGACAAACCTCTTTATAACTCAGGGCCTTCAATTTACTCTTTAATTTCAATTTTACCATGTTAATTCATCTTAACCATCATTTAACACCTTGTAACTGGTTTGATAACAAATCCATGATTACATAAACCTTTGAAGTTAATTATCTAGTCAACCTTAACAAACATTTAAGGAAAAATGAACATTAAATAAACTAAATTCACATTTGCAAATCTTTCATCTCTAGACTATAAAATAGCATTTAAAAATATCTCTTTATTAGCATTCAATTCAATATCAAATCTAAAGTAAATCAGATCAGTAAATCACTCTTCATTGAATTGGCAGCTTAATTCAAACAAATCCATTATTTTAATCCAATTGATCTTGAAAGGCGAGTAAAGACTTGATAACAATTTGTTGAAGATGACAAATGATTTGATAATGATCAAAAATAAACAACATTAAACTGATATTTTTGTAGATATTTTTAGACTTGACTAAATAATTTAATGTTCATCTATTAATAATTAATGAAAAATATCGTTTTACAGTTAAGATGGATTAAAATTACCTTCTTATTTCCATGAAACATTGAACCTTTTTCACCCTGAAAATGTACGTAACTTAAACCTTGAGTCTTCCATCCAAAATAGCATGTAATTAAAGATTGCCTGAAATCTTATTTCATGAGAAATGTAATGATTTATTCAGAGTCCATTGAAAAAAAACACAATAATAAATTATTCATCAATTTACAACAATCATTTACGGTAAACATCATCAAAACAGTTTCTGTAACAATTATCTAAATCATTTGACTTTTCCCAAGATTTATGATTGTCTGATTGTTTCACCAATCAAACCAAATGAAAACAAGATAAAGCTCATTGTTTGTAACACATTGTTCAAGAAAACCTGAATTCTGGTAAACCAAGAAAACATGAAACTTGAACTGGAGCAAATCTCAATGAATTAATGGATTAAACTTGGCTCTTGTCAAACCTTTACCTTTAGTCAATCATTAATTACCTTTTCTCATCAGACATTTGTTCAGTAAATCCTAAAAAAAGAGGAAACTCAAAGTCAATTTACATTGGATTCTGAAAACTGCGCAATTCTTTGTTCTTTATTTTTAGCTTTCATGGAAAATTTCCATTCTCTGAAGAGTCACCTGATTTACCTTCTATTTTCAGCTGATTATAATTAAATCATTACTTGATTCATTGTTCCATCAAAATTATAATCAAACTGAAAAGCTCAAACTGTTTACCCAAATGAGTTTATCATTTATCGATAAATGATATTAAAGTTCTGAAAATAATTTCCTTTTCAGTTGATTAAAGAGATTTGTTTATTGAGCCTTCAATCATGAATGCTATTAGATGAAATGAATATTTACATTGAAATGATGAAGAAAAAGTATTTTTTTCAGTTTTTTCACTCTTCAAACCATTGCATCTGTTAATGACATTTGACGATTTGAAAAAAAACAAACTTCTAATATTGAAATTCTCAGTCTTTCCATGAGAAACCTTTTTCCAGGAACATTTTTCATCTTTTCCTGAATTTACCTCAGCTTCCTAAATAGGAAACTTATATAAATCATGAAAATAATTTCTTTTTGTCATATTTTTACTCTTTTTTTGTCAATCAATTTTGGAACTGAAAAGAACAAGAAAAAGAGCAAACATGAAGCCCTATCAATTGGAACCGGAAAAACAAAAGTTGAATATTCATATCATTTCCCACCCACTTCAGTAATAACAGTTATTAGAACTTTTTTTCTCTGTAAATAACAGGTCGAGTTTTCCATGATATTCAAGTGTGAAAATTTCCCATAAACTTATTTCGATTATTGATTTTGAACCAAATTTCATGGAATCACAATTAACATGGATTTTTCTCACAGGCGAAATTCATTGAATATCATTCGATAAGCCTTTTCAAAAGAATGATAATTTTCGAGAAAACATGAAATTACTTTTATCCATTTTCATATTGATCTTGTTTAGTCTCATGCGATTCAACCTTTTTTTTCATTTAAAATGATTACTTTGGATCTTGCTTATCAGAATTATGAACTTCTGAATACTTTTCCTGATTACTTGAAATTTGAAGTCAGATATGCTTTTCCATGTAACATTCAATTTTTGTTTTCTTCATTTTCTTCCTACTTTTGTTTATTTTTATCAAATTGCTTGCCAAATGAATGAAACTTTTACTTCGGAAAATTGTCAACTTTCAATGTTCAGTTGATTAACCATGCAATTAAATACTTCATCAACAATTTTTTACCATTTTTTGCTTTTCTTTTCTCAAGATTATTGACATTTTCATGGAAACACTAACAAGCCTTTACTACGTCAGTTAGTGCGTATGAGAAGTTAAATGATAATCATTATGAACATTTAACCATTTTAATTGTCTTCAATTATGAACAATTAAAACTTGAATCTTGAAAGTGAATAAACATAATAGGAAATAAATCTCAACATTCAATTGAATGCAAATTTTTGCTTCTCATTGGCTTTCATTCTTGAATTTTAATCTAATAATTTATCATGAATAGTCTTCAACTTGAATAATCCAAATCAATTGTTTCCATTGAGTGATTTGTTGAATTGTGTTAATTAGTGAATATGATTAGGAAAGGAAAACATTAATCAATTCGTTGTCTAATGTCTTTCACTAATGACAAGTGTTTTGAATTTTTAGCTCAATTTATATGAAAAGAAATGGGAAAAAAGTGGTTGCTTGAAGGTAAAAAGATGTAAATTTATGTCAATTTTGAGATTTTTTTAATTCTTCCTTTGATTTTATTGAATTTGAATGCAATTATGAAAAGCTTGGGATAACATTTAAACTGTTATTTTATCAACTATTGAAATTGGCTAATCGTGAAGAGAATGGCAAATTTGTGGAGAAATATTAAATTGCTGGTTTAAATCCTCAATCAATATTGAACTAAACTGAACCTGTGATGAAACCATGTTGACTCTCTTGAGATAATTCTGAAAGAATCACAATTCTTGATTCGATTTTTCCTGTCAAATTGATTTGTTAAGACGAATAGAGTTGGAAAGAAATGAATGGCGAAAAAAAAACATTTCATTTTATGTGAACCTAATCCATTTAAAAGCAATTTTCACCCAAGTTCATCAATTCAACTAAAACTGTTTACTTTCAATTGATAATCTTTTAATCTGCACCAAATCAATTGATTACCTTCTCAACCTTATATTATCAAACCCTTAGTTGGAATGAAAAAAAGGTTCATTTAATTGGAAGAAACTTTTTTACTTTTTATTTCTCTTCATCATTATGATTATTCTGTGAACAAATTGTTTCCCTTTCCATTGAGATTCCCATATTTTCCCCTTCATTGATTCCATTTCATCATTCTCATGAAATGACCAGTTCGATATTCTGGGCGTTCTTCTACTATCCATGTAATAAGTCAACAATACAACAATAGTTCAAACAATTTATCAGGCGTTTCTATATCTTTTACTGCTAGTGGTCGTAACTCAGAACCATTGCTATAAGAGTTGAACATGTTCCGTGTTTCCTCCTTATGAGGTTTATCAGAAAATTGAAAAAGAAAAAAAGAAAAAGAGAAGAGAGATAATACTTTTGGATTGACCAATTTATTTGTCCCTTTCCTTTTCCATTGATCTAATACAAATTCACGAGCTTAAAAAATTAAGATTCGCCCAAGTCTGGAACAATAAAGGCAATTTTCCAATACATTTCCTTATTTCAATCTTTATTAAAAACTGAGCTAAAACTCACAATTGGGTTTGACTTCTGATTCCTAACTGCAAACCAAACTACCAACACTTAATCATCGTTTCGTGTAGCTTTCAAAATTTTCCCAGTCACAAGGGTTGAGTATCTTGAAAATGAAGATGTTTTGGCAAATAAATGCTTTTGAATGCTTGAAACACAGTTCCAAAATTTTCAGAATTTTACATTTTCCTTTCAGCTTTTTCATTTCAAATATCATCTGTGATTATGAATACAGATTTTAATTGTGATTCGAAACCTGTTTCTCTTATTTTCTAGCGTTTTCTTGACTCTCTTTGTTTCTTACAAACAAACATTAACAGTAACTCAGATGAAAAAATAAGCAACAAGTGCATTTAATAAAATATTTACAAAGTAATCTTGAAATAGGTGCTTTTCCCTATTCCTTTTGACTCCAAGTAGAAGCAAACTCAGAATTATCATTCGGAATTAACACTGAAATGGTAGACAAAATAAGCTGATAAGTTATCATTTTACCATTTCATTTGTCAATTAAACTTGTTATATAAAATGATTACAATTGTTGTTGTTTCAATGATTAACAAAAGATCCTTATTTCTGATTAATTTTGATTGTCTACTTTTTTATGGTAGCAACATTGTCTATCTTGAATGCAATAATGAAAGAACTGATGAAAAGAAGAACAAAAGTGATCTCAAAGTGATGAACATGATAATCGAAATGATAAATGTTTAGACAGTGAACATTTACTAATCGATAAACTCGAGAGAAGACGATGATAAACAGAATCTTGATGGATTCTGAATGATCAAGATTGTTGAGAGCAATAGAGAAGAAGCAAAATTCATTGAAAATGGTAAAGATTTTGACTTGAATCTCAACTCATTTCAATCCAATTGAATTTGCATGATGTCTCAAGAGCAGCAATGTTATCCAATTAAAGTGTCAAATATTAACAGTAAATGATACAAAAAGAGATTGACAAAAGTCTCGACCATTTCAATTGGAAATACAATTGATTGCGAAAATTTGATAAACAAAGTTTCAGCTTTTCATGATTAAATTGAAATTATTTTCCTCTTCCAACAAGATTAATGTAAACACTTACAGATTTAAGTTGACATGAACAAGGTCTAAGTTAATGTCAGAATCACAATCAGAGCTAAATTAACAATTCAAAGTCTAATTTCAATGGGAATCCATGATAAATGATTCATTTCTTTCTTGACTTTGATTGCATTCAGAGTTTACTTAAACTCGACTTGCGATTCATTTTAAATGCATTTGATTAGTTGCTTTGCAATTTAATGAAAAGTTAACGATGTTTGAATCAAATTTAATTAGACAAATAAAAATACAAATTTCAATCTTTTACCAACCAAAAGTGTCTTTCAATTGTTTCCAGAGTTACATTTGAAGCTTATTTTGCTTTTAAAATGCAATTGTCTTCATACATTGTAATTGCAAAGTAAAAATGAAAATGTAAACTGAATAAGTTATCATTTGTTATTATAATAGTCTGAAAATGTTTACCAGAAAATGTTGTAAATAAAGAAACAGGTTGAATAATGGAACCATGGAATTTCATTTATTTAGGTTTGTCTACTTAATGTTCATCATTCACTGTTATCATGAATGCATGAAGAAGAAGAAAAATACTGACTAGAATTGTTGATTTAGACGTTATTTTTCCCTGGAATAGTTAATAAACCAGAATCTAATCTAGTTCAGTGATAAGCAGCTTAAATTGAAGACCAAAGTTTCACTCATTTAAGATGAACAATTCAAGCTAATGATCATGATTAACTGGAAGCCATTTGAATCGCTATCGTCTATCTGATCATTTTAAATATTTAATCATGATTATTGCCTGGATAAGCCGATATCTTTTTACTTTGACTTTGAGTCAAGAGTTATAAGTCACTCGAATTGTCAATTTTTGTTGAAAAAATCGTCTTACGTTGAAAAATTGTATTGCTGGATTTAACAGGGAAAACAGATTGAAAAGGTTCTTTAAATTGAATTTCAAATTTCGTCTCTTAAGAAGTTCTAACAATTGAAACAAAAAATTGGGTTTACCTGATTTCCACGTGATCGGTAAAATGTATGTAATACTCTGGTAAAGACAAAAAGCATTGGATTTCAATTGCAATAACATTTAATCTAACGTCTTTAGAAACTTTAAGTCTACATTTTATGTAACTTGGAAAAAAAATCAATCTAAAAATGTCTAATTCTTACCTTTCAATTGCAGTGCTTTAATACAGATAAAAGTTTGACAAGTTTACCTTTTTTTCTCATTCCAATCGTGAAACTAGATTTGTTTCGCATTGAAACATGATATTGTCAGCTTTAATTGACACTCAATGACTTAAAGCCATTCAAGTTGTCATTGTAGTTCCAATGGATGAACTATTACATGAGGTGCTACTCGAGTCTAAGAGTCTTCATATGCTTATTATAAGTTTTTTTGAGTGAATTTCTTTTGGCGATTGTCTTCAACTTTTCCTGTCTACTTTTACTCGTAATTTCATGGGGCAATTTTAGTCCAACTGGTTAATCACTGGTTCGTGGATGCAATGAACTCAAGGGTTTAGTATGATAAGAAATGAATGTGTCATTGCTTTGATATTATGAGTAACTTGAAATAGCTCTGGCGCTGTGCCACCAACAAGAATATTTTTGTTAATTTCGCTTTAAAATTATTTGTAAACAAGTCTACGTATTTTAGTTAATTTCATTGTACAAGTTCAAGTGCGACAAGGCAAAAGACTTGTGTCCATATTGTTGCTGAATTGATTTCAATCAACTTTTATTGCTAAAAATTTTCCATTTAAAAATATCAACAGAAACTCCATTTTTAAAAACTTCAAAAATGTAAACTTGAAAAGGTTTGAATGGGAATTTTATTTCATTCAAATTGCGACTGATTATGTTTTGAGAAAATCATTTTCTTTATTTGAATCTTTCAATTCTCAGGTTTTATTCCATAAATTTATGGTTTTAACTGAAAAAAGTGTTTACAATGATTACCAGCCATTGATTGGTAATGTTCAAGAACGTAAATCAGTCAAACTGTTTCCATTCATTTATGCAATGTGCCTGAAACTCAATTGAAATTCATGCGATTCTAACTTATACTATTTGTAAATACAAAGAAATTGAAACATTGAATTATACTTTGAAAATAACTCCAATAAAAAGTCTTGAAACTCATTGAAAATATGAAATTATTATTGAGATTTTTCTTGGCTTTTCAAAATTAAGTCAATTGACTTGATCAAAGGAAATCGTTCGATATCGAGCCTTTCAGGAATAAAATGAGCAAGTCTGATATTGAGGATTGGGATAATTTGGTGCTTATGATATCAATGAGAATGGAAATCGGGAAAAGATATTAGAAATGAGCTTTCATGTATTCACGGTTGACGGTTGCAAAATAAACAATGAATGATTGTCAGGTTGGCAGATTATCAATTAACCCGTCGTCTTGGCAAATTGATTACAATTGCATAACATGATGCATTCCAAGTCTGAATATCTGTGAATAATTATTTTTACCATGTAATAATTTTTGGCTCAACAATATTGTGTTTATTTATCTCAATCAAAATCAAAACCATTCCATAGATTGTATCACAGTTAATCCAAGATTTTTTAGCTTATTCTGGTTAATTCTCGTTACTGACCCAATAACTAATCTAATTTGGATCAAATCTTAGTCTTTATTGGTTGTAATAAAAATATCTATTGATTGGAAATGGGTAAAGCTGATTTAAGATGACAGATTTTCTTGTTCCACTGATTCAATGTCTAATAACAAATCAATAGCTTGATGTAAGCAAATTTATTGATCATTTTTTTCTTCTTGTTATTGTTCACCAACAGAACCCAAATTGACTTCAGTTTTTATCTCGAAAGAAAAGGGCGAGGAAATTGGACTTTTGATCAAAAATGGGACTCGAGTCATGCTTCACATAACCATTGCTACACATGGAAACTTTCGTTACTCCAACATAAATAAGACGTCAGTTTTGTTTGTTTCAATCTCATTTGCCATTCTAATGATAATATCTTTGGCCTGGTTGATATTTTATTATGTTCAACGATTCCGTTATATTCACGCCAAGGATATTCTTGCGGTAAATATTCATTTTCATTCATTTGGACAATGATTGGTTGATAGAGAAACTTATTCAATGTTGCCAATGAAACTTGAATAGCATCGTATTATAATCTTAACCCTCATCCATTGAAAGCTTTTTCAATGGCAAGGTAAATGTCCTTTACAATTAGTATCATTAGTTGTTATTTCAATTTTTATCCTTCATTTTCAAAATGGTTTACATCATGAAAAGAGACGTCACAATTTTTTGTTCATTTTTTTGGCAAACATGAATCTCATGAATAATGAATGACTCTCCAAAGTCTATCTCATTAATACCATTTATTGTGATGGACTCTTGACTGTTTCTGTTTTGTAGCAAAACAATTAATTAACCATTTTGATTACAGAGACGGCTATGTAATGCTGCCAAAAAAGCCTTGGAAAAGATACCGACTAAAACAGTGATTCAAGCTGATTTGGCTAACGCCATGCAGGGAGATTTTCCTGAATGTTGTGCTGTTTGCATTGAACCATTTAAGATAAATGATGTTGTACGGATATTACCTTGCAAGTAAGTGTTTACAAAAAGGCCAATTGTCTGGAATTTCATCTAAATGAACTTCTTTTCCTCTTCTCTTTTTTATGGTAGACATGTTTTCCATAAATCTTGCATCGATCCATGGTTGTTAGATCAAAGGTCTTGTCCAATGTGTAAACTTGATATACTTAAACATTATGGTTTAATGGTAGTTATGGCTTCAGTCACTAATTTAGAATGGATTGAAGAACAAGGATGAATTTTAATCAATTTGTATTGAACAAAGAAACAATGGATAATCACTACTTGAACTTGGCGCCTGAAGGCGTCTACTCCTTAAATCCAACTCACATGTGCTTTAGTGTCTTCATTCAATTTTTTTAACTGAAAATCGCATTGGATGTTAATTTTGCTCTTCTTGAATCATATTTTCCAGTTGTTTCAATTGAGATTCACATTCTTTTGTTTGATGAATATGAATATTCAAAAGGGAAAAAATCAAAGTAAGTTCAATTCAACATTTATAGTCCTTTATATGTCAAGTCTTATTAAATTGAATTTGGTTTCTCTTAACAGGTGCTTTCATCAAACAGCCAACGGCAAAGAAATTTCTTAAGTCTTATATAAGGCTCTTTATTAACAAGTAATGGCAGTTTTATTGGACCAGATAATATTAAAATTGCCCTGAAACTGAATAGGCATCACATAAGATTATACTCAGTGCTGCTTATCGACGGAATACGAATGGTTTCAATGCTTCCAAAGGTTGTTGGGCCATAATTTTTGCCAAAATTAGGAATCTCGTTTTGGAAGGACGCTTAGGTAATAAGTGATCAAAGAGATGAAATTAGCGACTACATTTTTATCGAAAATCGGAAAAGAAAGAAAGAAGTGCAAATTGACAAAACAACGAAGGATTTGCTCATAATTCCTGGAATTTCTCATGATCTCGTTCGTCTCTCAACTACTTGGTCAGATTGTATTTCAACTTCCTCAAATCCTTGTTCTGGGCTATTTCTTTCTGATTGAGTCTCAAAAAATTTTCTTAATATTTATTATACGATGGAAGTTTCGCACGATTTTTACCATGATTGTAAATTATGTGATCTGATGGAGAGTTGAGACTTGAATCGACTCTTATCAAGATGACCGTACAAAGGGAACAAAAAGTATTTATAATGTGTAAAAAGTCAGTGCATAAACGTCATTACTTACATTTTAATATTAAACGTTGAATTATAACTAAATTGTCAAAATTTTATTTTAGTCTTTCAAAATAGTATTGGTTTAAAATTACAAGATTGATTGGTGTAGCTATTGATAAATTATTGTACGATCAATTGAAATCAGAGATCAAATTCAGAACAATCGAGATTAAATACCAATCCGGCCAACTCGCTCTAAAGTTATTACAGCTCCAGAAACAGAATCGCATAAAAGTTAACCACGAGTTCGTGAATATTGCGGATTGATATATTCAATATGCTCCTGTACTTCGCCATAGATTAGGCGACACCATGGCCCGTAAATAAACGGCTTGATGTCGAAATCTCTCAAAATTTTCTTTTGTCGCAAATAAATTTCCCTATCTTCTATATCCATAGGTATCTCTCCATACTTTAATCGTATTTTCATAACTAACTCGGAATTTATAGCAATTGCTACTTGTCTATTTATAAAAGCTCTAGTATTTGAATAATGACAATAGTTACCTGTACAATCATTATCATTAACCAACAAACGGCTTTCCAAACATATAGAAAAATTAAACTCAAAATCGCAAAAAATCAGTTCAGTTGTTATAACGAAACAATCACCATTATTCAAAATTCCTAAACAGCTCGCCTTAGTGAATAAAATCTGCTCTCTATCATTGAAATCTTCACCAAATCTTTCAGGGTTGAAATCCTTATGTTCGATATTTTCGACTTCAACCCAATTATCGTGTGGTAAATGTATGTAGACATCGCAGATGTAGTGGGATGGAATACCGATTATCGTTGAAAGCTATTCAAGATAAAATTGAATGTTTAATTTAAATTAAATTTAAAACAAATATGAGCCAAAATGACTTACCTGGTCAATAACTTGTTTCCCTTTGTATTTACCACTTCTTTCTGACCAATCTATAACTATATCATGATATTCCTCATCTGCAAGCTTAACCTTTATGGTAACTAAATAATTTATTGAAACAATTAGCATCACTGTATTATCATAGTGCATTAAATAAATAGGCTCACCTTTATCTTCAGCATTTTTCAATGAATGATCCATTGACGAAAAAGTTTGAATAAAACAGTTTATAAAGATTAAATTTGAAAAGATTTGGATAGCGAAAAAGGAAGTTACAACTTGTTAGCGAAAAGAACACAAAAGACTCACAAAGAAATGCTGATCACAACTGAAACTTGTATTCAAAACTTTGCCCTAAAAGACAAAAACCGGAACCAGAAAGAACCTGTTTCTAGTTTAAACTCGCTCAGTGCGAACAAAAGTAGTCTAACCAATATTGATCCATAGCGGTGAGTATCCTTTCACCAATTTTAGAAAACTGTTTCTCAGACCAAAAAATGATTTATTGTCGATAATTATCATTAAAAAAATATAATAAGAGAAAATGATCTGCAAACTTATCTGAAAATAGAAAACTTTTGAAATCCTCCTTCCACTGAAACAAAACTAGGAAAGAAATGAATCGTTTGAGACCGAAATCATTTTGGAAATTGTTTAAGTTCTGATTTTATTATTGAGTCCTTCAAAGGTCTAAACTAACCAATGAAAATGACATTTATTGGACATTATAATGCTATACCTATGGTGCAGTTGATTTATTGAAATATATTTCGCATGTTTTGCTTTTTGGAAAGGATTGATTTTTCAAAACATCCAGCAGATGCGTGAAGATTGTAATCCTTCATTCATTATTATAATTGTGAGGAATGTCAATCAGCTTCCTGTGATTGTGCTTCTCCAGTCACAATGATAAAACTTTATTATTGAATTATTATCGTTTACAATTAAAACTTCAAGTATCAGCCATAAATACAACCATTAGATGGCGTTGAGAGAATTGACAAATTAAATTTAATGTTTTCAAATCTTAGCGCTTTAAATTTTGTAATCACTAAGTAACCGGCTGCTTGCAACCAGGGGAGAGACTAACCATGGTTACTGGGTATATAATCGTTTTAATTTTTAGCCATTTTTAGTTAATAATGCAAATCTGATATATTAACTGAATGCAGCAGAGCGTAATAAGAACGCTACCCAACCTATCGAATGTAGGTAATAAGTGATCAAGAAGATGAAATTAGCGACTACATTTTTATCGAAAATCGGAAAAGAAAGAAAGAAGTGCAAATTGACAAAACAACGAAGGATTTGCTCATTATTCCTGGTATTTCTCATGATCTCGTTCAGTATCTTTCAACTACTTGGTCAGATTGTATTTCAACTTCCTCAAATCCTTGTTCTTGGCTATTTCTTTCTGATTGAGTCTCAAAAAATTTTCTTAATATTTATTATACGATGGAAGTTTCGCACGATTTTTACCATGATTGTAAATTATGTGATCTAAGAGTTTTTAAGAGAACAGTTTTCAATAATAAAAAATAAAGGTCTCAAACTCAAGGTTAATCAAACATTTATTGGTTTCAAACTCAAGATTCAAAGGATCTTATATCTTGCTGTTTAGTTTAGACTTCGCATAAAAGTTAACCACGAGTTCGTAAATAAGGATTGATAAATCCAATATACAAATAGTGCAGGTGACACCATGACGCGTCAATGAACGGTAGGATGTTGAAATCTCTCAAGATTTCGATTCGCAAAATAATTTCCATATTCGGGTGTATTTCTCTAGGTATCTCTGCAAACTTTGATTGTATTTTCATCCTCAACTCAGAGTTTGAAGCAATTGCTGCCTGTCTATTTATAAAAGCTCTATTTTTAGAGGTACAATAGTGTGTTGTACAATAATTATCATTAAACAGACCACGAATATACAAATATACCGTTACTTCAACAAAATTTCTAGAGAAAATTATTCTAATACATGCTGCGAAACAGTCACCATCATTCAATCTTCTCAAAAATACCGGCTCAGTGCGCTCTTCACAATCGTCATCGGACATTTCAGGGTTGAATTTCCTACATTCATAATTTTCAACTACAATACAATCATCTACTCCTAAATACATGTAAGCCCCGTTGATGTAGCGTGTAGGAATACCAATTATCGTCGAAAGCTATTCAAGATAAAATTAAAGGTTTGAATGGTAAGTTAAATCTAAAGTAAAGTGGAAACCAAATATGAGACAAAGTGAACTTACCTGGTCAAAAACTTGTTTTCTCTTGCTTTCACCACTCGACCAATCTATTACTAGATCATGATATCCCTCGTTTGCAACCTTAACCTTTATGGTAACTAAATATTTCATCAAAACAATTAACACAATTGCATTATCACGGTTCATTAAACTCATAAACTGATCATTAAACATTAGACTCACCTTTATCTGAAATATCATCTTCAATATCTCTCATTGGATGATCCATTGAAAAAAAGCTTGAATAAAATGGTTTTCAAAGAGTCAATGTGAAAAGACTTGACAAAAAAATGAACTTGAAGCAAAGAAGAACACAAAAGACTCACAAAGAAATGTTGATCACAACTGAAACTTGAATTCAAAACTTTGCCCTAAAAGACAAAAACCGGAACCAGAAACAAGTGTCCAGTTTAAACTAGCTCAGTGGAAACAAAAGAAGTCGAACCAATATTTAGTTGAAAAGATTTCATTTAAAAAGTCTTGTTGGTCTTGTGATTGAAGACTTGAATGGAAAATTTTCAAATACTCCAAAGAATTGGCAATTTTGTGATTTGTTTCATGATTTAAATTTATACTTTACTTTAAAAACCAAATCTAAAATGATTACAATGATTACTTCAATCTGCTTTTTCATTAATAAGAGATTGGAATTTGGGCGAACATGATAAGCACCATGTTTCGTTTCCCGGAGCCAAGAGTAATCGTCCATTTTCACATGAAGATAAAATATCAATAAAAGTTAACCTCGAGTTCGTGAATAGGGAGGTTTCCATCGTAAATTATTGTCTGAGCTACACCGCTTTACCCAAAAGAACATCTTGTGTCCAACTCTCTCAAGAAACTCATTCTTTGCGAATAATTTTCCAAGTGTGGATCAGCGTCTACAATAGTGATAATTCTGCATGCCTTGCTCGTAATATCATTCTTAACTCAGTGTTTGTAACAACTGATACTTTTCTATCGATAAAATTTCTCGTATTTGAATAATGACAATAGTTCTCACGAGGGATACGTCTCAGGTGTCTCAATAATTTCGGGTCGAGACCATATACATTCGATAGAGCACAAAAAATTATGCATAGGGTTATCGTCTCCCGTTTCGGAAACTTTCGCATCACGAGTAAATTGAGGTCGAAAGACCAATTTTCACGAAAACATGCAAGTTCTTGAAATTTTTTACTTTATTTTTATTACATTTATTAAGGTTTTCGGACCTGAAAAAATGATTGGAAATAATTAAAACTCTGTAAAATGTCATTTTCACCACATTTTGTACATATTACACTTTTTCCTTTCACCACCAACACTTTTTGACTATTGATGTAGCTAAAAGTGGTTAAAATGACATTGTTTGACCTGTTTAATAACTTGCTGATCTTTGTATGGAGAACTGCCATCCGACCAATCTATTACTATATTATGATATCCCTCATCTTCAACCTTAACCTTTATGGTAACTAAATAATTTATCGAAAAGTTATCATCACTGTATTATCATGATTCATTAAATAAATAGACTCACCTTTATCTGAGCTATCATCTTTTTCAATATTTTTCAGTGAATTATCCATTGGCAAGAATAAAATTATTTTCTGTGAAAGAAATGGTTTTGTAGCATTCACTGTGAAAAGACTTGACTGGCAAAAATGAACTTACTTAAAGAACTTGTTACAGCAAAGAAGAAAGCAAAAGATTGACAAAGAAATGTTGTTCACAACTGAAACTTGTATTCAAAACTTCACGCTCAGCCAGATTAATTCGACTGGCATTCCGATTATCGTCGAAAGCTGTCAAGATAAAATTGAATGTGAAGTAAAGTTTTTAGTTGAAAAGATTTCATTTCAAAAGTCTTATTTTAGGCAGTTCGGTGGCAATATTCAGTCGAAAAATAAGTCTTCATATCTTGAATGAAATATCTTTTGCACAATTGTATGGAAAATGTTATGTTTTAACGTTATTACAACATTATTTTTGTTATTTAAACAGATCTAAAATGATTTCAAAGGCGGTGATAAAGCCGCTTTCCCAAGCATAACGCCAGCAAGAACGTCAATCATAAACTCGACTACGGTTTAGATCAGTTTAAGAAGTACAAAATTGCCCTGAAACTGAATAGGCATCACATAAGATTATACTCAGTGCTGCTCATCGACGGAATACGAATGGTTTCAATGCTTCCAAAGGTTGTTGGGCCATAATTTTGCCAAAATTAGGAATCTCGTTTTGGAAGGACGCTTAGGTAATAAGTGACCAAGGAGATGAGATTAACGACTACATTTTTATTGAAAATCGGAAAAGAAAGAAAGATCGTACAAAGAATGATCGTACAAAGGGAACAAAAAGTATTTAAAATGTGTAAAAAGTCAGTGCATAAACGTCATTACTTACATTTTAATATTAAACGTTGAATTATAACTGAATTGTCAAAATTTTATTTTAATCCTTCAAGATAGTATTGGTACAAAATTACAAGATTTATTGGTGTAGTTTTTGGTAAATTATTTTATGTTCAATTGAAATCAGAGATCAAATTCAGATCAATTCGAGATTAAATACCATTCCGGCCAATCAAATCATCTTTTATCTTGCCCTTTAGTTTAGACACCGCATAAAAGTTAACCACGAGTTCTTGAATAGGAAGATATATACCGATGATGATGTCTTGAGCAACACTGCTGCATCAAAAAATACATCTCGGTGTCCAACTCTCTCAAGATTCTCCTTCTTTGCGAATAATTTTCTTCGTATGAATTAGCGTCTACAATAGGAGGTAATTCTGCATACTTTACTCGTAATATCATGTGTAACTCAGTGTTTGTAGCAACTGATATTCTTCTATCGATAAAAGTTTTCTTATTTGAATAATGACAATAGCTCTCAGTACAATTGTTTTCATTGTAAAACTCACTATCAAGGCTATACAAATATATGCATAGATCGAAACAACAGCCATCCGGCCACAAATCAGTACGCAAGACAAAACGATCACCATCATTCAATCTTCCCAAACAGTTCTTTCTGGTGAAGAAACACGACATTGCATTAGGCTCATCCTCACCAGGTCCGTATATCCAAGGATCAGATGATTTATGTTCAATATTTCGCAAATCAAACCAATTATTAGGCGCATAAATTAAGATAGTCATCCTGATTAATTGAACTGGAATCCCGATTATCGACGAAAGCTGTTCGGAATAAAATTGAATGTCAAGTTTAATCTCAAAATCAGCAAAATCGAAATGAAACATGAGAAAATGGCTCACCTGGTTAATAACTTGTTGATCTTTGTATGGAAAACTTTCATCGGACCAATCTATTACGATATCATGATATCCCTCATCTTCAACCTTAACCTTTATGGTAACTAAATAATTTATCGAAAAGTTATCATCACTGTATTATAATGATTCATTAAATAAATAGACTCACCTTTATCTGAGATATCATCTTTTTCAATATTTTTTTGTGAATTATCCATTGGCAAGAATAAAAATTATTTTCTGTGAAAGAAATGGTTTTGTAGCATTAACTGTGAAAAGACTTGACTGGCAAAAATGAACTTACTTAAAGAACTTGTTACAGCAAAGAAGAAAGCAAAAGATTGACAAAGAAATGTTGTTCACAACGGAAACTTGTATTCAAAACTTCACGCTAAAAAACAAAAACCGGAACCAGAAACAAGTGTCCAGTTAAAACTAGTTCAGTGAAAACAAAAGTAGTCGAACCAATATTTAGTCGAAAAAATTTCATTTCAAGAGTCTTGTTTTTTAGGCAGTTCGGTGTCGCTATTCAGATGAAAAACTAAGTCTTATATTTTATTTTTTACCTTGAATGAAATAGCACAATTGTATGGAAAATGTTATGTTTTAACATTATTACAACATTATTTTTGTTATTTAAACAGATCTAAAATGATTTCAAAGGCGGTGATAAAGCGCTTTTCCCAAGCATAACTCCAGCAAGAACGTCAATCATAAACTCGACCACGGTTTTGATCAGTTTAAGAAGTAATGATCCCCAGTTGAGTTGACCCATAGCTGTAAGTATCCTTTCACCAATTTTAGGCGATGAAACTGATTCTCTGATAAAATAGCGATTATTTGTTGTCACCATTAAAAGGCACATAAGAAAAAATGATCTGCAAACTTATTTGAAAACAGGCAACTTTTGAAATCATCCTTTGACTGAAACAAAACTAGGAAAGAAATGAATCGTTCATAACCGAAATCATTTTGAAAATGTTTAAGTTCTGATTTTATTGTTGAGTCCTTCAAAGGTCTAAACTAACCAATGAAAACGACATTTATTGGACATTATAATGCTATACCTATGGTGCAGTTGAATTGTTTGAATCCATTTTGCATGTTTTGTTTTTTGGAAGGATTGATTTTTCAGATTGAGATAATCCTCCATTCATTATTATGGTTGTGAGGAGTTTCATTAAATCATTGTGAAAATGTCAACCAGCTTCCTGTGATCATACTCTTCCAGTCACAATGATAAAACATTATTATTGAATCATTATCGTTTACAATTAAAACCTCAAGTATCAGCCATAAATACAACCATTAGATGGCTTCGAGAGAATTGACAAATTAAATTTAATGTTTTCAAATCTTAGCGCTTTAAATTTTGTAATCACTAAGTAACCGGTTGCTTGCAACCAGGGGAGAGACTAACCATGGTTACTGGTTATATAATCGTTTTAATTTTTATCATCAATATTGATATTATCAGCCATTTTTAGTAAATGATGACAATCCTATATATTTAATTGAATTTGTTAGTTGATTAGTGTTGAGTTCTACCGATAAAAATTGGCCTGTCTTTTGTAATTGTCAGAATGCTGAATGCTCCTGCAGCAGAGCGTAATAAGAACGCTATTTTATCCATTTTAAGAAAAGTGCTTTCCCCTGACAAACAGTTAAGTGCCTTAGAAGTCGCTTCGGGATCTGGACAGCACGTTACTTGGTTTGCTCAAAACTTTCCAAATATTACATGGCAGCCGACTGAGTATGATGCTGATTCACTGAAGTCAATTGATGCCTACCGCGAATCTTGTGAACAAGCCAAAACTAGAGTCAAACCAGCGCAATTAGTCGATATAACCCAACCTATCGAATGTTGGCCACAACAAGTAGCTCAGCAACGTTATGATTTCATTTTGAATATCAATATGATCCATATATCTCCTTATACATGTACCATTGGTCTATTTCGTGCTGGAGCTGAGCTATTGAAAAACGATGGTTTAATAATTTTGTATGGACCGTTTGCTGTGGATGGTGTTCTTAGTCCTGAGAGTAATGTTGCTTTTGATCGAAGTTTAAGATCTAGGGATCCAGATTGGGGTGTTCGAGATACTCGAGATGTTATTCAAACTGGAAAACAATTTAATTTCAAATTCATGCAAACATTTGAAATGCCTGCAAACAACAAAATTTTAATTTTCCAAAAGTCATCATAACGTTATCAAGGCAATAGAAATTTATTATACATTCAATGAACTTGTGAATGTATGAAATATTCATAAATAAACTCCAGTTCTGGATTAAAAAGTGGCCAACGCAAATGCTCTTATAACTTCAAGCTGATTCATAGGAATGAGTGGAGTAAGAAAAGAAGCAATGAGCAGCATGTAACAGAGATGAAACAAAACCAAATATCTGTAAGAAAATTTAAGGATCAGTAACATTAATAAAATAACCTAAAGGTGCCAAGTATTACCGCTGCAATTTTATATGCTGTTAGTGATGTATCAGACAAAAATGAGACGGACCAGAGAGCACTGATGACGAACAAGAGGGAAGCAATTCCATGAAAAACATGATCCTAGATGAAAATAAAGTTTAATTCAATTGGTGTTTTCAAGAGGCTAATTAGAACATACCAGATGTGATGTTGATAAAAGAGCAACTGTAGTGCTTGAAAACAAACAGCATAATAACATTACATTAAGTGTATAAAAATGGATCCAATTAACTACATAAAGAAACATCACTGCATCGGAATAACATCTAATTTCACTATGTTTTGTCGACATCAGTATGATTGATAACATCGAAAGTACCTGTTGTAAGAGTAAAAATACATCAAGACATTATCAACACGTAAAGACATTTTCCAGCGAAATTGAAATCGAATCTCAACTTACAATTATTGAACATTTGAGTATACCGAATTTGCTTTTCAAATAATCAGTATTAATGACCAACAGGGAAAAATCTGGTAACATTTTCAATACCGGCTGATTACCTTAAATATTTACGATATGGTTTTAGATGGCTCTAATGCAAAATAGATTCACAAAGAATAAATAATTGATTCGGAAATAAAACCAAACTTAACTCTGATGGAAATACAATAAGTAACGTTTATTGTTTATAAATTAAACACATTTACCATTAATACATGATCGAAATTCATCACAATAAATAATCGGGTTACTGTAAGAAAAATTAGATTTGATTCAAATTCAATGGGAGTTTTTTCTTTCTTTTGTGATCTTATCAAATTTAATTGTGAATCATTACTAATGAATCATTACAATTATCCCAGATGTATAATAATTAATCAGAATCAAAATTAAGTCAACTCTAAGTCAATTTTTTGATTTATTAATAATTTCCTACCAATGTCCAGGATTCAAGAAGACACCTTCGACTGTCTGTAATCCATTGACAATGACGAGAACAGAAAATGTTTGTAAATAATTCCAGGCCTCTTCGTATTCACAGAAATATCTTTCAATAAAATTATCGCTAAAAATGAATTTACCACCCAACTCATCTTTGATTGTAACCTAATCTAGTTATTTAAATGAATCGATTCAATAATTTCACCTTTGCTTCAATCTTTTCGTCCCCTTTAAAGATTCAGGCCATTCACAGTCTAAAGAGTAGATAATAATAGATATTTATCTAATTAGAAAAATATTGCTAATTTCAATGTAATTTTATTGCTTCTTCAGGTTAATTGATTTTAGTTTAAACAGTAAATATTATCTGACCTGACTTGGCGTTTACTTTGAACAAAAAAAAATACAACAAAACTAGCAAACAGCAAAAGAATAGTTAATTAAAAGTTGAAAACCATCATTAATCTAATCTCTATTACTTCTTACGGCAAGAATACTCAGTGTCTAATGTTGCTCGCACAATGTAAGTAGAGTTAATTAATTTAAACGATAATGATTTGAGAAGCCAAGTATTTTGAATAAGAACACAAAAATCACCATTTAAGGTCACCAGTAGATTCCATGTCTAACTGAGAACTGGAAATCTCTAATTTAGGTTGCAGCCTTTTAGATTAATTTGACAATGGCTAAATTAGTAGGTTAAAAGGATAATAAAAAAAGAGAAAACAAAACCAAATTAATATTAATAGTAAGAAGAAGAAGAAGAAAAATGAAATTAGAATCATTAAAAGTTCATTTGAATCCATTCAAGTAATTCAGTCATCATTCACATCAAATTGATTATTGCAGGAATCAAGTTCAGCAAACAATCCAAGCTAAAGACACAATACAGATGTTCATGAACTTGAAGTATTGTCATGAACATTAATGATGAGACAACATCCATAGAGTGTGGAAGAGCAGCAAATTTCAATTTTTATTGTTGAACCAAAAGGAAGTAAAAGTGATTTTTTTGTAAAATTTCATGATGTTATTCATGATATTTTTGGACTTTCCTTGTTCTCCGCTTGTTTGCCACTTTCCTTGTTGGAACAAATGTTTACCAGTTTTGGTCCAGCAATTGATTTCGAATCATTTTGCTCATGTCGCCCAATTGAGACCAGTTTTCATGAAGACTACCAGACAGCGAAAAATAAAAAATACGGAAAAATAAACTTCCTACTTGAAGATGATTCAGTTAATTTAAACATTATGACTTTTCATTTCTTGTTCATCATTCATTTCTGTTTCCATTCACTTTTCTGTCAACATTACGCCCTTACCTTTCATCATCCTTATTGATACCGCATTTACCTGCTGTCAATTTATTCATCTTCTTATTGCTCATCCTATTTGTCATCCCCATTATTTTCACCATTACGCGTTTCAGCTTCAATTTTACACCTTCCAAGCCCTTCAACAAGCTTCATTTGCCATGTTATTTTCATTCAACAGGAATTTCATTTCTTCATAAACTTTGTTATCTTAAACTGATCAATTGCGCGATTGGACAGAAAAAGGTTTTGCCAAAAAAAGGTTGAGAAAATTCGGAAACCCGATTTAATTGACGATAATTTAACCACCAAAAGCATAAAACGTGAATCACATGAAATGTTTTCTTTTATGAAAAATATCTTTTTACTCTAAAACCTTTTCGATTTAAAAAGAAATCAGTTTTCAACGATTTCAAGAAATGAATCGGGACCCGAATAACCTGACAAAACTTTGGTTCTCTTGATTTACAGCAATTTTATTCAATCAAAATGAATTTTATTCATTTCATAAAAATTCGAGGAAAATTGTTCAAATCTCTCAACCAAAGCGTTTTGTTCCAATTTATTAATTGCATGGTGAATCTGAATAATTCAGGTAACATTGTGCTAGAGTTCATAATAAAAGTCGATTGATTTGCAATAATCAACAATTAAAGTCGTCCACTTGCCGCTGAACTGCCTAATACCGTATGATCGATTCAAAATTGTTAACTCCACCTCAAACTGATTTTAAAAATATGCATAAAAATCTGTTATCATCGAGAAATGAATTTTCATGGGATATTGAATGGAACAAAGTAGTCAAACCAATATTTAATTGATAAAATTAAGTGATGTATTTCATGTTATAAATTTATATTTTACTTTCAATGGTTACTTCAATCTGCTTGTTTATTAATGAGAGATTGGAATTGTGGCGAGCATGTCATTGATGATGAGCACCATGTTTTGTTTCCTGGAGCCAGAATAATCGTCCATTTTCACATGAAGATAAAATATCACTAAATGTTAACCTCGAGTCCGTGAATAGGGAGAATTATGTCGATGATGACGTCTCGAGAACCAGAAAGAACACCGCTGCCCCCAAAAGAACACCTTGACGCCCAACTCTCTCAAGATTCTCCTTCTTTGCGAAGAATTTTCCAAGGATGAAGCAAGGTCTACACTAGGAGGTAATTCTGCATACCTTGCTCGTAATATATTGTGTAACTCAGTGTTTCTAACAACTGATATTCTTCTATCGATAAAAGCTCTCGTATTTGAATAATGACAATAGTTCTGAGTACAATTGTTTTCATTGTAAAGCTCACAGTCAAGGCTATACAAATATATGTCTAGACTGAAACAGCCATCCACCCACAAAGTCAAATCAGTACGCAAGACAAAGCGATCACCATCATTCAACCTTCCCAAACAGTTCTCTCTGGTGAAGTTACACGGCATGAAATCAGGCTCATTCTCATCAGGCGCATCATGCTCATAAAACCAGGGATCGAATGATCTATGTTCGATATTTTGTAAATCAAAATAATTAAGAGGCGCATAATCTAAGATAGTCATCCAGATTAATTCGACTGGAATTCCGATTATCGTCGAAAGCTGTCAAGATAAAATTGAATGTCTAGTTTAATCTAAAGCAAAGTTGAAATGAAACATGAGAAAATGGCTTACCTGGTTAATAACTTGCTGATCTTTGTATGGAGAACTTCCATCGGACCAATCTATTACTATATCATGATATCCCTCATCTTCAACCTTAACCTTTATGGTAACTGAATAATTTATCGAAAAGTTATCATCACTTTATTATCATGATTCATTAAATAAATAGACTCACCTTTATCTAAATTATCCTCTTTTTCAATATTTTTCAGTGAATTATCCATTGGCAAGAATCAAAATATTTTCTGTGAAAGAAATGGTTTTGTAGCATTAACTGTGAATAGACTTGACTGGCAAAAATGAACTTGAAGCAAAGAAGAAAGCAAAGGATTCACAAAGAAATGCTGTGCACAACTGAAACTTGTATTACTTTACCCTGAGACAAAAGACAAAACCGGAACCAGAAACAAGCTGTGTCCAGTTTAAACTAGCTCAGTGGAAACAAAAGAAGTCGAACCAACATTTAGTTGAAAAGATTTCATTTCAAGAGTATTTTTTTAGGCAGTTCAGAGGCAATATTCAGTTGAAAAAACTAAGTCTTATATTTTATTCACTATTTTAAATAAAATATCTTTTATATAATTGAATGGAAAATATTACTTTGTTATTTAAACACATCTAAAATGATTTCAAAGGCGGTGATAAAGCGCTTTTACCAAGCATAACTCCAGCAAGAACGTCAATCATAAACTCGACCACGGTTTTGATCAGTTTAAGAAGTAATGATCCCCAGTTGAGTTGATCCATAGCTGTAAGTATCCTTTCACCAATTTTAGGAAACTGTGGTTCGGATAAAAACAATTATTGGAACCGAGGGGTCGACAATCATCATTAAAAAATACATAAGAAAAAATTATCTGCAAACTTACTTGAAAGTAGACAACTTTTGACATCCTCCTATGACTGAAACAAACTATTAATAGGAAAGAAATGAATCGTAACAGAACGAAATCATTTTGGAAATTATTTAAGTTCTGATTTTATTGTAGAGTCCTTCAAAGGTCTAAATTAACCAATGAAAATGACCAAGTTTTTTAATGAAAGCTGAAAGTTGAGCAAAATTTTGTACAAAAAATGACTTCAATTGAAACAAAGAAATCATTTTTAGTAAAACATCTTCATTTGAAATTGAGTTATACAGGCGACTTGCTTCATCATCGAGAAACCTCATTGTACTATTAATAGAACTGGACAGGAATTTATTAACAAACACTTGAAATGAACACATTTTTTGCAATAAACAAAGAAATGGTAACATGAAGAGTTGGAAAAGAAAAGAGTTTCAGAAAAAAAATGATGAACAAAAATCAGGGTTAACTATTCATTGATAACCATGATTGGCTTACCAGCATCTAGCATCCATTAAAAATGATGGTTTCTTTCAATCAGAAAGTTGATCAAGAAAGAAGGTGAAGAAGAAGAAGAAGAAGAAAGAAGAGCAAAAATGATAAAGATGATGGTTTTATTTGAAGGTAATCAGTAATCAACACAGTCAACCCTTTCATGATAACCTGCTCCCACCCTGAATGGTTGTTGAAAGAAAGTCATTATTAAAGGACCAACAAAATGTATAAATTAAAGGTAATAAATGAAAGGTAAAAAAAAGAGGTAAACAAATTGAGGCTAAACGATAATCCAAAGGGAAAATGTAAAGTCAATTTTATGCAAAAAGAATCATGAAATCAATGGAAGAAAAAAGAAGAATATTTTTCCTTCCAAAAATTAGACTTTTCTCTATTATCCAAACTAATTCATTTAATCTTGCAATCATAAATCAATTTGATAACAATCTAAAGCGTTGATATTGATCCCACACACAGTAAGTAGATATCAACATTCAGAAGAACAAGAAGAAAAAAAAACATTTCAACCAAATTCTCATTCTTTTATGCTCTACTTGATGTTCACTGGTCATCATCATGTTAATCTTCATCCGATGCCCTTGAAAAGGTTAATCAAATTTGTTTGAAATAATGTTGAGTGAATGAAGCATCTTAGCTGACCGTGAATGTTTTACCCCGAATCTTCATCTGGTAATGTCGTTAAGAAGCAACAGCAAATGTAAATGTAAAGTAAATAAATAAAAAAAAGTAAATGCATTTTGATAAAAAAAATGAACCGTTTGAAACAAAATTGATTCAAGTCATAACATTAGCACAAAGTGATTAACTGAACAAACTTCACTTGTTGCCCAAAAACGTGGCCCTTTTGCCCTTTTTTTTAAAGGTGCTCATGGCCTAAATACAAATCAACAAATTAAGCATAAAATAAACTTCATTTAACATAATAAACACTCTACTGTTTTAACCTTCATCTTGTACCTGATGATGTATACTTGGCTTTGCCCCTTTGCCAACCTCACTCTCATCAATCCTTTTATTTTTCAACATCTTTTTAACGACTAACGACTCTCTTCAACTGCCCAACTCTTTTGTCTTCATCTTTATACTGGCCACTTGGCCCATCGCCTTCATCAGCATCATTTTTGTATTCCCTTTTGACGATGTGATAATCAGTTGGCCCAGCCTTGAGAGAGAAACAATTTTTTTTACTTCATTTCAATTATTATTGGTTTGGCCTGGTTTCAGCTTCGTTTGCTTTCATTTGGTACATTTTTCAACCTTTAATCTACTCTGTTGTCCATGATGATGATAATGGCAAAAGTCGTAAATCATCATTTTTTATTGTTTTTACTTCAATCTTTTATCATGTTAGCTCAAGCCTTTCAAGTTGTTATTGAAATCTGCCAATTTCATCCATTTATTACTGTTACATTTATCAAGTTTGCTTTAAAAGCATTTACGTGACAATCAAATTGTGGTTTCAAGTAACCATAATTGCTTCAAATTTTAAAGATTCATCAATATTAATCAAAATTTCAATTTAAATTTTTAGACTTTCAAGACTCTACGTTTTAGTTGAAGACAACCAATAATGTTTAAGCTTCAGCTACTGATCTATCTTTGAATTAACTTGTACAATTGGTGTCAAAAGAAATCACTTGGAAGTTGAAACTTATAGACAGAGATCAGAGGTTTCCAGCCTCAAATCAATGGTCAGTTAAAATTTGAGTTGTTTTCATGGGAAAGTTATTAATGATAGACAGATCAAAAGAGACTGTCTTGGTGCTTAATTCATCTACAGGGTCCGCCACTCATCTACATTTTATTAGCACATGGAGTTGACTTTTGAACCAGTTTTCAATTTGAATGAACACACATTTTTAGCCTTGATCTGGTTCAAGTCCGAAGATGTTTCGTGTAAATTTTTACCGTCACAAGAAAATTGTCTCTGGTCAAACCACATATTTGTTAAGTTCGTTGAATATGCTTGACATGGCGCTTTGAATTAAACAGAGTGAAGCTAAACATGGAAGTGAATCGCATAAGCACATGCTGAGCACAAATCATTATACCAATAAAATGCATGATTTGTGAGGTAAATGAAAAATATTTCCACTGAGATATCAGTAAACCCAAAATTTTGGTTCCTTTCAACATTTTTTGGTTTCTTTGCAAATGATTGACTGAAATTTATAATCATTCAGTAACAGCTTTAGAAGCAACTCAAGTACTTTCTGCTTTTCCTTTTTTATCATGCTTTTGTTAATGGATACAAATGACCGACAAAACATTAGAGAAGACATTGTATTCTAATTTTTCCTAATCATGATTACAAATTGCTGGAAAAGGTCCATTTAATGCAGCATCTGCAACCTTTTCGTTCTCGAATCTGACTGAATAACATGAATCGAAGTCTTTAATTTTGTGTTTTTTCCTCATTTTAAACAAAAACTTTATCTGTCGATAAGGGTCAAGTTATTAACATTCAATGACTGACAAGAATAACTTATCAGACTATGACTTTGTGTCTATTTAGCGCTGTAAATTGAAAATTCACTCTCAAAATTGCTCTCAGAAAATTCCCTTAGAGGTCGAATAACGGATTGGACTTCAATGACCTTGAGCATTCAAACTTATGATTCTTCAATCTATGGAAGCTCATGGTTCAAGTTTGAAGTCTGTATTGAGAATTAGGAGTTGGATTCATTGCCTATTCTGATTTAAAATACAACTTTCAGCAATTTTTTGCGAAAGAGAGAGGAAACGTCTTTAGACGAAACTAAAGTTTGCCGTTTAGAATTGTTTGAATCGAAGCCTGCCGAATGCTATCTTTATGGCCTAGTGCAACTTCCTGTTAAGACCTACATTGATGCAGAAGGAGACTTCTCAAAATAAGTCAAAAATCATGTCTTCATACCGAGAATCGGGACTTACCTAAGCACCTAATATTAAAGAATAATTTCATAATCTTTATAAAAAATATTTCCAATTTCACCAGCAGCTGAACATTATAACTGAGTATTCAGTGTCACTTGTCGAAGACTGTTAAAGTCATTAATCGACGATTGAACTCAAACCATTGAAATATTGATTTTAAAAAGTTATTCTCGTGAATTTATTTTTGTCAAATGAAGATTAAGATCAACTCGATTAAAAGTGTTAATCAAATGTGCCGATTTCAGTTGCTTTTATTCACCTTTATCAAAGCTGTTTATCTTTAACCCTCTCACCTGATTGAGCTATTGACACTTAAGATCAAGTACAATTAATTAAATATAGTTATTGTGCCAAAAAGGCGCATATTTATCAATGAAGAGAAAAAAAGCGACAGAAAAAAAACTTCAATCACTCATTGGATTCACCTTCACTTTTAGAGATTAAATAATCTCATTTTTCATTCAATGAACGTTGCTTTAATTAACAACTTTCACTGATTAATCAATATTTTTGTCAAGCCAAACATCAAGAAATAAAGTCAGGAACAACAAAAAATGCTGATAATGAAAGGTGAGGAAGAAATAGAAAGGTAAATGCATTCAAATAATCTAATTTTCACATTTTTTTCAAAACTTTAGTCAATAATGCGATAATCTTGATTGAACAGACCAAATTGATTTTTATTGCTTGCGCTTTTAATACATCTTCAACAGCCCAACGATAACTGGAGCTGATTCGTTAAATTGCAATAAATAAACAATTTGTCAGGTAAACAACTCTAAATCTACTTTCTTTGAAAAAAAATTCTTCTTCTTCTTCTTCTTTTCTCTCTTTCCTTACCTTGCACCTTCAACATGTTGACCAGTTGAGAAAAGAGTGAAACCAGAAAGAGAAGAAGATGAAGACCAGATGAGAAGATGAAGAGGGGGTGGAGGTAACAAAATGGGGCACAAGAGTGAATGGAGGTTAGAGGAGAGAGAAACTGGTCTGGATAAAGATGAAGATGAAGGAGGTTGGAGAAGGATGAAGAGATGAAGAGATGAAGAGAGAGAAACGATAAGTTGTTTTGCGTTTTTATTTTGTGTCTTCTTTATTTGTTGCTTGTACCGTTTGATAACCCATCAGTTTGGATCAACATTGTGAGGGAGAGTGAATCACCAATATCAACACGTCCATCTTGATCATTAATTATTTTCACAAATATTTCATCTTCTCATCCTGACCAGTCAAAGTCAATGTTCATTATCCACTCATCTCTCTTCTTTACCTGTTAACCTTTTCTTTGCATCTTTTGTTTTCGCCCTTCAACCTCTTCTCCTAAGTACTGACTATGGTCTGTCTCAGTGATTCACCTTTATCGGCAAATTCATTTGAAAAAGTTTACTTCGATTGTCTGATTTTTGGGAAAAATTGAAATCAACTTTCATCAACAAATATTGACTGTTCAACGTTAAGTTTCAAGTTCAGGATTTTTCTCAACTTTTTATTCCTTTTCTGGTTCCATTGTAAAGATTGAAGATGACAAATAATTTGACTGGCAATCGAGCTCTTCGAATCGCCATTCTTGGAAGTTCACAGTCGGGAAAATCAGGTAAAAAATGGCTTTTCTCTTTACTCTTCCAAGCCCAATCACACTGGAAACTTTCCCCTTCTCAACTTTGTTAACCTTTAATTGTTGATGGGTTAAGTCAAGTTTAATGTGCCATTTATGCTTATTGACGTTCAACTGTTTACTGACTTTTTTACTGTTGATCGTGAAGACGAGTATTACTCTCGATTAGACTCAAGTGCTTGAGCTTTTAAAACCGATTATTTAAAGGTTTCATCATTCATTGTCGATGATATTGTCAATTATACTAAATGGTGCAGTACAAGAATAGCATCAAAAACGATGGTGAACAGATGATGTTATTCATTGGTAAACATGAACACAATGAATAGATTATCCAATCGAGCTTTATTCAATTGCTTTTTATAGTTAATGTTGATTAATTAAGCGCGCAAAATGAGATTATTTTGTTTTTGTTCATTTCATCAACAACAACAAAAAAAGATTCCAACCATTATAACAGAATTACCTTTTGTGATAGAGTTTGATTGATTACAAGACAATTTAATCGTTAAATGCATTAAAGTTTAATCTTAAACTCTTTTCGCATAACCGGACTATTTTAGTTTGCATCAGGTCAGATTAAGTTTCACCAAATTAAGCACATAAAAACAGACGTTTGGCCTCACATTAACAGTGTTACTTTCAATGAAACAAACGCATTCCTTTCGTCCATTCAAAAGTCAATGCAACAATAAACTACAATTAACTTGACTTTTCAGACTAAAGCTCAGTTCTGTGGAAATTGTGAAAACAAATGTTAACACTTGAGTTTAAGTGTTTCGACAAAATTATAGCTTAGACGTGAATTTAGGCGAAGAGCTTCATTTATGATTAAAGATGTCCGCAGGAATACAAAAGGTTGCTCTTGTAAAATGCCTGAAGCGAACCAACAATTTGGAATCTTTTTGGAAAAATTACAAAATTTAATTTTGTCTAAAATTCATAGACTTCCAATGTTTCTTCAATATTGATGGCAATCAACTGGAAGCATTAATCTTGTTTTATGCAAATTTTAACCTTAATCTTTAGGAAATTGATTCAAATTTTTTTCTTGATTTTTCTTTTTCTTTTTCATTTTAAATACAATAATCTGAATACATTTTTAGATGCAATTTTGCACAGTAAATTGACATTCTTGTATTTCAATAGACGATTGTTATTGTTAAACTTAAAACAATATTTAACTTCCGCAAAAATCATTAAAAAAGAAGAGAAGAAAAGAAGAAAATTGCAATAATTTCATGTGACATGAAGAAATTAATGAGCTGATTATTGCCCCTAAGATATTGTTCTTGACCATTAGTTTATCAGGTTAATTGCATAGGTTAGTTTAATTACCTCCCACACCTTTTTTCATTGGCAGTGCAAGTAAAGCTTGAAAAAAGTATGAAATTGAAAAAAGAAAAATAAAAATGAGAAAAAAAGGAAAAATACAAAATATTTAAACAGGAAGAGGGTAACGAGGTTTAGGTAAAGAAATAGCCAATGAAGGTTAGGTCAAACCAATCAATTTGAACCTAATAAGCATCAATTTCACTGTTACAAACCACTCCTGTTCATACATTGTGTTGTTGTTCAGGTTGATTCATGAACAGCAGAAAAACTATAATCACAATAACCATTATTAAAAAATAAGTTTATGACAATTGGAATAGCTTTTCAAGAAAGGTTGCTCTTCTGGGCCGCCTCATCAAAAGGTCATCCAAATGATGGCCAGTTCTGCTTTAGTATACAATAGATGACAAAGTTAGATAATTTTGAATTCCTTCATTTGCTAACATTTTGTTCACATTGCTCAATTTGGTTAAAAATAATAACCTAAAAGCGAGCTTTAAATCAAGTTTATCTTTACCATCGAAAGGTTATAACATTTTTTTAATCTTAATCTGAGATAATTTGAAAGCTGAGAGTTTCATTGTTTTATGGATTTGCAATTTCAAGTTATCCAAGATTCAAGCTTTCACTTATTTAAATTGAATCAAGAATCTTAGTGATCAGAATGAAATGCATGAAAATAATGCAAATAAAGTCCATAAGTAAAGATACTTATTGAGTTTCATTGAAAAGTCATGGATAGCTTGATTCACAAACTTGTTTTGCTTAAAAAGTTTGAAACGAAATCTTATTGTTGAGACAAAAAATCGAACGTAAAGTCAATTTTTATATCAAATTTTGATCGAATTTTTCTGTTTTTTGAAAATTCGTTGTTATACTTTCAAATGATAAGTAGCTATTGACCAAACACTTAATGATTAAGTATCAATCTCTTGAGTCGACGAGAAGAGTGTTTTCACAAATAAAACAAAAAATGATTATTGACTTCAGAATAAAACAGTAAATTTCATTTCTTCATAAAATCTGAAAATTCCCAGTAAATTTGAACCAGAATTTTGATTATCCTTAAAAATTATTGTTAGATGAAATGATGAATGCGTTGACATTTGCTTTAAATGATGAATCTCCAAAAATCTCATGCATTTTGAATAGAAAGTTAATCAACCAGGAAAAGCGTTTTGTTTGATTGATCAAAATTTCATTTTCATTTTGAAAACATAAAAATGAATGTTAATACGCTTAACTATTGTTAAACTGTTTTATTATTTACACTAATCTGTTTCAATTATTTATCCTATTTTTAGCTGTAACAGTCCGCTATTTGACCAAACGATTTATTGGTGAATACAGTTCAAGTAAAGGTAAGTTTTAACCATTAATTTAATCATAATTGCTCTCAAGGAAAACAACGAAACAAAAGATGAAAATTTAAAAAATTAATCAATAATAATAGCAATAATAAACTAAACGATAAGATAAAACAAAGCATTTTGAAGTGTATAAAAATATACTCGAGTGAAGATGAGAATTGCATTAAAAAAAACTTAAAATTGATCCACTATTTTGATATGCTTATAAAGCTTATAATGCTTAAAGCATATAAATATCAAAAAAATTGGCTAAAAAAGTAAAAAATAAACCAATAATTTAGACAATCATCATTTATCATCATCATAAGGGAGACAAAAGAAAGAGAAAGGCCGAAAAGCGAAAGAAAAGTAAAGAAAATAGAAAGAGAAACAAGTCTCAGAAAATGAACATTGATGGACAAAATGAATTCTTCCGGGTGCCTCTTCCATTCACTTTTGTTCTTGTTCTTGTTTCCACCTTTTTTCAACTGGTTGATGAAGTAGCAGATGAAGAGCCATCAGGTTGAAACATTTTCAGACACTAACCAAGAATTGAATTTGCATGAAAATCAAGTGACAGTTAAAGCCTAATAGTTTGACCAAAAAAAGCGAATCATCACTTTGCTCACTTATTATTAGTTACTCGGAAGTCTTGAACAGGGTTAGTCTTTGGCTTGGGTCAACTTGGTCAGGTTATCAGGAATGGAATGAAATTTTTTTCTCTCCATTTTTCCATGTTTTCCGATTGAAACATTTGAACCAAATTGGCATTGTTTTTCCCTGTTTTCATGCTTTTCCGTTCAATATGTCAATGTGTTAATCAGTTAATCAAACCTTTTCTGATTCCCTCTTTGGTCAGGTTTCAATCCTTTTCTGAATAACCTTTCATGTCATGAATCAAGGGTTGGCTTATCACTTTTGAAACATTATCAATTAATCTGTTCTTTCATATGATCGCTTGAAACTTGAACGCTTAACATTCCAAATGTTTCATGTTTCCCTTTGACAAGTGAAACATGAAAAATTGTAGCTACACTTGAATAGCTGTTAACTCTTTATCTTCTAGATTATTCATTGATTATCTCATAACTGCAATCAAATGCTTTACATGATTATTGTATATTAATTTCTGTAGCTTCTACTTAATACGTTTTTTTTTGATTCTGATTAAAAATTTTGCTTCTTTCCAATCAATTCATTTGAGGAAGTTGATGTTGGCAAAAGAAGCAAAATTTTGCTCCATGTTCAATGCTCTTTACCTTCATGATTAAGATAAATTGAAACCTGGAAACCTTCATTTCCTAATCAGATGAATTTCATTTTGCTTTATTATCGTTAACACATTAACACTCATCTTAAACATCTTCATTAACAATCGACCTTTTTTTTGATCAAAATTTGTATTCTTCCGTTTCGTTTGATCAAAAGGTTCAACAAAAGAAACCAATTAACCAATAAATTAACTAATTATCAATTCCTTTCAATTTCATTCTTAACCATCCAAGTAACTTTCACTGATGATTTCACTGAAAGGTAATAAAATACTGTTCAATTGTTAAACCCTTTTCACTGTTTACATCTTTTTATTTATTGATATTTCTGTTTTTTTTGTGATTTTTTTATTTTTCATTTTTATTTTTTCGTTTCATTTCAACTGATTTTCATCTTTTTTTCAGACTTCTTTTACCACCATTCACTGACTGTTGATGATGTTAAAACTGACGTTGAAATAATGGACACTTCAAGTTGCAAGGTAAGACTTGGTCAATCTTGTCCATTTGATTATTTGTTGAATTGAAATTGATCAAGGTGGAACCGGAAAGAGTTTCATCTTTTTACTTTTTACTGATCCGGATAAGATTACGGTAATGTTGAACATCATGTTGAAAACAAATGGTCAACATCATCATTAGACTCAAATTCATGCTTCTCATCATGTACCATGATGAGATTATATTAATCTAATTTGGATTTTTCTTCTTCTCTCTCTTCTTATTCAAAGCTAACATTATCCTCTTTTTTGACTCTCTTTCAATCTGACCAAAATATAATCAATAAATAAGATCCGGAAACGGCTTGTGTGTGTGTGTGAGTGTGCTTACCTGTCTAAACCTGCATTGCCCTTTAATAGATGTTAACTCCCTTCACTAATAAGCATCAAGAAATAATCTTTTTTTTCTGATCGTCCTTCATGTAACCCGGCCTCTGTACCATCTCATGCTCATGAAGGTAGGAAAGCACTCAATGCAGGTATCGCATTTCTTGCCTTGCTTTTTATAAATCTAATAATTTTCTTCTTCCATTCAGCTATGCAAAAATCTGTTGCATTAAAACTCTCACATCAGCATGTAATTGAGTCAATCAAAACATGACATGAGATTTGGAAATAACTATCCTTTGAATAACGGTCTGATCTTTTCTATGAGCTGATTGTTGACTAATCTGATCAATTCAGAATATTTTTACATTTTTAGATCAAATAACGGCTTTAGAGTTAACAGTTATCATTTGCAACTAGACTTCAATGGTTCCACTTGATCAGAGTAAGGGTCTTAACCAAATGGCATTTTTTTAGAGTCCATCTATTAAACAAAATTTAAAGTTAAATTAATTTGATCTAAATCACTATAAATTGTATGTCTAAAGCTATCTCCAGTGACGACAGTAGTGCGGGGCGAGCATCGATAATCTATGTTAACTCAAAAATTCAGTTTTTGGCATTACTCCTTTTAAATGAAATTCAATTCAGTGAAAAAGTTTCAGGCATAGTTTAAAGTGATGAAAAACAGCCAGAAACGTAAAAAACACACCAAAACGAGCTTGAACAGCATGATAGAAAGGGATTCAGAAAAATTGAAAAATATCGATGTTAGTATCTTGGTAATCGATGATCATTAGTCAAAAAATATCGATAAATCATCCAGCACTAGACGAGTTTCTTTAAATTGTTATTCAACAGTCCCTCGTTGTGTAAATCCTTTTTGTTATTTGATCAGGTGTTTTCGAGTTTTAAGTCTTCTTTTTATGAGCACATCTCAAGTTTCTATGATGCATATCTTGACAGTAATCTAAAAATTTGTAAAGTTTTTCTCACTAATTTCTCGCCTTTTCTGTTTCCTTGTCTTTGTCGTGGAAATAGTGCATCTATGACCATATTGCCTGGGCTGATGCATTTGTTGTTGTCTATTCAATATGTGATAAAGATAGTTTCCATGAAGCTCGTCAGCTTTTACAAACAATTGCCATGTACAAAGGAGCCAGACGATTGCCCATCATTTTACTTGGAAATAAAAGAGACTTGGAACACAATCGTGAAGTAAAATAATTTCATCATTTTCTCGTCTTTTCTTATCTTTCGTATTAATTATGGCTTTCAATTTTCCTCCCATTTATCTTGTTTAGGTGGCAGTAGACGATGGTCAAGAGTTGTCTCTTCTGTGGCAGTGCCAATTCTATGAAGTATCGGCAGCAGAGAGTTACATTGGCGTTTCCTTGGCATTTCAAAGTTTGATTCGTGAAGCAAAGCCTTCTGCTTTATTGAAAACATTACCACCAATGAGAAGGAAAACGAGTCCAGCAATGATTGGAAAGATGATTGGCATTGTTTTTGGCAAAACTGGATCAAAGTCTTCTCGGAATGGCAAAAAAAGGCCTTCACTTTCCATTTAATTTCCATTAATTTTGTAACAAATATATTCTTTGTAATATATTTCTTTGTATTGTAAAAATTGATCAAAGGTGCATCTATCCATTTAATTTTATTCCAACGCTCTATTCCTTTGTATATAAAATTTAAAATGAAATTCAATTTTTTTAAAATCAGTGTAAATACATGAAGATGAAATATCAGTAAATTGAAATAGATATTCTGGCCTTATTGGTAAATTATATTTTTATTGGTCTCATTTAGAAAATTTAATTTGGTCAAATCTTTTTTTCGAGAAATGGTAATGTTTTCTTGTGTTTGATTCTACTTAATTAGATAACCATGTATCCTGTTGTGAAGTTTCGATTCAAACGAAATGAAACCAATCAGATTCGCACTGGATGTATTAGGATATGGATTGTAGGAACCGGGCCAACAAGACAGTTCTCCATCAGTATTAAAACCTTGACTAATTGGGGGTCCATCATTATTAAAAACCAACAATCTTGGACCAAAATGGCGATAATATAAAAAGCACAGGCTACTACCATTGGAGTTATTTTTATGCTCTTTAAAGATATTTTTTTGAAAATCGTATGAAAGGATCAATGAGCAGTCTATAAATATTACGAGCAAGTCACGTAAAGTTGTACTTTTCAGCATCTTTATGGGTTCTTTTGTAACGATTTCATGACTTGCGACAACCCTGGACTTATTTCCGTACGGCCAACATTTATTAATTGTCAATAGCGATTTGTATTCCCTGGGATTTTCGTTGCGATTCTGATTGCTAGATCCACTTGTTGGATTAATGATTGATATGTAAATCCTTCCTTTGTGTTTGGATATTGTGAAAGTTGATTTACTGGATGTATTGTCACCGGATAAACGTGCGAACTCAATAAGTCTTCCTCCTTTCCAGAAATGAATTTTTCTATTACTAAAAAATTTTTTTTATGATTACAAATTGAATTATGAGTGTACTGTAAATACAGTTATGATTAGTTACTATCTTATACTCACTTTTTGTTAAATCGAAATAAGCGCCCAAACAAAAGAATGTAGCAATGATCAGAATCTTTGAATAACCGATAAGTTTTATTTTTCCAGTCGATTCTGATAACCACATCAGAGTCCATACAATGTTCAGTTATATGGGAATCACCAAAATTAGCTGGAGGAAGAGAACGATTTTCTGAAAAAATAATCTTGCCATAATTTCCATTAAAATTATGAGCTATTATGGATGAATCAGTATTTCTATAGATAGCATAATGAAAGCTGTTTAATTCATAACGAGGTTTGAGATTAAAATCATTAACCTCGTGGATTTGTTTCAATGATTTGTAAAAACTGAGTTCAATTACAGCCATGATAACTGGACGCGTTCGATCATGCATAATCCAAGATAATTTATTGATTCTATTCATGAACTGGACTGCATTTATTTCAACCCAGCGAACCTTCTTAAGCAATTTTGGAAGATGAGACCTTCTTTCGACACTTTTTTGTATCCATCTTATGATAGCATCGAAAACTTGTATTTCATTATCGATATGTAAGTGATCCAAACTAATTATATAATCAACTGTGTCAACAGCATAATGAAGAAAACCATTTGTATGCACAATGTCCAAGAAGTTTGAACAAATATATCCATCGATGATTTCATGCCCTTCTCCCGTGACGATTTCATTTATCCAATGTTCTATATCTATTAATGGAGAATCAGAGAAGTTGTTCCATAAGGAATTTAAACATTTAGTCGTTAGTTTAGAAATATCCATGTAATCAGCAAGATGGAAAAGTTCAACAGCAATATCTTCTGTAATCAATATTTTGGAACAATAAGCCCATTCAATAATAAGATCAAATGCATAAGACGGAAAGTCTAGTTTGATCACTTGACTTGTTGATTCTGAGAATTCAGATGAAAACATTTTATCAAAATAAGGAATTGCATCCGATAAAACATGTTTATGGACTCGATATTCGTTATCTCCGTTCATGATGGTTATATCACTCCACTTGCCATCCTTATAAGAACGAAGTAAAAGCGATGAAGCATCTTCTTGGACCTCCATTGTGACATAAAGTAACTGAATGGCGATGATTTGAAATTGAACGGCTCGTCAGTTTGAAAAAATTCACAGTTTAAAATATTGTTAAAAGAATTTCAGAAACTCATGAAATACTGTGGCTGCTTTGCATAAAAGTAATAGCATAAAAAGTCACAGTGTAGAATATTATGAAAATGAAATTTGACGAAACAGACGAAAAAAAAGATTAAATCATAAGATAGAGCAGACGAGAAGTCAGTTAACTATTCAAATGATCAAGTTTTTTCTGTGGTGCCATCCAGTGAGGATTGTCTCTAACTTACTTCAGGATCTTATACATAAATCTTTGATCAGATCTGATATAACGTGATGAAAACTATTGTCTATGCCAAGTGAATTTATGCTCAAATTTACCGGTTTATATAACATTAATAGATATTCACAGTATTCATAATATAATCGAGATGTCAGCACTTGAGAATATTCAATCTTCTGAATTATCTGTATTTTCATCAGTTCATTATCTTCAAGGCATAATTTTTCAACTTGCATTGCTTAAAAACTATGATTACCAATGGAGCTTGAAGAGTTATTACAGTTGTAGCAAGAAAATGATCAATGTTTACATTTTTTGTTTCTAGTAACCTATTTACATGTTTAAACTTATTCAATGATTTAACATCGACTCAAAAATCAACTCAATTGAAACAAACATGGCAACTGTTGATTTGTGTGACAATAAAACAACTGTTACAGTTAAAATTAAACAAAATGCATCAACTGGTCTTTCTTCAGCTTACAAGGACAGAAAATTCAGTGACTTAATCATCGTCAATAACGATAAAGAATATCATGTTCACAAGATTATTTTGTCTTCATTCATTCCGTATTTCGATAAAATGCTTTCATCCGGACTCGCAGAATCAAAAAGTTCACGAATTGAGCTGAAACATCCAACGAAAATATTCGATCTCATAATTGATTGGGCTTATTGTCAACCGATTAATGTAACCAAGGAAAATGCTCTTGGATTGTTTCATCTTTCTGATTACTTGGATATACCTGATTTAGCGAATGAAAGTTTAAGTTTTCTGTTCGATCACTTTTCAAATGAAGTTGTTGTTGAAATTGATCATTGGATTAATCAAATTGCAACTCTCAAAGCTCGTCAACTGATTGATCAATACATTTGTGAAAACTTTTGTGATATAATTACAACCAAGAGTTTCTTGGGTTATGAAGTTGATACTGTTCATTACATGATAAACCTGAATGAATTGAACATTAATAGTGAAGTGCAAGTGTTCGAAGCCATCATTAGATGGATTACCATCAATGCCAAGGAAAGACTTGTGCATCTACCAAAGTTGATATTAGCTTTAGATTGGAGTTCAATCGATATAAACCAATTTACTAACACAATCGCTCAAAATTTTTACATTAAACTGTGCAAAGAAACACGACCGATAATCTTGTCAGCATTTGAGTCGATTTGTTATAATTCATCCGATCAAATCAAAGATGTAAATTTAATCATTGGACCTCGTCTCAAAGATCCTCCAATGTTGCGTTATTTAATACAAGAACCAGAAGGAACATTAACATTGAAAAATCTCCAAAATGAAAGCATCTCCTTACCATTTGTTTGTGATGTTAATATGACTTTCAATAGATGCACTGATGAATATTTAGCTGAATATTTAATAGACTCAGATAAATTGATTCTAATTAATTGGATTTCGAAAACTTATCGATTAACTAATCATTCCGTTTTCAGTAAACTGTTTGGGCGCAATTTTGAGTTCAAAGAGTAAGTTATTTGTTACTTTATTGCTTGAATCATTGAGCAAATTTAATTTTATTGGATATTTTTTCAGAGATGGGAATGTTTTCTTGTGGAAAGGGAATCGTCCAATCGCACTTAAACCATTTCCCGGAGAAGTGACGCGTATTCATTCGGTAGCCCCTTATAAAGGCCAGTTTTACGTGGTTGGTTCTAATGATCCTAGAATTGTGGTAATGAAGCTTGACCCGTGTGATAATGTCTGGACTGGTGTGGCTAATGCTGGACAATTGTTTGGACTATCGTTTGGACATGTTAACCAGTTGAAACATGTGTTGTATGACAACAAGTTGATTCTGTTTCTTGACAATTCAAATTATCATATTTACAATCTCGAATCAACTAAATGGACGCAACATGTTGGTTCAGGCCTGTGGAATAGAACAGCTGATCTTCACTTTACTCTTCATCAGTCTAAACTGTTTCTCCTCAGTCAAGTTCAAGCAGAACTGTATGAATTTGATTCAATTGAAGATACATTTAAAGTGGTCAAAGGAAAACCAATCAAAGGTACAAATTTCGTTGGGTTAATATCAACTGAAATGGAAGCAAAATTAAAAGAGTTTGTTTTAAACTTTCGTCTGTTGGATTCCAAGACTTTACGTAAAGTGCTGATCAGAACATGACATTGCTTTTATTTCCGTTTTTGCATTTGCAAATAAAGATTAAGCCATTTTACTGAATTAAGGATTTGGATTGCTCATCGTGACTTTATTAACATGATAGTTTTCATACCGATTGATCAAAATAATTTCACATTTGAGTGCTATGAATAAAAGTTATAAAGTATATTGTCTAATCTTTGCTATCATTAACATTTGTGGTTTGTAAAACTAAGTTAATGAAACGATTCCAAGTAAACTTAGCGTTGTATTATGTTAAGACTATGAAGTTATTTTCCCATCATGATGTTGATTGTGCATTTCTTGATTGATTATGGGATTTTTTGATGAAAGCATTACTCAAATTTCCTAAAACTAGAAAAAAGATTAAGCTAAAGCTTTATAATTAACTCAATAAAGTCTTAATAATCGATGATTAGATTACTAATTGCATTGAGTTGCTAATAAACTCTACAGGAAATAACAATTGATTATCATAATTTTATCCTCATCTCCGTTTACTTTCTTATATCAAATGAAGGTTGTTTTATTAGAATTCATTAAAAGTGCCTCAATTCCTATGCAAGTCTTTATTAATCACATGAACGTTTAGACAAATACAAACCACTCTCATCAATTAATAACAACGGAAATGGATTGATGATTAAACATTAGCGTAAATTTAGTGAAATCGATATGTTAACACATCTTTAAAATCTGCAATCTGACAATTGTGAGTTGAAACAATTTTAAAAGGGAAATGTCCCAAACAGAAGTTTGGTGAAAACTGAACTTGGTGTCTCCACTGAACGAAAAGAGACCAAATGACAAATATTGATGACGATTTCATCAATGATTATCCATCTGACAAAATTTTTATTTGGGTTTGAGTCTTTGAATGTGGATTGAATCGTATGCCGTGAAAAATAAATTTGCGATCAGTCATGATCGGGGGATCCACTTGTAGAATTTAAAATGAAATTCAATTTTTTAAATCAGTGTAAATATTACATTTAATACATGCAGATGAAATAACCTGTGGGGAAAAAGTTTGAGAATTTTTTTATCTTTTATCTCGTAAGATAACGATTGAATTTTTCTGAAAATTCAACATGCTATACATGTAGTTGGATAGTGTAGCTGTACTACCTGAGAATGAAAAGACAAAGGTCACTTCACAATCACCGCTCAAACTCGGAGGAAAAAAAATTATTTTTGATTAATGTTAAACTCTCATTGACAGAAAATGACTGAGTCAACTTTTTTGACGCTGAAATGACTTAGCAAGGCGACGCTTAATGCCTAGAAACTTTTTCCCCACCGTTAACGCAAAAGCCAACTAATACTTTTTGTTTTTGCATTAACTTGTTTATTTTACAACAGAAATAGTCGCTCATCTCTGGTCGGATGAAAACTATTGTTTATACCAAGTGACTTATGCTCAAAATTACCGGTTTTCACAATATTTATAGATAAGAACAGTGATCATAATATCATTGAGATGCTATTTTTCTGTTTCTTGTTAAGAATCAAACCCGAAGTTAAATTTTGGTAAAATTCTCTTTTTCGATTCAATTTTTTCTCCAACTGATCTATTTCAGTTTTCAACGAATTGATCTTGTGCTCCATATCACGATTTGAAACAATTTGTGGCTGTTCATAATTTGATGAATTCATTTGATCTCGGTTAAGGCCAAAAATTAATCCAGTAAAGGTACAGCATAGGATGAGCGTTCCTTCACGACAAATACAAATGGATGTTAAGCTTTCTCCACAATTGTAATCAGTCAATAGGGTGGGACTTTGGTCAACATTGATCTATTATAAGATATTATAATATTAAATAAAATAATTTGATTATTGTGGGCACACATACGGTATGTTAAGTTTACTTATCGAAGATTGGTGAAAAGCTTACAAGTAGAGATCCATTGGATTCAAGTGTTTCCACGAAGACCCACACTTCAATTAAACCATCAGACCGTCCAATATAAAGCTCACCTGTTGATTCCATCATTGTAATGCAATTAACTTGAGAGCGATAGCCTTTATCTGGAATTTGCCATTCAGCATTCACCTCATTAAAACCAAAATCCAAAGAAATTAAGGCAACTTTTCCTTCGATTAATAAACTTATTGTTTAAGATTAGACCAAGTTGTTAATAACTGAAAGATGTGGCAAATCTGGTTTACACATTATGACCTGTCTAACAAAAATCTTTATTGAATACAACTGAGGGTTGTACAGATTCGGACTGGTAGTCCTGCGGCTTTTACAGGCGCCGCTATACATGTTATACAAAAATACATGTTATCTCAATATTACTATAGTTACCAAAAATCTCGATAAAAGTCTATGATGAAATTGCAATGTGACTTAGATTAACCTTATTGTTACGAGTTTGACAGTGGAAATAGTATAAAATTGTGACAAAGATAACAATAAGAAACCAGCAGACTGGCCTTGCTTTTTGAATTAATGAGTGTCTAGTTAATTACTACTTCAAGTTGGTTTAAAAGTGTTAAGTTTATTTTTTCAAACAGTTAAACATCATATGCTATGAATGATTCAGATGCATCATGACCATGAAAAACTTAGAGAAAAACAAGTTTGTCTTCGAATCATCTCATACACTGAGACAAGTCTAGCATCAGAACTGTCCAATTTCCGATGAAAAATAAAGGACTGAAAAGAGCTTCGGTCAGCATAGTAAATCATATCAGACTCAGGTTATGAAAAATGAATTGATGAATGTTAACCACGAGTTCTCAAATAAAGGTTCATATCACAAAATACGCGTCTAGCTTCTGCATTTGGAACTTCCCAGTACCTAGCATTACAACTAGATCTAAAATATTGACGAATATTGAATCGTCTGCAAATCTCGCTTGAACTCCCTGATGTCGGGACAAGAGACGCCATTTTGGCATTCAATTGATCGTTATTGACAATATCCTTTAACTTGTTGAAGAAACTTTTGGTATTTTTATATCGACAAAAACGATGTCTGCATCCTCCTTCTGGAACCACTCTTTCAGGTATCAAGGAATACTCAATAAAAATATGATTAGTGTTCCGCTCAACAAAAGTTACTTCACAAACGAGATGAAAACGTCCTTCAGCAAAACTTATTGCATCGCAGATTTCATCCTTACTGGGGCCATTGCGCTCAGGATGTCTATGAAAGAATTGAAAAGTAATCAATGTAGATAAAAATGTTAATGTTGTTTCGATTAGTGATAGAGATGATTAATTACTCGATCCTCCTGTTAATGTCATAAGTATTCAAATTGCCTGACCCCTCTGTAAATGGGTCATACAGATATATTTTGTCATTATATCTGCTCGGTATTCCAGTTATTGATTCAAGCTACAAATTCACAAAAACAAGATAAGGATAAGTTATTCGTTATCAATAAAAGGTCAACCTAACTTACCTGGTCGTATAATTGTAGCGCTTTGTATAAAAATCTATCATCATTCCAATCAATGACAATGTCGTGATATTCACCTAAATGCTTCACTTTGAATGTAGCTAATGAAATGAAAGGTAAAAAGTTATTTCAAATTCCAGGCAAAATATAAATAAAACTTACTTTTATCAGAATTGTCATTCTGTCGCTCCATTTTAACGTAAATAATATCAATATGTATATGAATCTTGCAATAGGAAAGAGGTGGAGGAACAAGTTGTTTCAACGGAAAACAAAAGTAAAACTGACAAAATTTAATGGAGTCTTTGTCCCTAACAAAGAATCAGGTTTTTGGGCTAAAACAAAGAGTAAAGGAAGAAGAGAGAGAGCAATTCAATACATAATCTAACCGAAAATTTTTTTTGGTGTCAGAAGATGGCGCGAGAAAGAGACTCTTGAGATAAGTTATACATGTTATCGGAACAAAAAAGTTAAAAAAAACCAGTGTATGATACACTTTAGGCCGTTTTATCCGCTTTCACTAAGTTTTTCCCGATTTGACAGAAAACGCATAGCGATAGTGAGTATCAAACCTTTATCAATCCATAGAGCATAAAAAAATACATTAAAAAAATAATGAAATTGTTTTCCTGACAGGCGATTTAGCTCTGAGGCCGCGTTAGAAGGTTGCTATCGTTTCAACCTGGATGGAAAAAAAATATTTTATTTTTTTAACTAAATATTATGATAGACAAGGTTATGCCAAATCTAAAAAACTTATCGAAACTAAAATCGGATAAGTGGTTCGGCCTCAAAATGGCTTTGAAGTTTTTTTCGATTATTTACCGATATCTAACGATTTATTAGGCCTAGCGAAATATCTTACTGGACAATATTGTAGAGCTAGATGTGCTCTATCAGCATACAAATTTTCATTGAAATCGGTGAGGAGGCAAATTTTCAATGGGATCCGCTCTCATCCTTTCCTAAAACTAGAAAAAAGATGAAGCTTTGCTGAAGCTTTATAATTAACTCAATAAAGTCTTAATAATCAATGATTAGATTACTAATTGCATTGAGTTGCTAATAAACTCTACAGGAAATAACAATTGATTATCATAATTCTATTATCATCTCCGTTTATTTTATTTCAAATGAAGGTTGTTTCATTAGAATTCATTTAAAGTGCCTCAATTCCCATGCAAGTCTTTGTTAATCACATGAACATTTAGTTTAGACAAATATTGTAATACAAAACCCTCTCATCAATTAATAACAACGGAAATGGATTGATAATTAAACATCAGCGCAAAGTTAGTGAAATTGATATGTTAACGCATCTTAAATTTGAAATCTGAGTTGAAACCATTTTAACAAGGGAAGTGCCCCAAACACTACGAAAATTTTAAACTATTTTGGGCTTAAAATATTTAATGGGTCAGATATGAAAAATTACAGAATCCGTATTTTGTAACATCGTGTTTGGCCAAAAACTTTTTGGTTATTTAGGTTGATGGTTTATTGTTGGACTAGGAATATATGCAAAACTATCTTTCGAGTCAAGAGTTTGGTTAATAATCTGGTGCCCCACTGAACGAAAAGAAACCAAATGACAAACATTGATGACAATTTCATCAATGATTGCTCACTAGACAAAATTTTATTCGTGTTTGAGTCTTTGAGTGTGGATTGAATTACTCGTATGCCGTGAAAATAAATTTGCGATCAGTCATGATCGGGAGATCCAGTTGTAAAATTTAAAATGAAATGCAATTTTTTTAAAATCAGTGTAAATATTACAATTAATACATGAAGCTGAAATACCAGTGAAATGAAATATATACTTTGGTCTTATTGGTAAATTATATTTTTATTGTGCTCATTTAGAAAATATAATCTGGTCAAATCTTTTTCTCCCAGAAATGGCTATGTTTTATTGTTTTTGATTTTACTTAAATTGAAAATCATTCATATTAGCGTGGTGTTTCGCGTCAAGCGAAATAAAACCAATTAGATTCGGCTCGGATTCAATACCCGCATATGGCTTATGAAAATCAGGCAAACAAGACAGTTCTCCACCAACCACATGAAAAAGTTGTCTACTTGTATTTCCATCATTATTGAAAATCAACAATCTTGGACCAAAATGGCGATAATGTAAAAAGCACAGGCTACGACCATTAAAGTCATTTTTATGCTCTTTAAAGATTTTTTGTTGAAAATCGTATGAAAGGATCAATGAGCAGTCTATAAATATTACGAGCAAGTCATGTAAAGTTGTACTTTTCAGCATTTTTATGGGTTCTTTTGTGAAGATTTCATGACTAGCAACAGCCTTGAACATGTTTTCGGAAGAAGTACAATTCGCAATAGTCAATTGCGATTTGTATTCCCTGTGCTTTTGGACGGAAATTTGATTGTAAGATCCGCTTTTTGGATTAATGATCGATAAACAAAGTCCTCCTTTGTGTTTGGCTAACGTGAAAGTTGATTGACTGGTTGTATTGCCATCGGATAAACTTGCAAACTCAATAAGTCGTTCTCCTTTCCAAAAATGAACTTTTTTATCGCTAAAGAAATTTTTGTATTATTATTGTACAAATTTAATCACGATTGCTGTAAATATAGTTTTGACTAGTTACACTATCTTATACTCACTTTTTGTTGAGTTGCAATAAAGCGTCCAAACAAAAGACAGTAGGAGAAACGATCAGAATCTTTGAATAACCGATAAGTTTTATTTTTCCAGTCGATTCTGATAACCACATCAGAGTCCATACAATGTTCAGTTATATGGGAATCACCAAAATTAGCTGGAGGAAGAGAACGATTTTCTGAACAAACGATATTTCCATAATCTCCATTAAAATTATGAGCTACTATGGATGAATCAGTCTTTCTACGGATGGCATAATGAAAGCTGTCAGATGCATAGCGAGGCCCGAAAACAACGTCGATATCTTTTATTTTTTTCAATGATTTGTAAAACATGAGCTCAATTGCAGCCATGATAACTGGACGCGCTCGATCATGCATAATCCAAGACAGTTTATCGATTCTGTTCATGAACTGGATTGCATTTATTTCAACCCAGTGAACCTTCTTGAGCAATTTTGGAAGATGAGACTGTCTTTCAACACTTTTTTGTATCCACCTTGTGATAGCATCGAAAACTTGTATTTCATCATCAATATCCAAGTCATGCAAACTGAACATATGAGCAACAGTATCAACATCATAATCAAGAAACGAATCTGTATTCACAATGTCCAAGAAGTTTGAACAAATATATCTATCAATAAAATTATTTACTTCTTCCGTAGCAATTTGATTTATCCAGTAGCCAACATCTATAAATGGAGAATCAGAGAAGTTGTTCCATAAGAAATTTAAACAAACAGTTGTTAATTTAGGAATATTCATGTAATCAGCAAGATGGAACAGGTCGACAGCATTTTCTTTTGTTATCGATATTTTTGCACAATAAGCCCATTGGATAATAAGATCAAACACATTCGGCGGATGGTCAAGGTTGATCACTTCACTTGTTGATTCTGAGAATTCAGATGAAAACATTTTATCAAAATAATGGATTGCAGTGCACAAAATGTTTTATGGAGTCGATACTTCTTATTCGCATATTTAAATTGTTTAAACTTTTCCAAATTTACTTTTGTGTTTGCATCTTTAGATGTGGCTGTTTGTCTATTAATTTGCTAGGAATAAAACTTAACACCCTTTAGATAATACCATTTGAAACACTTTATAACCCTTTTGCCTTCATTTCTCCATTCAATGGATCTCATTTGGTTTCACCTTCCCTTTATCAATCCTGCAACTTTTATTTCGACTCATCGATTCCACCTTTCGCTGGGATTCATGGACTTTATGGACTATTTAATGTAGTTAAGTATTCAGGATTACAATCAAAGTTTTTGTATCCAATATCCTGATAAGTTGATCTTCAACATATCAAATACTATCATTCAGGTTTGCTTGTGTAAAATTTGTTTGATTTGTTTCATTCAAGTCATCACCATATTTGTTTCAACTGGTTTCAAGGAGATTGCGAAGCAACTTGAAGATGTCAAGTTTGAACCTTCAGATAAAGGAATGCCTAAGTTGTCACCTTTTTTCATTTATCATGGAACTGCCTGGCTTGCTAATCATCGAAAATCATTTGAACTTCTCAATGAAATGATTAATTCTGATCTCCATTAACAATTGATATTTTTGATCAAATTTGTATTCTTCCATTATTCGATCAAAAGCTGAACAAAAGACAACAATCAAACAATAAATTAACTGAATCAATCAAAACATGACATGAGTATTTGAAAAAACTACGCTGTGAATAACAACCTGATCTTTTCTATGAGCATATGTTAGATTAGGGTGGTTGTCTCTTCTGTGTCTGTGTCAGTTTTATGAAGTATCGGCAGCAGAGAGTTACATTGGTGTTTCTTTGGCATTTCAAAATTTTATTCGCGAAGCAAAGCCTTCTGCTTTATTGAAAACATTACCACCAATGAGTAGGAAAACGAGTCCAGCAATGATTGGAAAGATGATTGGCATTGTTTTTGGCAAAACTGGATCAAAGTCTTCTCGGAATGGCAAAAAAAGGCCTTCACTTTCCATTAAATTTCCATTAAATTTTGCACCAAATATATTCTTTGTAATGTAAAAATTGATCAAAAATGTGCCTAGCAATTTAATTTCAACTTAAATCTTATAACTTTATTCAACACAAATTAACAATCATGCATCTTAGCGTTGTGTTCCTTTTCAAGTGAAATAAAACCAATTAGTTGCGAATTGGGTACAATTTTGGAATATGAACTGCGGGAATCGGACCAATGAGACAGTTCTCCATTATTAATAGAGAAACCTTCTCTACTTATGCTTCCATCAATATTAAAAATCAACAATTTTGGACCATTATATCTAAAATGTAGAAAGCAAAGGCTGCGACCATTCAAGAGCTTGTTATGCTCTTTAAAGATATTTTTCTGGAAATCGTATGAAAGGATCAATGAGCAGTCAACAAATATTAACAACAGGTCATGAAAGGTTGTACTTTTCAGCTTTTTTATGGGTTCTTTTGTAACAATTTCATGACTTGCAACAACCACGAAATAATTTGCGGGCGGAGTACATTTCTCAATTGTCAATTTCGATTTGTATTGCCTGATTTGATTTTGGTTGCGATTCTGAATGCTAGATGCGCTTGTTGTATCAGCGCTCGGTATACAAATTGATTGGACTGTATTGATGCTTGATAAACAAATGCCTCCTTTATGCTTGGTTGCAGTGAAAGTTGATTGACCTAATGTGTTGTCACCGGATAAACGTCCGAATTCAATAAGTCGTTTTCCTTTCCAAAAATCAACTTTTCCGCCACTAGAGAAATTTTTATGTAATTAAAAGTTAGATTATCATTACTGTTAACATAGTTTTGGATGGTTACATTATCTAATACTTACTATCTAGTGATTTGAAATAAACGCTCAAACAAAAGGGTGTAGCAGTAAAAATCGGAACTTTTGAATAATCGATAAGTTTTATTTTTCCAGTCAATTCTGATAACCACATCAGAATCTATATTATGTTCACTTATGTGTGAATCACCAAAATTAGCTGTAGGAAGAGAACGATTTTCAGAAAAAATAATCTTGCCATAATTTCCATTAAAATTATGAGCTATTATGGATGCATCAGTCTTTCTATAGATAGCATAGTGAAATCGATTAAGTGAAATACGCTTGAAATTTACGTCGTTAACTTGTATCTGCTTCAAGGATTTGAAGTAACTGAGCTCAAATGCAGCCATGATAACTGGACGCACCTCGTCACACTTCTCAATCCAAGGTAATTTATCGATTCTGTTCATGAACTGAACTCCATTGATATCAGCCCAGGTAATCTTCTTAAGCAATTTTGGAAGATGAGACTGTCTTTCAACACTTTTTTGTATCCACCTTATGATAGCATCGAAAACTTGTATTTCATCATCAATATCCAAGTCATGCAAACTGAGCATATGAGCAACAGTATCAACATCATAATCAAGAAACGAATCTGTATTCACAATGTCCAAGAAGTTTGAACATATATATCTATCAATAACATTATTTACTTCTTCCGTAGCAATTTGATTAATCCAGTGGCCAACATCTATAAATGGAGAATCAGAGAAGTTGTTCCATAAGAAATTCAAACAAACAGTTGTTAATTTAGGTATATTCATGTAATCAGCTAGATGAAATAAGTCAACAGCATTTTCTTTTGTTATCTTTATCTTTGAACCATAAGCCCATTCGATTATAAGATCAAATGCATTCGGCGGATGGTCAAGGTTGATCACTTGACTCGATGATTCTTTGAGCCCAGAGGTAAACTTTTTATCAAAATAAGGAATTGCAGTGGACAAAATATGTTTATGGACTTGATACTTCTTATCTCCGTTCATGATGGTTACATCACTCCACTTGCCATCCTTATAAGCACGCATTAAGAGAGATGAAGTGTCTTCTTTAACCTCCATTGGGGCATTAATTAAATAAGTGGCAATAATATAAAATTGATCGGCTCAACACTAAAAAATGCACAGTAAAAATACTACGAAAAAATGATTCTGATGAGAAACTCATGAAATTTTATGTTAGGATTCTCATTTTTTCATGGTCCTTTCTTGTTGAGCTACAGGGTGAGACGATTTACAGCACTTCACAAGTTAAACAATAAACTGCAATGATATTCTTGTAGTTTACCTAGATGGTTTTAAGGTTTGTTTCTAGTGAATTGTGAGAGAGAAAAACAATCTTATTTGAAGATGGGGACGGTGATAACATGACGATAAAGATAGATCCATCACTTGTATTTTGTTCAATGATCAATGTCTACATTTTTTGTTTCTAGTAACCTAATTACATGTTTAAACTTATTAAATGATTAAACATCGACCCAACAATCAACTCAATTGAAACAAATGGCTGGCTCGTTGGCTCTTGAGTAAAATTATAGTATAATTAAATCTTTCAATTGAAGGCGAAAATAATGGACATTAACAAAAAAAAAGAAAACTATTCACTTTGATAATTGAATGCCCACCAATGATTGATTATAAATCGACTTTCTTTCAAAATTGTATAAATATTGAATCTCTAGATATAATAAGTTGATAATAATAATATATGGTATAATAAATACAACGTTTTTGGCAAAACTGGATCAAAGTTTTCTCGGAATGGCAAAAAAGGCCTTCACTTTCCATTTGAATTTAGATTTTGTACCAAATATATTCTTTGTAATGTAAAAATTGATAAAAATGCATACATAAATTTAATTTAATTCCAGTGCTCTATTTTTTCGTAATTTTACTTTATACACGAAAAATTTAAAGTGAAATTCAATTTTTTTTAAAATCAACGTAAATACATGAAGCAATGAATTGAAATAGACAGTATCAACCTGAATGGTCGATCATATCTGGGTAGAGAAAAAAAAGTTGTTAATGCCAAATGAATTTATGCTCAACTTTACCGGTTTCATGATATTTACAGATAAGAATAGTATTCATAATATCATTGAGATGTCAGCACTGGAGAAGATTCAATCTTCTGAATTATCTGTATTTTCAACATACAGTGAAACCGCGGTTAGTTTATATTTTGTTTTGCAGAGTACTAGGTGAAAACAAGAAATCGCGTGCCAAAAAATTAGGATTTAGGATTGAAACTTTTTACTCCGCTGTAGCTAGATTCTACATTTATAAAACATAAAATAACCGAGGTTTAACTGTAATCATTTTCATGCATGTTAGGGTTGCGCTTCAAGTGAAATGAAACCAATCATCTTCGAATTGGTTACAATATTGCAATTCGGATTGTGTGGACCGGGCACAAGAATCAGTTCCCCATCTTTGACACGAAAAACTTGTATAAGTGTATGGCGGTACCCTGATCCCAATTCATCGTTATAGAAAATCCACAATTCTTTCCCAGATAAGTGAAAATATAGACAGCACATGTGATCCATTTCGCTGGTTTTGTACTTTTTGAAGGTTTTTCTGTTAAAATCATATGTAAGGATCAATTTGCAGTTTACAAATATTACCAACAAGTCATGAAAGGTTGTACTTTTAAGCATTTTTATGGGTTTTTTTGTAACGAATTCATGACTCGCAACAAAACCGGAAAAAATTTTCTCAACTGTCAATTGCGATTTGTATCCCTCGTAATCTTCGTAGTGAGGGAGAATTATACTTCTTTCGTTTCTCTTCCGAGAGGTAGTAATGGTCGATAACAGAAATTCTCCTTCGTGTTTCGTTAACGTTTTGTAAGTTAATTGACTGTTTAATTGATTAACGAAAGATCGATTAAACTGGATGAGTCGTTCTCCTTTGAAAAAAAGAATTTTTCCGTTTCTAAAGAAATTTTTTGCAATAAAAAGTTAGTACTGTAAAGATAGCTTTGGGTAGTTACATTATCTAACACTAGTACTTACTCTCTGTTGAATTGAAATAAGCGCCCAAACAAAAGACAGTAGCAGTAACGATCAGAATCTTTGAATAACCGATAAGTTTTATTTTTCCAGTCAATTCTGATAACAACATCAGAGTCCATACAATGTTCAGTTATATGTGAATCACCAAATTTAGCTGCAGGAAGTGAAAGATTCTCAGAAAGATTAATGGATTCATACTTTTTATCAAAATGATGAACTTCTATCGATGAATCATTATTTCTATAGACAGCATAGTGAAATCTGGCAGATTTATTACGAGGACCAAAATGAACATCGTTAATTTGAATTGTCTTTAATGATTTGAAATAACTGAGCTCAACTGCAGCCATGATAACATGACGCGCCGGATCACAATCCATAATCCAAGTCAATTTATCGATTTTGTTCATAAACTGAGCTCCATTGATATCAATCCAGTGAACAGTCTTGAGCAATTTTGGAAGCTGAGACCTTCTTTCGACATTTTTTCGTATCCATCTCATGATAACATCCAAAACTTGCATTTCATTATCAATATCCAAGTTATCCAAATTGATCATATAAGCAACAGTATCAAAATCATAATCAAGAAATGAATCTGTATTCCCAATGTCCCTGAAGTTTGAACGAATATATTGATCAATACTTTTAAGTATTTCTTCTGTGGCAATTTGATTTATCCAATGGTTTACATCTATAAACGGAGAATCAGAAGATTCGTTCCACAAATAATCCAAACATAAAGCTGTTAATTTAGGTATATTCATGTAATCAGCAAGATGGAACAAGTCAACAGCATTTTCTTTTGTAATCGATATTTTGGAACAATAAGCCCATTCGATTATAAGATCAAACACATAAGACGGATGATCAAGTTTTATCACTTCACATGTTGATTCTGAGAGTCCAGAGGAAAACATTTTATCAAAATAAGGAATTGCATTGGACAAAATATGTTTATGGACTCGATACTCCTTTTCTTTGTTCATAATGGTTACATCACTCCACTTTCCCGTTTTATAAGTACTAAGTAAAAACGATGAAGGATCTTCTCCGACGTCCATTGTGACATGAAGTAACTAAATGGCAATAATGTAAAATCAAACAGATCAACAGTATAAAAAATATTCTGAATAATTGCAATGTGAAACACAGAAATAGGCAAAGAGTATAACTCTTAGCTTTTACTCTTCTGAAATAGGATATCAGTTTTTTCATCTTATAATCTCATTCGGCTCAGCGGAAAAGGGAAAAAATACTTTATAGCCCTTCACAATTGAAAAGATAAGCTTTATTGATTTTCCTGTAGTTTATGTTGATGGCACCAATATGAAATATTTCATAAAAGCATAATAGTTTAGTGGTCTATCAATGGTTTTTGCCCAAGGCTCTATTGGTTCTGTAAATTTTAGGCTCACCGGTCATCGGTGACTCTTAAAAGACGAGAAATGATCAGAAAATCTAGGCTCTTACTCTTGCTGTACAAATCTGTACTTTTTTGCAAATTTCCATCTCAAACGACCTAAATCTACAATACATTTCCAAATTAACCATTTTAATGCCATATTAATCTAGTCTGACGTTATACCTGAACGAAAGCCAAATAACAGGTGTTCAAACGGGTAGGTTAAACTTTGGGGCTTTATATCTCGAGAAATAGGTGCATGATCGTGGTCATTTTAATTTTATATTAATTAGCTTTACTAGGAATTTGAGAATGTCTTAAAGACAGGGTAATTAGAAGCGAAACAAAAACGTTCACAGGACTCGAAAAAGCAGTTTATAATGGGATTATAACATTTCAATGGAAACTTGTCAAAAATTTATAGCTATATTTTTGAAAATCGTCTGATAGCGTTAATTGTAAAAAGTTGAGGGTATTTTGAGCACACGTATCATTAATTCCTGATAAAAATCTATTTAAATACAAATTTTCAGATCAATAAACAAATCCGTTCTAAAGATATAGCCGTTTACTTTTTGACCTGCCCGTTTGAACACCTAGACTTCCTTTTGTGATTGAATTAACGTTTTTATCTTACAGTTTTCCATTTAATGGGAGCTCATCTCTAACCTAATGAAAAATTATTGTTTATGCCAAATGAATTTATGCTGAAAATTAGCGGTTTTCATAACATGAATAGATAAGCACAGTATTCATAATATCATTGAGATGTCACCACTTGAGAACATTCAATCTTTTAAATCATCTGTATTTGCATCTAATGCAGTTATCTTCAAATCTTGCTGTTGAGACTAGAAAGTTATTTTCTCATCAGTTGATGTTAATTGTATATTTCTTAATTGATTATGAGATTTTTCGATTGCAGCTTTAAGCATTCAATAAAGTCTTAAATTTATTTATCTTTGAACAATAAGCCCATTCGATAATAAGATTAAATACATGAAAACTTTTGTGATATCATTACAACTAACAAGGGAAGGTTCCTGAGTAGTACAGATTTTAAGTTTTTTTCTGGTTCCTATTGTAGAGAATGAAAAATAATAAGAATTTATTCTGGCTTTTGACTTGCAAATGCACCGTTCACAAACTGCATGCGTTGCTAAGTTAGGAAAGTACATAGAGCGTATGGCAAAAACTGCATAGTGATCATAGTTTTAATATTATGTTTCCATTTTTGTGGTAGTGAAGCTCGATCCGCGTGATAATGTCTGGACTGGTGTGACTAATGTGGCTAATGATGCAAAAATGTTTGAGCATGTTAACCAGTTGAAACATGTGTTGCATGACAACAAGTTGATTCTGTTTCTTGAAAATGTATCAGATCAATCTCGAATCAACTAAATGGACACAACGTATTGGTAAAGACCTTGGAATAGATTAGCTGATCTTCACTCTACTCTTCATCAATTTCATCAGTATGAATTTGATTCAGTTGAAGACACATTTGAATTGGTTAAAACAAACCAGTCAAGATTAGGAATTGCGGTTTGGTGAAATACCTCTTTTGTTGGGTTAATATCAACTGGAATGGAAGCACATTTAAATGAGTTTAACGCACAATTTTATGTGTTGGATTTAAAAATAATAAAACATTATACAAGGCCACAGATATTGGATGGTTAATTTTAGCAAACTTCCAACATGAGTTTTTGAATCTGAAAAAAGCTGAAATGAATTTTAAACAATAAACACATAATATTATATACAATGTATAAAAATATAATACATGTATATCATGATAACATTTAATATTATTTACTAGCATAAAACTCTTGCTCTAGGCTCGTCCATAACGATTTGCGATTCTCAAACACGAGGCTGCGAAACGTCGTTTTTTCTGCTTTGAGATAATTTGAATAATGTGGTTCTTTAAATTTCTTTGAATCAAAATAATAAGTGAATATCTCTAAGCCATCTAAGTAAATTTCCATGGAGTCATATTTGTTTCTACTTTTTAACCCTCTTATGGGTCGTTTTATTGCTATTGCAAAGTTTCCTACTATTTCCCAACTTATTGCAATTGGATTAAATTTAGTTATTAAAAATTTCAACTTCATTTGTTTTGGCTGGTTAGATTCAGAATAGTCATTTTGTCTATCAGGTTCGTCCACTATGGACGTGAAATAAAAAAATCCTTCGCGTCCAACAACTGTGAATACGTTTGCCAATTCTTCAATTATTGGCGCTAGCTCAATTTGTCGATCTCCTTTCCATAAATAAATTTTCTTGTCTCTGAAAATATGCATTATAATTAATCACATGCATTTGCATAAATTTTAACATTGATGTTAGTTTTGTACACCTGATACTTACTGTTTATTGAATTGAAATAAACGATCGAACATGAGAATATATTCACTCGTTTCATTTTTGAACAATCTATAAGTCTTATTTCTCCAATCAATTCTGATAACAGCACAATCATATTCTATTTCATGTTCAGTTATAGATAAGTCACCAAATTTAGGCGCAGAAAGATCAGAATCTTTAGTCAGTGAAAAAGATATATCTTTATAATCTCCACGATGCTCAACCTTTATATTTGAGTCAGAAATCCATTTGATGAAGTGGTAAATGTATCGAGCTCTTCCACGACAATCGAAATTAAGACCACTAATTTTTACTTGTTCCAATGATTTGTAAAGAGACAATTCCAGTGCAGCCATGATAACAGGGCGGTCTTCGTTACATGGTTCAAACCACCAAACTTTTTCAGCTCTTTTCATGAATTCATATACATCTATATCAACCCAACGAACTTTCTTTAGCAATTTGGACATAAAAGTATCAATAGTAATATCATCATCACAAAAATGAACACAATCTCCCCATTTTATGATAGCTTCAAAAACTTGTAATTCATGATCAATATGCAATTCATTCAAGCTTATCATATGATTGACAGTTTCAACATTATACTTGGGAAATAAATCTGTATGAATAATGTCCCAAAAGTTTGAACAAATATATTTATCATTGATTTCACGAGTTTCTTCAGTGTTAATTTTATTCATCCAATAATCTATATCTATTAATGGAGAATCACAAAATTCGTTCCACAAGAAATTTAAACATTCACTCGTTAATTCAGTAATATTCATGTAATCAGCTAGATGGAACAAGTCAACAGCATTTGCTTTTGTAATCGATATTTTCAAACAATAAGCCCATTCGATAATAAGATCAAATATAATCGGCGGATGGTCAAGTTTGATCACTTCACTTGTTGATTCTGAGAGTCCAGAGGAAAACATTTTATCAAAATAAGGAATTGAAGCCGACAAAACAAGTTTATGGACACGATACTCCTCATCTCCGTTCATGACTACAGTTACATCACTACACTTTCCACTTTTATAAGCACTGATTAAAAACGATGAAGTAATATTTTGTTGAATATCTTTTTTCGCTTCCATTGTGCGTTAAACAAATAATCAGTATTAATGGAGAAACAAATCAAACACTGGCATAAAAATGATTCACGATCGAAATTGATCGAGTTTAAATGGTAATAACTCAATGATATCTAGATCAGTATACGATTCAGAATTGTGGTAGAAAAACTAAGTAAATGCATGCTCATCGTAGGCGTTTAAAGCTAAATTTTATGTCTCCATAAGTACCAAATCATACTGATAGAAACGGGGAATTATTCAAAGCTATCTAAATGTCATAATTTTATGTCTTATTCACCATGCGAATTAGATTTTTTGATTGTTATAAAATTTACTTTTTATTTATAAGAAAAATATCAAGTTAAACCAGCTACATCAATTCAAATTATTCGGCCCTGACATCAGTTGAACGGTTTAGTTCACGAACTTGCACTCAAGTTATCTAGGTAGTCCATTTTCGCTTTTTGTTGGTTTTCATCATTAAATCATATTCTACAATCTATTTCAATATCATAATATAATCTCGTATCATAAAAATTATTAAAATACTTAAAAGCATCATTTATATAATTTATTGTTTATTCATGACTGATTTTTTATATATAAGGAACAACTACGTCAACATTAATAATCTTGCGTACTTATTGCATCTATAAAAGACCCACAGATTCAGAGAATAGACCACAATGAGGAATGGATTGATATGATTTGAAATCTCATTTGAATGAAATGCCGGTGAGTGAATAACTAACAGGTTGTGTTAAGACTAAAAGTTCTTTTCCCAATTTCTCAAGTTTCTTAAAACTCTAAAAAAAAATCAAATTCATCTTCGTTATAGCTCGGACCATTGACATAATAAAAGTTAAGCTGTCACCAAGGATGTATTTTTATTATTTGAATAATAACGACAATAATATTGAGAATAACGAATGTTTTGAGCGAAATCATAGTGAAATTAAATCTGTCAATGTAGACGAAAATAATGCAAATGAACCAAAATAAAGAATATTCATTTTAATAAATGAATGCCAACCAATGATTGATTATAAATTGACTTTCTTTTTAAATTGTGGTATTGCATGCATACGATGCATACGATGATGATGATGATGATGATGGCGGTGTATCTTTATCAGCAATTAAAAAACGTTACAAGAAAGGAGGTGCTGGTTATAATATCTATATAGATAGTGACGATGATAGTGACCTGGATAAGAAAAAAACATCTAGTGAACGAAAACGAACTGCGAAGGTTGTCGAAAGTGATGATGAAGATAACGATAAATAGCCCGTCTGGTGATAACCCTGTACAATGTTCACAATTCAACTGAATATTAGTGTGTAATTAAATTTTTTATGTAATAAGTTGAAAACAAAAACATTAAATACAATTTTTATTATGATCACATATTTTCCTCATTTTTTATTCGTTGAATCGAGGTATTACTTTTTTTAGTTATCTCAACAATTTACATTGGCCTCAGCAATAAATATTGTTTTAACCAAAAAAAAGTCCCAAATGAGACATTTTACATAGAGAATCGCAAAATATACTTGACGCCCTAATATTTCAAAGTAAATGGATTGAGAGTCACCTAGGTTACATTCATATGACAATCCTAATAGGACCATAACTCGAAATCACGGGTAAGCTTATTGAAAACTGGTTTTGAGAAACTTACTTTTTTACTAACAACATTACAGGGTGTAAATAAAGTTCGTGTAGATAGGAGGCTTAAGAGAGAAACCAGTTTTTCAATCGAGAAATCACAGCAATTTAAAATTCGTTTCTACGCAGGGAAAAATATTTTTTCCTACAGGAACTTTAGGTACACCCTGTACTTGATAGACAGAGAAACCTTAGTTTTTGCGCATAAAGGTGGCCTACATTCATTGGAGTAATGCTCAAAATCATAGCTACGGTTGTTAAAAACTGGTTTTGAGAACCACGGTCTTAGTTTGACCCTTTTTACATGCAAAAAGTGTCTACTTTTGCCCAAAATCTTTAGTACTTGAATAAAAATTTTATCATCCATCTTCTAGATTAACTTATTTATAATTTATACTAATTTGTAAAATTAATTTTTTTGGTGAATAATGCATGAAACTAATCATGACTCTGATAAAAGTAAGTTTCGTTTTTTCGTCAAATCAGTTTTAACATTTTTTCTTTGTAATGCTTAGTTACAATAAAAATGAGGCATTCGGATGAGGATTATCATGAGATTACGATTGATTGGTCAAATGAAAGTTTCGATTACAGGAAACAATTGTTTCATCAGGTAAGTCGAAAGAAAAAACAAGAAAGTGATTAATTTCTCGCTTACATTTTACTTACACCAATAGTTATCAGCATACACAGGAATACCAGTTGAACATAATCTGTATGTCAACGTGAACAGAGATCTTCATCAGTCTGACGGTCTGCTAAATACCGAATGGAAGGATGGGTAAATGATTTTATCCAACTTTTTGATTGCCTTTCTTTAGATTTAATCCTTTTTCATAAATTTTCAGAAGTTTTAATGTGGGCTATGCTTGGCAATACGATACAAAGGAACACGCAATGAATGCTTTCCGTGATGGCGATTGTTTTCTATTTACAACGCAACTTTTTGCAGATGATAATGGAATGTATTGTGAATATGACTTGCAGCATCAGAGTCTGATTAATGAAACTGGATGCGACCGAAATTATTGCTATTACTTGGGTCGTCGATCTTTCACAGAAAGAGTATCAGAGTTGCTGAAATCAGATGAATTGCGAAAAATTTGTGATGAAAATGGCTTAAAATTGTACGTACAACCAGCGGAATTTTTAAGAATGAACCTCAATTTGAATATTGCACATCTTACACACCCAGTGTGCACTGCGGGGATCTCAGCTTTGCCTGGTCTATATCGGTTTAATGCTAACCATATGTACTTACGTTACCGTGGCTAACTTAAATCTCTGTCAATTGTCGATAAAAAAGTTTTACTTTCAATTTATTCAAATGTTTTCATCTAATAAAAATGATGAAGACTCTGATTGAGGTGATATTGGAACAGCAGATTTAGATCCGGAATTTAGATTGAAATAAAGGCAATAGAAAAGAAAGAAATATAAAACAGCATTAAAATGTCAATATTTGCATTTTGAATGGAAAAGTAAAATTCAGAAGCCAATAAGAAATACATAATGACAATAATAAAAACTAATAGTTGCAATAATACCAACTAATGGTTGAGATAATGATTGTTGATTGAATGAGAATGAGTCAAATAGTGGTTGATAATTTATTGGACTCATCATTGACAGAAGCTACTCAAATCTCATTACCAACATTGTTACAATCAACATTCAAAAGCTCTCCTTATTGACCTGCTAAACAGTTTAGACCCATTTAAACACTCATCGGAAGTACAGTGAAACCTCGGTTATTTTATACCTCAGTTATTTTATATTTTACATAGCGTGAATCTAGCAGCTAGGGAGCACAAAGTGTCTCCCCCTTCGGTCATTTACAAAGGTTTATACAGTCAACCCTCGAGTTTTTTGTTTTTTTGGAGTGCTGACATCTATGTGAACTACAGGGGAAAAAATAAATTTTACAGTTTAAACAATTAATCCACTCGAATGATTCCCCTTTAGCCTCTCTAGTAGAGAGTCTCTACTTCTCCCTTCAGGAGGGAGTCATTAGAGTGGACTTATTGTTTAAACCGTAAAATTTCATTATCCCCCCTGTAGTTCAAATAGATGTCAGCACTCCAAAAAACAAAAAACTCGAGGGTTGACTGTACTAATTTTTTGTTACGCCATCTCTTGTTTTCTTATAATACCCAGCATAACAAAAATATAAAATAACCGAGGTTTCACTGCTGTTAACTTTATTGTTCGCATTTCACTTTGATTGTTGATTGTTTACTTATTAAACTGACGTCCATTAGAAATGGATAAAGGGATGGATCAACAAGTTGAACATAAAAAAGTAGAAGCAGCAACATGCCAAAAAATAATACAAATCACAATAATATCTAATTGTGTAAAGAGATCATCTCATTGGAAATGTAATTTGTGTACATTCGTTTTTACAAACAAAAAGTCAATTTGATAAAACAATATCTTTTCACTTGCTACCATTGAAATAACCAGATAGCAGCAGCAATAACAGCAATGCTATTTATTCATTGTCATTTCACTCGCGACATTTTGATCAAAATGAAAATATGATTTGAAACTAAAGTTTGTGATGTTGGCTATAACCAGAAAAAATAGAACCCAGGTATTCTCTTTTTCTGTGTCAACACCATTGGAGTAAAACTAAGCAAGTTGGTTAATCTCATTGCGATTTGTCTATCGTTTGTATGTGCAGCTATAACAGTCAAAGACATAATAAAAGCCGTTGTAATTGAAGAGAGAATATTTTACGGTAAGAACTAATCGAATGCTGATGAGTTTAGCTAAGAGCATATCAAATATGGTTGTACTTTACACTTGTATAACCCTCAATTTGCCTTCATTTCTCCATTCAATGGATCTTATTTGGTTTCACCTTCCCTTTATCAATCAGGAGACTTTTATTTCGACTCAACGGTTCCACCTTTGGCTTGGATTCATCCTCTATGGACTATTCAATTTAGTTGCTTTAGTTTTCAGGATTGCAGTCAAAGTTATGTATCCAACGTTCAGTGTTAATCTTCAATATTTTAAATTATATTATCATTAAGGCTCCCCTTTGTAAAATTTGAATTAAAAATGAAACCAATTAGTAACAACGAAAATCTGTTGATAATTGAACATCAAATTTAGGGAATTTGAATGGTTAAGACACAACTTTAAAATCTGAAATCTGAGTTGAAATCAATTCTACCCATTAGATGAAGGCTTATCAAACGTAAGTCTCGTCTAACTTCCGTTTTGCTCACTTTTATTTCGAATCAACGGTTCAACCTTTACAAGTCTCTTTTATTACATTAACAAGAGGTTATTTATATATTAATAATGAGTAGATAATAATAAGCAAGCTGACGGTTAGCTAATTACCAGATAAGGGAAAATATAAACAGCACATGGGTCTCCGTTTCGCTGTTTTTATACTCTTTGAAGGTTTTTTTGTTAAAATCGTATGCAAGGATCAATGTGCACAATGTGAAAATTAAACAACTGTTGTTTCTTTATTGGTCAAATTGACAATCATGTATCTTATTGTGGTGTTTCGCTTCAAGCGAAATAAAACCAATCAGATCTGAATTGGATTCAATATTGGGGATATCTGAATTACGGGAATCAGACCAACGATACAGTTCTCCATTATGAATATCGAAACCTTGTCTACTTGTGCCTCCATCATTATTAAAAATAATCAGACTTGGACTAGCAGTGCGAGAATTTAGAAAGTACAGGCTACCACCATTGATGTCACTATTTTTATACTCGCTAATGGTTTTTTTGTCAAAATCGTATGTAAGGATCAATTTGCAGTCTACAAATATTACCAACAAGTCATGAAAGGTTGTACTTTTAAGCATTTTATGGGTTCTTTTGTAACAATTTTGTGAATTTCAAGAACCCTGAACCTATTCAGGGTATTACCTGGATTACATGTCGCAATCGTCAATTGCGATGTGAAAATGCAATTGTTAGACACCTTTGGTTCCGCTATGATCGATACACAAAGCCCTCCATTGATAGCTGTTATACTAGATGTATTGTTCTCGGATAAACGTGCAAACTCAATGATTCGGTCTCCTTTCCAAAAATAAACTCTTTTGTTTCTAGAGAATTTTTTGTGATTACAATTTGAATTATTATTACGGTAAAAATATTATAGTTTTGAGTAGTTACTCACTCTTTGCTGAATTGAAATAAACGTCCAAATAAAAGACTGTAACTACCAGAACCGTTGAACAATCGATAAGTTTTATTTCTCCAGTCAATCCTGATAACAACATCAGAGTCCATACTATGTTGAGTTATATGTGACTCACCAAATTTAGCTTCAGGAAGAGAAAGATTCTCAGAAAGATTAATGGATTCATACTTTTCATTAAAATGATGAACTTCTATAGATGAATCATTTTTTCTATAGACAGCATAGTGAAAGATGTCAGATTTATTACGAGGCCCGGAATGAACGTCGTTAATTTGTATCTGTTTCAATGATTTGAAAAAACTGAGCTCAACTGCAGCAACGATAATAGGACGCGTCGAGTCCTGCATGATCCAAGACAATTTATCGACTCTGTTCATGAATTGAACTCCATTTATATCAACCCAGTTAATCTTCTTAAGCAATTTTGGAAGATGAGACCTTCTTTCGACATCCTTTTGTATCCATCTTATTATAGCATCAAAAACTTGTATTTCATTATCAATATGTAGGTCATCCAAACTGATTATATAATCAAGAGTATCAACACCATAATCAAGAAATGTTTCTGTATTTACAATGTCCCAGAAGTTTGAACAAATATATCTGTCAATAATATCGTGTACTTCTTCCGTGGCAATTTTGTTTATCCAATGGCCAACATCTATAAACGGAGAATCAGAAGATTTGTTCCACAAAAAATCCAAACATAAAGCTGTTAATTTAGGTATGTTCATGTAATCAGCAAGATGGAACAGCTCAGCAGCATTTTCTTCTGTAATCAATATTTTGGAACAATAAGCCCATTCAATAATAAGATCAAATATAATCGGCGGATGGTCAAGTTTGATCACTTCACTTGTTGATTCTGAGAGTCCAGTGGAAAACATTTTATCAAAATAAGGAATTGAAGCCGACAAAACAAGTTTATGGACACGATACTCCTCATCTCCGTTCATGATCGTTACATCACTACACTTTCCTGTTTTGTAAGAATTATGCAGAAGCGATGAAGCGTCTTCTTGAACCTCCATTGTGGAATGTACCTAAATGGAGACCTAATGTAAAATCGACGAGGCTAAAGTATAAAAATTCACAGTTTAAAATTATTCTGAAAAGAATTTAATGCAAAATATGAAATACTACAGAGACCTGCCAGTAATTTAGACTGCCAGTAATTTAGACTAAATTTTTCAATGGTCCCTATTGAAAAAAGATAGAATTTTGTTTTGATTTTACCAAATTTCATTTCTATTTTTTTAGCTATTAATTAACTTGTTTTAATTTTCTTTCGTAAAATATCAATCCAAAAACTCAGGGAATCACCTTAAAGCAACATTTTAAGTTAAATTTGCTCGATTAAGGAAAATTGAAAAATCATGAATTATGTTGCTCGACGAATAGTGTGAATAAGCTATTTCCAGTGAGTCTAAATTACTGGCAGGTCTCTGTATGTTAGTTTTTTTTCCATTTTCTCAACTGGTGAGCGGAAAGGGGAAAACGGCTTACAGACTTAGCTTTTATGATCTTCTTGCAGTTTACCTAGATGGCACCATTAGAAAATAAAATCGCTTTCATAAAAACATATTGTAGATGTCTCCGTTGCATAGTTAATTCTGCAAATTTGAAACTCACCAAACATCGGTGACTCTTAAAGGGAAAAATGTACAAATTTTACTTCAATTTTCTTTACAAGCAACCTAAATCAACAATACAGTTCTGCATTAACCATTTTTATAGTATATTAGTCTGCTGTTATATTTAAACAAAGCCCAGATTCTTTGATTTGTGTTTGCATTAACGATTTTTATCGACTTTAATGAACGATCATGTCTGGACATATGAAAATTATTGTTCATATCAAATGAATCTGTGCTCTTATCAGTCTTCATAATATTAATAGATAAGAACAGTAATCATAATAGTATCATAGAGATGTCAGCACTTGTGAAGATTCAATTTTCTGAATTATCTGTATTTTCATCTAATGTAGTTCATTATCTTCAAGGCATAATTTTTCAACTTGAATTGTTTAAGGATTAACAATTGCTTGAAGAGTTATTACAGTTGTAGCAACAAAATGATCAATGTCTACATGCTTTGATTCTAGTAACCTATTTACATGTTTAAACTTATTTAATGATTCAACAATAAACTCAATTGAAACAAATATGGCAACTGTTGATTTAACTGACAATAAAACAACTGTTACAGTTAAAATTCAACAAAACACATCAACTGGTCTTTCTTTACCTTACAAGGACAGAAAATTCAGTGACTTAATCATCGTTAATAACAATAAAGAATATCATGTTCACAAGATTATTTTGTCTTCATTCCTTCCATATTTCGATAAAATGCTTTCGCCCGGACTCGCAGAATCAAAAAGTTCATGAATTGAGCTGAAACATCCAACGGAAATATTTGATCTCATCATTGACTGGGCTTATTAGAAATGGTTGTTGAAATTGATCATTGGATTAATCAAATTGCAACTCTTAAAGCACGTCAACTGATCGAGCAATACATTTGTGAAAACTTTTGTGATATAATTACAACCAAGAGTTTCTTGGGTTATGAAGTTGATACTGTTCATTACATGATAAACCTAATTGGTTTGAACATTAATAGTAAAGTGCAAGTGTTTGAAGCAATCATTAATCGATTACAATTAATGCTAGGGAAAGACTTGTACATCTACCAAAGTTGATATTAGCTTTAGATTGGAGTTCAATCGATATAAACCAATTTACTAACACGATCGCTCAAAATTTTACATTAAACTGTGCAAAGAGACACGACCGATAATCTTGTCAGCATTTGAGTCGATTTGTTATAATACATCTGATCAAATCAAAGATGTAAATTTAATTGCCTGAGTGAAGCGAAGACATATGAGGTGAATTCGCGTTTTTTCATGTAACGATAGCTAAAATAAAAATTACGATTTTGATGCAATCTTCAGAATAACTTGCTATTGGGATCAAAATTTACTGTATAGTTTTTGGTGAAGATTGGCCCAGTCCCAAAATTTGGGGATATTTTTTAGCAATAGAGGGCGCCAAAACAATTGTCACTTTATGCACAAATCGACACAAATTAGCAAAAACGGTTAAAAATTAATTTCTTTCAAATTTAGACTCTGTTAGTTTGTAGGGACATGAAACCTGAGTCTAATCGTGCGATTTAAAAATTTCTCTGATCCACAGTTTTTGAGAAAATCGAGGTCAAAGTTGCAACTTCGATGGCCTTTGTTCAATTATTAGAGTAAATGGTGTAACCTTTGATGGTCAAACAGAAAATACACTTATTTTGAGTAATACAGGGCATTTCAGCTATCTTTACCGATGTTAAACAGCTATAACTCGGCCTGTGTACAACCTAGAGACTTCAGAATTTTTTCATGTCAATTTCACGAATACTTATTTGCTATATTTCAAGGTCAAG